TTCAGCCGTTGGTCGTTCTAATATCCATCCGAACCCATAGTCTTTGTTTACTTTAAAGACTTGTATCTATTGCAAAGACATAGTTCCTGGTTCATGGTCTCTTTTTTAAGACTTGTATCGTTAGTTGTTTCTAAGCCGTATGGTTAAGTGTGAATCTGTTTTTGATTCAATTTTTGTCAACAATTTGTAAGCCGTTGGTCTTCTTTTTCCATACAACAAATCGTTAGTTGTTTTTACCAAAAACTTTTAAACCGCAGGTTTGGTAAGTATATGTTTTTTCGATTCATAACTTTGTCAAGAATCTTTGCCTTGTGAACTTCTTTAAGCCATTTGTCTTTTTTTCCCATGCAACAAGTTAGAAACTCAACAAAATGAGAACCAACTCAAAGTCTTTTTCTTCAGCCATTGATCGTTAGATCCATCCAATTCATAGTGTTTGTCTACTTTTACTCCTTGTGGTTACCAGAACATAAATAGTTCTCAGAGTCTTTGTCTTAACCCTTTAAATCGTTGGTTGTTTTATATTCTATCCCACAAGTCGAAAACCGACTCTTATAGTCTTTGTTTAAGCCGCTGGTCATTTTATCCAATCCAACATGTGTAAGACTTTGTCTTTGTCTTTGTAAGACTTCTAAGCCGTAGGTTCATTAAGTATCTGTTTTCGGTTCATGATTTTGGTCAAAAAAATCTTTGCCTTATGATAGCTTTAAGCCGTTGGTCATTGTTCTCTTCTTCCATACAACAAATCGTTGGTTGTTTTTACTATCCAACAAGTCTAAACTGATCCACAATCTTTGTTGAAAGACTTGTACGTCATGTGGATAAGTGTAAGACTCTGTTTTCTTCTAATAATTTTTGTCAACAATCTCTACGTATGACTTATGTAAGCCGTTGGTGCTCTTTTTCCATAGAACAAATCGTTAGTTGTTTTTACCAAAGACTTCTAAGCCGCAGGTTCAGTAAGTATCTATTTTTTTCGATTCATAACTTTGCCAAGAATCTTTGCCTTATGAACTTCTTTAGGCCATTGGTCTTTTTTTCCACGCAACAAGTTAGAAACCCAACAAAAAATCAGAGATTTTTTCTTAAGGCTTTCTTCAGCCATTGGTCGTTCTATTCATCCAAACTCATAGTCTTTGTTTACTTCTGATTAAGCCTTTGTGTTTATCGCAAAGACAGAGTTCTTGGTTCATAGTCTTTTTCTTAAGACTTTGTGAAGTCGTTAATTAGTTGCTTTTACCATTCAAAGCGTTTTGTCTAGAGTCTTTTGTTTTAAGCCGTTGGTCGTTATCTCCATCCAATTCATAGTCCTTTGTCTAGTTTTAAGCCTTGAGGTTACCGGAACAGAAATAGTTCTGGGTTCATATATAGTCCTTTGTCTTAAGACTTTTTCAAATTGTCGTTATATTTTCCATCCAACAAGTCTTCACTAAGACATTAGTCCTTTGCCTAAGGAAGTTTTCAAAGCCGCTGGTCATTTTATCCATCCAGCATGTGTAAACTCGATCCATTGTCTTTGTCCAAAGACTTTTCTAAGCCGTGGGTGGATTTTCCAATCAGTCTTAAGCCGTGGGTAGATTTCCCAATTGTCTCTGTCTAAAGACTTTTGTAAGCCGTAGGTAGCAAAAATAATATTTTCTTGTTTCAGTCTCTTGTCTTAAGACTGATTTCAGAAAATTGGTCTTTCTTTGCAACTTATATGTCTTTGTTTTAAGACTTTCTCAGCCACTGGTCGCTTAGATCCATCCAGTTCATAGTGTTTGACTACTTTAACTCTATTTAGTTACCAGAACATAAAGAGTTCTCAGAATCGTTGGTTGTGTTATATTTTCCATCCACAAATGGAAAACCCAACTCTAATAGTCTTTGTGTTAAGACCTCAATCGTTAGTTGTTTTATCTTCCATCCCACAAGTTTTCTTTAAGCCATTGGCCATGTTTTTTTCCATCCCACAACATGTCTAAACTCGAGCCTTTATCTTTGTCAAAAGACTTGTATAAGCCGTGGGTAGATTTTCCCAAGACTATATCTAACACATTGTCTTTGTGTCTATAGACTTTTGTAAGCCGAGAGTAGCAAAACGAATCTGTTCTTATTGCCTTAAAACTTTCTGTTCAGAGTCTTTGTGTAAAGACCCTTTAAATCGTTGGTTGTTTTATATGTTCCTTCAAACAAGCTTTCTCTAAGGCATTAGTCTTGTTTTCTCTGTCCCACAAGTCGAAAACCCAACTCTTATAGTCTTTTTCTCAAGACCCTTTAAATCGTTAGTTGTTCATGTCTAAAATCAAGCCTTTCTCTTTGTCAAAAGACTTGTATAAGCCGTGGGTAGATTTTCCCAAGTCAATCCGACAAGTTGTCTTTTGTCTATAGACTTTTCACTTTTGTAAGCCGAGGGTAGCAAATCGAATCTGTTCTTATTGCCTTAAGACTTTCTGTTCAGTCTTTGTCTTGAGACCCTCTAAATCGTTAGTTGTTTTATATGTTCCTTCCAACTAGCTTTCTCTAAGCCATTAGTCTTGTTTTCTCCACAAGTTTTCTTTAAGCCATTGGCCATGTTTTCTCCATCCGACAACTCCAAAACCCAACTCTTATAGTCTTTTCCTAATACCTTTTAAATCGTTAGTTGTTATATATCCCATCCAACAAGTTTTCTTTAAGACATTGGTTATGTCTTTTCCATCCCACTACATGTCTAAACTCGAGCCTTTCTCTTTGTCAAGAGACTTGTATAAGCCGTGGGTAGATTTTCCAAGTCTAAATCCGACAAGTTGTCTTTTGTCTAAAGACTTTTGTAAGCCGTGGGTAGCAAAAGGAATCTGATCTTATTGCCTTAAGACTTTCTGTTTAGAGTCTTTGTTTTGAGACCCTTTAAATCGTTAGTTGTTTTATATGATCCTTCCAACAAGCTTTCTCTAAGCCATTAGTCTTGTTTTTTTCCATCCCACAACTCCAAAACCCAACTCTTATAGTCTTTTTCCTAAGACCCCTTTCAATCGTTAGTTGTTTTATATGATCCTTCCAACAAGCTTTCTCCTTTCAATCGTTAATTGTTTTATATGATCCTTCCAACAAGCTTTCTCTAAGCCATTAGTCTTGTTTTTTCCATCACAAAACATGTCTACACTCGAGCCTTTCTCTTTGTCAAAAGACTTTCATAAGCCGTGGGTAGATTTTCCCAAGTCTAAATCCGACAAGTTGTCTTTGTCTATAGACTTTTGTAAGCCGAGGGTACCAAAAGGAATCTGTTTTCTTAATCCCTCGCTACCTTCCATTCCATCCAAATAAGAAAACAGATCCGAGTATGTTATATATTCCATCCCCACCAAACCATCCTTCCTTAGGCATGCACTACCAACCATATATCTCAAGCAACGGGACAACGGGACAATGTTCCCAAATAAGAATCTGACAGAACACTATTAGATTAGTGCCTGCATATGATCTTTTTGGGGGCTTTATAAGTAAAGCAAAACGTCAAAACCAAACCCAAAACGCTTTGATGTCTTATTAAATGAGGAAGTTGTTTTCGAAAACCAGTGAAAAAAAGAGTAATGATTTGAAAATCATCGATGTGAATGGCTTAAACAAGTGAAGGAATTTCACATACCAGGAATGGTCGAATCTGTTCCACTTTGTATGGTTGTAGCTCCGGCAGCAACAGACACCAAAACGAAGGTCCAAGCGATACTGTCATTAGTTCAGAACGAAACCGTTCAACAATCGTATAGCCAAACCTATATTCAGAACAAAACATACGGTGACCACAATATTCTTGTTTCAATCATAAACAGAGAACTTTCAAATTCACAATGAAATCGGAAACGTAACAGTAAGACTTTCGAAATCACCAGTGAAATTAGCAAATCCAAACAGAAACAGAGAAGTTACCTTGACGGTGTGAAAAAAAAAGAAGCTTCCAGGTCCAGATTCGAAACGAAAACGGAAGAAGAAGAAACCCCTAACCAATAATCACTGCAAAAAGGAAAATTGATAGTTGAACGATTAGAGAAATTGAACACGCGGAAAAAAACCTAATCTTGACGAAGAGCGAGAAACCCAACGAATCGGATCAAATTTCAGACGGAATCAAGCGTGTATGTAGGTTCAAGAGAAATCAAACAAAAAAGATCAATACAAAAAGGAAAATATCGAAACCTAGAAACCCTGAAACTAAATCGCGATCGAATGTTACAAGAAGAAACTTAACAATCTTACAACAAAATCACGATTTATAGATAACGAAGCACTTACTTCCGCAAATCATCGATCGATCGAGAAAATACTACAAAGAAAAAAGGAAAAAGGAAGAGAGAAAACTTGCGAGAAAGAAGAAAATCTCTTTGTGAAGGAATTGTGGGAATGAAATCAGGGATCGAGAGAAAACGTTTTCTTTTATGTATCGCGGTGTGTTTGACCTCACGCGCTTCTTAACGGTTGTATATTCAAATTGAGTCGGTTTCTTTGTAATCGCAGTTTCAATAAAACCACTCAAACCGACCCGGCCCTCTATTTTCCTTTTCCATGATTTCTACACATACGCCGTCGTTTTATATCCCTTTTACTTAAAAGCTTTTGCGACACCGTTTTGTTCTACAATTGCTCAGCTCCTCTCTTTCTCTTCCAGTTCTGCATTTCTTCACTCAACGTCTTCTAGGAGCATTAAATTTCTTTGATTGGATCAAAGTTTTCTGTTTGATCGAGACCCATGGTGTAAATTAGCAAAGCTTTGATGCACTAGGGGTATGTTTTGATAAGCATATTTTTTTCAGAATTTTTGCTAGTCATATGTGACATAAAGAGTAGAAGCAAGACAAGAGTCACATATATTATTCATAAAGATTATTGAACTTAAAATTCTCAGTTTCCTATTGGTATCAAGAACAAGAAGGAAAGAAAAACCATGTGAATATGACTATGGCAATCAAAAACTTAATCCAGACTAACACCTTAAGCCCCTTTCACGTAACCATTTCCCAAAATCCTTTCATCAGTCACACTGTCTAAATGCTGCTGCTCGGAGAAGATCTCTCTGACAGTTGGCCTGTAGATTCTCCTGGTGCAGCTTCCTCCTTAGACACAACAGGAATCTTGAGCGATGAAGCTCTCTCCATCTCCTTCTCAAGCTCTTCTTCAGACATGAGAGTGTTGAACTGTCCCTCCAGCGACTTAGCCGCGGCTAACCAAGCAGTGACTATACCGAGCAGGATGACTCCAAGGTAAGGAGTGGAATTGGCGAGTGAGCCGAACGTAAGGATCATGAACTGCTGGATCAGAGCACCTCCTGATTTCCCCAATGGGTTGCAGACCACATCAATCGCAGCTTTGCCCTTAACCTGCAAAAACCAAAGGCACAAACCTCAACCTGTAAGAACCAAAGATCAAAAGAATGTAACTGTGTTTATGAAGAGGAAAGGCACAGAACCTTGGTGTCTTCATCTAATGGGATATAAGCCATTTCTTTGCAAGGGTCGAACAAGCTGTACTTGGCACTCTTGCTGAAGATATTCTGGAGGGCTCCAACGTAGACAGCTGCGAGTAACGGTGTCATACCAAGCTTGGCAACCAGTGGTGCGAACGGGCCACCAAAGAGTATCAGAGAGAAGAAGGCAACTCCGGTTAACAGCAGAACGGTTGGTGTGATCTTTGCAGCTACTCCCCAACCGTACTTTTTGAATACGTATTGGCTGAGAAGCATCATTGTGAATGTTGCAATACCAGTGCAGGTTGAGAAGTCTCCCATAAATGCTGAGTACTCGTTCGGGCTAGGGAACTGCAAATATCAAAGAAAAGACTCTTATCTGTTTAGATGAATGCATAGTAGCATTAAGTAGTAACTTTCACATGAGGAGTTTTGTTAAACCTGAGCTTTAAGCTTTGATTTCCATGTGACTTCAACGAGGTTGATACTGATTCCATACGCGACCACCAAAGTAGCAAGATCCCTGATGTATGGTGATGACACCAAGAACTTCAAGCTCTCCATCGTTCCCATCTGTGGCTTCACCTGTAACAAACCAACCACAAGAAACCTCACATAAGCTGCACATCAAACAAAATTACCAAGAACCATTAGTATTTTGTATTGTTGAGAAATGTTGTTACCTTCTTCTTCTTGCTACGGGTAGGGAGAGGGACGTATCTATTGACCCACCAGTAGAGGAAACAGATGGCTAAGCCCATCCCCACCACAATACTCATCATGGCTTTCAACGAAACAGCCCAACCATCAACTCCAGGACCAAGATTCTTTCTCATGTTTGAGAAATACTTCACTGTTCTTCCTGAGAAGATAAGGGCAACATTGGCTCCTAGCCCAAACAAAGGATAGAACTTTTTGGCTTCGTCAACAGTTGTGATCTGCCACCACAAATACAATAGACATTATGACTCAAAGGTTCTAATCTTCATGCACTATCAAACCGAATACTATTGAGTCTAAATGACTAGCAGTAAGCAGAATCAAGAATGTAAAGTCACCTGATTGGCAAATCCCCAGAAGAGAACTGAAACCACAACGCTACCCCAAAGCTCAGCCATGACATAGAACAAACAGAAACTCCAAATCCGCATGATAGCGAGAGGACCCATGAATCTGGGGCCGAGTGTTGCAAGGAGCTTATCAGCGAGCGCTTCAGGGTGAATCAAGTTGCTAAGAGGGTACATAACAAAACCAAAGGCTCCGAAATAGACAATGAAAGGGACAATCACAGTGTAAAAGAGAGCCTTTTTGGAGAGAACATTGGAGAGCTTTGTGTATAGCAGCATAAACCCAATAGCCATAGGAAGATTCACCCATGTCTTGAGAAACGGAATAATCTCAGCAGAGCTTCCTTTCGCCGTCACCACCAGAACATCCTTCGTGTCCCTCAGGATTGTGTAATTGAAGAGAATGCAGAAGAACATGAGCCCCAAAGGGATAATCTTCTTCAGAGTCGTGACCTCCGCACCGAAGATCTTAGGCGACGCCGAAATCGCCGCCGAGTCTCCTTCGCCGAACACGTTTCCATTTCCGTCTCCGGCGGCCGCAGCCTCCGCCTTGCAGATGAATCCTCTGCTTCTCTCCTTGTGGGAAACGGAAATCCCGTGTGGGTTGAGCTGAAAGGCTTGAGATTTCTTGAGCCCTTTAGAGGATATCGATAACCCAGGTAGGTTTCTGGTGAAAAGTCTTTGCTTTAAGCCATGAGACGGCTGGAGAAGACTTCTCACTCCGATGGGTTTCGCCGGTAGAGAGAGGATTCCTCTGGTTTGAATCAGACCTTCCATCTCTCTCTATCTCTCTCGCACGCTCTCCAGCAAAACCCAGAGAGAAATGAAATAGGAAGAAGGAGGTGGAGGAGGAGAGAGAGAGATGATAAGGTGACTCCGTATAGAGAGAAGAGAGGAGTGTTGTTTATTAAACGGTGTGAGAGTGAAATATCTTTAGAAATGGGCGGATTTTGGCAACGTGAAACCAATAAAAACCCTAACGGGGATCTCTCAAAAATGTTCGAAGCTTAATCGTTGAAATTAAATGTAATAAATTTTGCTTTCGGCGAACATGGGAAAAATCGCCGGTGGTTTTGTCTAAAGCAGATGACGTGGCCTGGAAATTTGGTAAGAGTTTTTTTTGTTTGTCACATCGTATTTTTTCTTGCAAGGATCTTCTGAGGTGCTTATTGCTCCACAATCACATACTAGTCAAATTGCTTGTGGCCGTCATTAGGTATAAAAAAAGTTTGCAACTTGCTTAAGTGTGCACCTCACAGTTGTATTGTATCTTGAGAGAAAGCATGTATTCTCCCACTAAGGACACCAACTTGTATATGAATATATTACCTCTAGTGGCATGAATCATTCTCTTCTCTATTTGATACTAGAAGTTATAGAACCATTAAGACAAAATAAATATATTCACATTATAACCCGTCTCTTTATGTTGCACAAAATGCAACAGCAGTAAAAACAGACTTTGTCTTTGAATATGGTTATAAGAGCATCTATGGCTTACCAGTTACCACTTACCAACCTCAAATCATTTTGATTTCAATCATTGTTTGTTATCATTTCTGTTTTAAACAGTACATATATATTTGGACTTTTTAGCACTAGTTTTCTAATTGATGGATACTGGTTTAGCATTTGATGGGTCAGAATTTCCAAACAAAACTCAATCTAACTATGCAAATTTTTTACTTTGTTTTCAAAACAAGAAGAACACATTGATCCTGGTAAATTTAGCCAAGTAAACAAACAAAGAGAGATCTAAAAAAGCAACTCGACAAGTTTGGATGAAAACGAGGGGTTAGCTTTGATATACGTGCACCAACTTGGGAAATGGCTCCTCAATTTGGAGTTAGGAGACTGTGAAGATCCTTCATCCTTTCCTTCCCTCAACCAGGAAAAATCCAAAATTTAAAGTGAGGCCCATTTTGGTATCTTTCATAGTCGCAGACGCCACGTGGCATCAAAATCAGGGATGTCAGAAGAAAAAGTGCACGTGAAAGCCCATTGTGGTCCGAACAAATTGGGCTTTCTCTTTGAAACCTCACAGTCATACAAAGCCCATCAATATTTCCAATCTTTTCCGTTCCTCCATATAATAGGCACTTATGACTTATCGTTCGAATTCAAATTGGTGAAATGGTATCATATTAACTCAAGTTTTGCTTTTCGTTTATCTGTTGTGTCCCTCTATTAACGGAAGAGATTTGAAAATTTTGAAAAGTTTGGTGCTATTTTGTAGCTACAATTGTGAATTTTATCGTGTGGCCCACAGTTTTTAAATTAACGGTAACAAAAACTCATGTCATATCAGCAAAGCTACTGTGTACTCACCACTTTTGTTTCATTACAGAAGAATCTCAATCTTTCCTATTAAAAGAGTATTTAATACTGCCAATTTCGAGCAGAGGTCGTGTTAACATGTTATTACACTGCTTTTAAATTTTATGGTTTGGTGCGCTGTGTGCATACATATATATATTTGGCCGAGTTTCGTTTTGTTAGCTATAATTACAAAATCAATATTAGTAAAGTACTCCTTATTAGTATCTTGCAACTAAAATACCTTCTTTGCCGAAAAAGGTGTGGATGGAAATTAAAGGAAAATATGGGAAAATACGCCCACAATGGATTGAAAATCATCTAATTTCTTTTAGATAAATCTGTCTTTGTGGTCGACTAATTTATACCTATTCCCATAATAGGAAAATTAGGTCCGAATACATCATTTCGGATGTGTACTCGCTTTATTACTAGCTCAACTAAGGTAGACAGTGAATGTGTCGTGTCTATCATTAACGAAGAGAAGACAAAGTTATGCTAAAGTTTCACTGATTACAACAATTAACTAATTTCTTTGAGCTGTGTTTGAAGCTAAAACTGGAATAAAAGAGTAAAGGTTTTATTTCTCGAAATTATTTTACTTTTGAAACAAGGGGTAGAATTGTCAATTGAAAAGTTTTGACAGGTCCGAGTACAGAGACTGATCAGGCCAAGTTGTCAAATTTTTTCGTTCTTTTTGTATTTGTTTTTGTCAAATTTGTAATGAAGAGACATTATTCAAAAAAAATTAAAATACTCACTGGCAATCTGTCTGTTTAATTAGTGAATATAGAATTTTTAAGTCAACTATAGCAATTCACTAATTCTTAAACACTTCCGTACTGTGATATTTAGCATTAAAATATTTATATGATATTTAGACGTGCAATAATAATTATTATTCATATAAATATGTCTTTTAAAAAGAATGGCCGAAGAAAACGGAGGTTTTTGTTTTCTGGAGAAACCAAAAAGTTCATTCTTTTTTTTTTCCCCATTTTCCCTTCGCCTTTCCTGCGATTCTGAAAATCTCTCTGCTTCATCATCTCTTATCAGAATCGTAGCAATGGCGTCCTTTTGACCCTGTTTTTTTCTTTCACATTTGTGAAATAGAGTAGTATTTATCGCCGCCGATCTGTCGCCAGCAGATGGCCAACCTTTTACTTTCATCTCGAATTTACCCGGATTCGGTTGATTTTTGGTCGTTCCCTTTCCTTCTATCTAGGGTTTCGACTCACCACATAGAACAAGGAGGCAAAAAGATCTGATTTTTTGTTAAAACGATTAGCATTGTAATTTGAATTGGTGCGGAGGCGTTAGAGCTGTCCGATTGGGGTTCGACCGATCCGTCCAATCGGAGACTTTTCCTCAGCGAGGAAGGATGGCGAAGAGCTGGTTTATGGTTGAGAAGGCGAGACGATGCTTGCGGACGGTGTTCTTCATGGTTGCGATGTTGGCTTCGCTGCTCGTTTCGTCGTTGCCGTTGCTCGTAGCTATAGGGGATGTGCTTGTTCCGAGCTTCTTGTTGTCTAGCTTTACTTGCCTGACGTGCTACGGCGCCAAAGAGCATCTGAGCCGATACGGTTTCAAGCGATCCTTGACTGATATTCCCATCGTCTCCGTCGTCAGATCTTTCCTTGTCATCTGTAAGAACAATCCCTCCTTTGCAGGCATTACCATTTGCAATGGAATAAAGTTTTGATCTTTGGCTTTTGTAGATCAGTCTGCTCTTATAAAGATGTTGATTAGTTGTGTGATTGATGAACAGGTGTGTATTCACTCTCGGACGTTCCGGGACTCTCGCACGGTCCTTACCTGGGATTTGTATCTTTGTGTTCTGTAGTTTCCGTTCTGCTTCTTTCAGTAAAAGCATGCCTTTTCACTGTAAATTCTCAACTCAACAACGAAGCCTCCTTCTCTCCATCTAGGCAACGGCTCCACCTGAAGAAGTCGTGGGGGATGCCGGTTTTGTTCCTCTCGTCTGTGGTTTTTGCACTTGGTCATACGGTTGTAGCATACAGGACAAGTTGCAAAGCAAGGAGGAAGATTTTGTATCACAGAGTTGACCCTGAAGCTGTGAGTAATCTTCATTGTTCATTAGAATCTCATTTGCTTTTCTTTTTTTGGTTTAACTGGAGTGTGTGTGTGTGTGTGACAGGTTCTTTCATGCAAAAACATCTTCTCTGGCCACCAGAAAGTGCCACGGTCTCCGACTCCTTTGGTTGGGAAGCCTTCCAAGTTTGATGGGGAAGCAAGGCGGAAGCCTTTGTGCCACGATGAAGGAGAGCTTCCAGTGAGGTTGCTTGCTGATGTTGACAGTTTGTTCATCACAATCCGAGGGCTCAATGTGCATTACAAGCTTTGTGCACCTGGTTCACCTCAGCAGTCAAATGTTCTGGAAGCGAATTCTAGCTACAACACGCCGGAGACAATGGGAGGAAGGTTGAAGTTTGACAGGAAAGTTATGAGCATGGCAGCGAAAAGCCAGCATCACCATCACCACAGAAGCTACAGCAGTCTGTTTAACAATTCTTCCTTGCAGGACCCTCTACTTGATGGTTCTCCTACTTCTCCTCTTCTCTTCAAAGAAATTGAGGAAGGGACAGGTCAAGAGGATGGCATGAATGTGTTCAGTTTTGGGGCTGAGGAGCAAGAACTGGATAAGAGTGGTCAGTTTGGTGTGGTTTTGGTTCATGGATTTGGGGGAGGAGTGTTTTCCTGGAGGCATGTGATGGGTTCACTGGCTAATCAGCTTGGCTGTGTTGTCACTGCTTTTGATAGGCCTGGTTGGGGATTAACAGCCCGGCCACATAAAAATGATTTTGAGGAAAGACAGCTGCTCAATCCTTACACACTTGAAAATCAGGTAGAGATGCTTCTTGCTTTCTGTCATGAAATGGGGTTCTCTTCAGTAGTATTTGTTGGCCATGATGACGGAGGTCTGCTTGCTCTGAAAGCTGCACAAAGATTGATAACAACAAACGATCCCATCAAAGTGAGTGGACATTTATTAATCAGATCATATGGTTTCCAGGCTTGTCTCTTTTCCTTTGCTAATCCTAGTTGTTGCTGATGTTTCTAGGTCGTGGTCAAAGGAGTGGTTTTGCTTAATGCTAGCTTGTCAAGGGAAGTAGTTCCAGCTTTTGCAAGAATACTTCTGCATACATCACTAGGGAAGAAGCACCTTGTTCGCCCTCTTTTACGCACTGAGATAGCTCAGGTGGTGAATCGTCGCGCTTGGTACGATCCTGCCAAGATGACAACAGACGTCCTAAGGCTATACAAGGTACCCTTTCTCCTTCATTACAGTACCAAAAGAGGTGAATACATATCATCAAGTGCATTAATGTGTTTTTCCCCCTTACCAGGCCCCACTACACGTAGAAGGCTGGGATGAGGCACTTCATGAGATAGGCAGGCTCTCATCTGAGATGGTGCTTGCGCCTCAAAATGCAGCTTCCCTTTTGAAGGCTGTGGAAAACCTTCCGGTATTAGTCATTGCTGGAGCCGAAGACGCTCTTGTGCCGTTAAAGTCTTCCCAAGCAATGGCTTGTAAACTCCTAAACTCTGTAAGTCCCTCTTTCAACCACAAAACTCTTTGATCGATTCTCAGCCTTCCAGTTGTAGTTTGTTGTCAAAACTGGAACTGATGTTCATTTATGTCAACAACAGAGGCTAGTAGCAATCTCAGGATGTGGGCATCTACCACACGAGGAGTGTCCCAAGGCGCTTCTTGCAGCCATCTCGCCTTTCATCACTAGACTTGTACTTAGGCCAGATCTCCATAGTCAATAGCCAGATCACATCTTTTTCTTGTCCCCCTCGTAGCTTACAACCAATTAGTGTTGAGGTCTTGCTAGGCAAATCATCGCAAGATTGTTGTAACCTGTCCTTTCTCTTCTGGGTTGATTTGAGAGTGTTTTTCTTTATTAGGCACTTGAAGATGAGTGTGCAAGTGTCTGTAAATTTATCTGGTTTGGAATACAAAGTCAATACCTTCATTTTCACTCGTCATTGTCACTGGTATTATTAAAAAGCAAACTAAACAAGAAACATACCATTTAGCATAGAAGCAAGTCAGCAACCAAACATATCTTAATTTAAACTAATCAAGCTACTGACGTTCGTACTAAACATGGATTAAATAAAACAAAAGATTCACATGAGGAGGAAGATGTTAGCACAACTCAATCCAGGATATCAGAGAGATGCGTCCTCTTGAAAGGATCAGCCTTGGCCAGCTGAGCAGCCAAACCTTTGTTGGGGAAGATGTTATCAGCTTTCATTCTATCCTTCATTCCATAAGCAGGAGCTTTGGCATTGACATAAGACTGGATCAGAGTTTGGAACTGCCTGAAGCGAGATAGATAGCCAGCTTGTCTCATCCTCTGGAAGATCTTCTCAGTGTTGTGAACATCACCTCTTCTTGCATACTCGTCCATCACATACATGAATGAGCTCATCAACGGCTTTATCTGCTTCAACTGTGTGGACTTCACCAGCGAAGAATCAGCCTTTTCTACATCACCAGCTTCCACGTAGAGCCTGATCAGTGAGTCCCATGTCAAGGCACCGATCTTGCAACCGCTGTCCGACATCCTCTTAACAAGATCCTTACCTTCTGAAACCATCTTGTGATCCACATAAACCCTCAAGAGAACGGAGTACGTGTTAGAAGAAACTCTATGACCCATCTTCACCATCTTCTCAAAAACCGCCTCTGCTTCTTTCACTTGATTGATCCTTCCAAAAGCCAAGATTGCAGCAAGGGACTCGTCAAAACGAGGATTCTCCTCACAGATCTTCCAAATTCTGTTCACCTCATCCGCCATCTGGAGAGTACCATAGATGGAAAGCAAATCCTTGCACACATGCCGATTCGCCTCCAAGTTTTCACCTTCCATCTCTCTCAGAACTTTCTCAGCCTTGTCCTTAACCCCAGCTAATGCATAGTGTCTTGCCACAAAAGCTTGTGCACGAACGTCAAGCTCAACACCTTCACTTTTCATCGCCTCCATGATTCCTTCCATCCCACTAATGTCATGTGATGATCCTTTGGCGTCAATCAAGATTGTGTAAGTGAAAAGACTCGGCTTCAGATTCTCCTTCTCCATGACCAACAACACATCTGCAATCTTCTTCTTGTCAACTCTCTTGTATAGCATAAGCATCTGATCACATGCAAACAAGGAGCGAGGGAACCCCAAGTCCTTCATTTTGTTGAACACTTCTTCAGCTTTCCTCACATTGCTCTCTGCAGCATAATTCGACAGGAGCGTACGGTAGACCATTTCCCCTCTGAAAGATTCCGGTATTTTCTCGATGTATGCTTCTGCTTTGAACACGCCACGCACCTTAGCAATCAGATCAAGCCGTGTAGCATAATCCCTCTCCTCCATTTCAATTTTCTTACTTTCTTCCAACCACTCTGCCATCTTTTATGAATAACACAAGAACTTAGAGAGAATCAAGAAGATAAAATCTAAAGGCAAGTTTTGTTTAAAGAGAATATATATATACCTGCATTGCTCTCCCATACATGCGACGCCTACGGAGTTGTAACATGGCATTTGCAATCTCTGTGCGGTTGATCTCTTTGCCTTCTTCAACCCATTTATCAAGTGCACTCCCTACAGACACACCTGAGAAAGCAACAATGGCCTGAAACAGCTCTGACGATCTCTTGCTTGCCGTTCTTTTACCAGCCTCGGAGTCAGGGACGTGGAGTTCCAGCTCTGCTCCTTCAATATCATCTTCATCACCGGAGAGCTCCTCCTGAGAGGTGACCCCGTCATCGCTATCACTATCACCTTCAAGATCTGAAGTCCTGTTTTCGAGGTCTTCTTCCTCTCCGGCACTTTTAGCGCCGGCATCAGAAGATAGTGAACGTCTTCCGGTGGAGGAACTCCATGAGCGCTCGTGAAATCTAGGGAAAGCTCCGTGCTTGTCATGTATCAAAGCGTTTGGTTCAGAAGAACTGTTCCTTTCTCCCAATGGTAGCTCTAGCTTAGAGTAGTACACAGCATTGCGAGCTCCTAGTCGGAGACTCTGGCTTCTGAAACATTACAAAGACCAGAATCTGCTAAATGAACATTCTATAATCTATTTCATAGTAATTCTGCAGCTAAGAACCAAATGGTAGAACAAGAAATTAATAAAAGTATAATCGAGGAAGCCAACCTCCGTAAAACCTTGGAAAGGGCGAACATTTCTTCTCCTCCGATAAGATCACAGGCACTGATCTAAACACGCAGACAAACAGAATCAGAACAAAATAAAAAACCAATTTTGCAGGATCAGACCCAGTAAGCAAAAACAATATACAAACTTTGAGAAGATTACAGAATGGTATAAGATTAAGGTCGTTAGGGTAACGAGGGCTTACAGAGTGCAGCTGGAGAGCAAGCGAATTGAGGACGGAAATGGAAGAAAAGCCAAAACCAGGAGGAGAGCAGAGAGCTGAAATGTAAGGGTTTAGGGTTTTACACTTATTGCTTTTTCTTCCTTTGTTTTGTTGTTTGCTTCAATTTTGGGCCTCTCTAGTTTTAATTGGGCTGTAAACGGCACCCCGCTTTGAAATATTGCGACTGTTTGTGATTTGGCCATTGGCAATTTCAATGTATAAAGAGTTTACTTGTCAAAATTTGGATTAGAGACTCACTTATCCACTCCCATAGAGAGAAGATTTATGTTCGTTTTATTTCGCGGAACATATAAAAGGCAAAACCCTCTGTCACATCTTAGTGATGCAAAAACAACTATGAATCTATCTAGTGAATCATTCATAAGGTAAACGATGTTCTCATTTGTCCTCTGCGGCTTTCTCGTTGATACGCAGACTCTCAGCTTTACGCACAACCTCCTCTGCAACAAGCTTCACGTGACCGCTCAGATTATTGCTCTCCTCATGGTTCACCGTACCAACCTCCCATATTCTTACCGTCCCGTCTTCTGAGCCTGACGTGTACGACTCTCCTTCTGGTGCATACCTCACGCAGTGCACTGGCCCGTGGTGACCCTTGTTACACCCTGCACTCACCGGAATTGGGTTAATAAAGGGGCAAACACAGATTCCTAAAAATAGTAATTCTTCTCTTGAAGAAACTTACCAATCTCCTCTCCAGTCTGGAAATCAAACCTGTGGACCCACATGTCTTCTCCTCCAGCAATGAAAGTCTTGCCGTGTTTCGGTTCCAAGGACGCCGATTCAACGTTGCAAGGCATGTCATAGCTCTTCAGCAATCCAAAGCTAGGGGAGGCCAAGAGAAACGTTCAAGCATAATTGTGACAAAGAAGAACGATAAAGATATCTGAAACTTACTTATTGGCGTCCCAGAACTTAACACTAGATCCATCAGCAGTAGTTATGTATCGCCCATCTGGACTTACTTCAGCACTAGTAACTGGGGACTTTGTTTCTAACGTTTGAACAATCTTGTCACTTCTTATGTCCCATAACCTACAGAGGACAGATACCAAAGGAGGATGACACTAGGAATACTAAAAGAATCGAGTCTAAACAATGTGGTAACGTACCTAATGTCACCGGTATCTGTGCAAGAGCTTAAGATGGTTTTATCACTATGAAGCCATTCGACGGTTCTGATTGAACCAGGAGAACTTCCAACTTCTTTTGGTGGTGCATCTGGCCGATTCAAATCGAATATCCGAAGAATTTTCTCCATTCCACCAGTGAGCAAGAGGTGAGTGTCCTAGAATGTAAATAGTTGTGCATTGAGACCACATTACAAACACAAACGATTACAGAACCTCAAATCCTACAAGTAATCTAAAAGAATCCCACCATCCATATCCCTTATATCAGAACACTTGGCAAGGTGATTAAATCAATCTTTGCTGGAAAATGAACTAAAGCTTACATCTGAGAAGGCACATGCACGAACAATGTGCTTGTGTTCGAAGGAGTGCAATACATCTCCAGTCAATGCATTCCATATTTTCCTGAAATAGTGTTACAATCACAAATAATCAGTCTTAATCTCCGGGAAGCTATTGTTCCTCTTAGTAAAATCACTTAACCATTTTATCTCGAAACACAATTTTCCTCATAAGTTTAAGCTTTAAGCAAACAACCCATCACCAGTGGCTATTGAAAACGCAGCAAGAAGAAGAACATACGCAGTGAAATCTGCAGAAGCTGAGGCAGCACGCATAGCATTTTTATCAAGGCTACAACTCCAAACTGCTCCCTTGTGTCCTTCAAAAGTTCCTATCCAATCACCAGTCTCCCCATTCCTCAACATCGGGTTCGAATCTAAGCATCACAAGTCGAAGAAGATTCAGCTAATGTTACAACAACGAAGACAAGTCATAACTCATAACTCATAATCCTAATTTCTCAATCAGATCAGCAGCCAGAACGAGTAAAAGAAAAATCTGCCAAATGTGAATCAACAATCCCACATCAAAGCAAATCAGATGTGCAATCAAAATCCATGAACAATTCAAATAGGCGCAGCTCAACGTGAAGATCATGGATTTTCAGATACTAATCGATCGAGCCTAAATCTGTAAATCATATCGGATCATACCTTTGCTGGCGCTAATGAGGAAGAAGCCATCTGGAGTCACCGGACTGTAAGAGACATCGACGACGGGACGAGAATGCCCGTGGCAGACTAACGGAACCCCCATTTTTTTCCTTGTCTATTCACTAAGAATCCTAATGGAAAAACAAATCTAATCAATCGGAGGATTAGCAAGTTTCGAAGACAGTAATCAATTGATTTACAAACTCTGAAGAAATCTGAATCGAATAGGATACCCAAAATGTGAGAATCGTTTTCGATTCGTGGCGAGATTGCGTTGAGGACCAAATCCGAGTGGTTTGATTTCTGCGAATGTGTGATCTGCGAGGGAAATCCTCTTAAAGAGGATCACGCCTATATAAATTTGGTAAGAGAAAACTAAGAGAAGAAGAAATGATGAGAGGAAACTTTTTTTTTTTGGGGTTGTTTCGATGGCCTAAACGCAGAGAAGAACTCGCGGAGACGACGATGGTATTGGTAGTTACGCTCTCAGAAATCAGAAACACAAAACTTTCCGTATTTTGCGAATAAAGGCTTATGTTCAACAATATTAACACTATGGGCCCCTAAGTTTCAATTAATTTTAATATCACTTGATTTTTAAGAATAGTTATTCAAAAGCCCCTGTTGAAACCAAATTGGTCAATTCCTCCCCCAAATGACGTGAGAATAGAGGAATTACGTGAGAACCTCACCCAACCTTAATTTTATTCTTGATGAAGACATTTTATTCAAAGTGAGGAATCGTTTATTGTGTCACTGAGATAAGTTGTGCGACACGGAATTAATACTTGTACTAATGGTTAACGTATAAAATGAAAATGTATGCTTATATAGTATGATTTTGATGTTTAGCTCAATGATTCGTCAATATAAAATGATATTCATACACTACACACCGACGGAAACATACATACTGATCTCATGGTACGGGCGTTTAGAATCTCAAGTCCTTTTCAAACCTGGATTTTCATTATTTTCAAAACGATGTTGAATTGTTGACCCATGTGCATGTAACTATCCTACTTAATTTATTATTCAAATCCTATTCCTGAAAACACTCTATAATGACATGTAGATGTAGCTTTATAGCTTTTACTCGAACCTTAGATATGGGCTATAACCATGAAACCTTTACTTAATCTCAACATACTCTATATTCTTTCCCCGGAAAACAAAAATATTATATTACGTGTGAAATGCACCAAGTCGTTACAGCTAGGAAATTTAGCCAGAATTGAACTAAAATAAATACAGAAACATAACTACATTGAAAGCAAACATCGTTTCGTTTCCTCCTTGGATTTAACTAAGAAATGTGTAAACGCGGTTTTGACTGATCAAAAGTTATGGCATTTGCAATGGCAAGTGGCGTGGGAGCGTGGAGTGATGCGTGTATGAGTGCATATACGTCATATGACTCAGGGGTGAGTTTTGGTACAACTAACTATATTAAATGTGTGTGCATGCTGACGTAGCGGAAACTTCTAGGGATAGAACTAGAGATCCGTTGATTCCTCAGAATACCGGATAACTAGGGTTTGAGAGTCCTCCTCTCAGGCTTTCGCAAAAGCTCTTGGTTGTGAATACTCTTCACAGTGGTTTATCAAAACCTCTTCAGGAAATATTCTTTTTATAAATTTATCAAAGTCTGAGTACAATATGAAGCCTAGATGGCTATTTATAATAAAAGCTCAAAACCCTAAGAATATTCTAGAAAGCTCTTAAATAATTAAGTATTAAAACATAAATATAAATAAATAAACTAATAATCTAAATAATCAAATATTTAAGATTTCCAAATATCACGCTGCATCAGGTCTCGCCGGCCAAGAAAGATTCGTCCTCGAATCTTCATAGGGTTTTCATCACATGGGCTTTTGGCAGAATTATCTTCATCTTCCTTTGACTTGGCCAACTTTCACACAAACCGGATTAGACCCGAAACTTGCACGGATCTGAATCTGCACGATTTTCGCACAAACCGGATTTTGCACGAAACCGAAATCTAAACGAATCTGACTGCGCCCTGATTTTGCACGCATCAGATCCTCAAACAAATCTTCTTTGAAAACGAAGTCAATAACATCAACATCATCTTCATATGTGTCATAGATTGGATCGCCATAGATCTCTCGATAGATCTCATGACCCTCTTCTCTCTCGACAAAAGGACTTTCGTCCTCGAAAGTGTAGATGTTGTCACTCATCATGACATCCAGAATCGATCTCTGATTGAGAAATCAAAGAGACGCGGCTCTGATACCAACTGACGTAGCGGAAAGCTTCTAGGGATAGAACTAAGAGATCCGTTGATTCCTCAGAATACCGGATAACTAGGGTTTGAGAGTCCTCCTCTCAGGGCTTTCGCAAAAGCTCTTGGTTGTGAATACTCTTCACAGTGGTTTATCAAAACCTCTTCAGGAAATATTTTTTTTATAAATTTATCAAAGTCTGAGTACAATATGAAGCCTAGATGGCTATTTATAATAAAAGCTCAAAACCCTAAAATATTCTAGAAAGCTCTTAAATAATTAAGTATTAAAACATAAATATAAATAAATAAACTAATAATCTAAATAATCAAGATATTTAAGATATTTGGAATATTTCCAAATATCACGCTGCATCACATGCCTTGCTTTTACGTGACACAAAACCCACTCCAGGTAACTTTCACATCTCACAATCCTACCCTACTGTTTTCCAATAAAAATCATCTACTTATTACATAAATTATAACGAAAAAACCATGAAGTTCGATTATTTAATGATTAATTACCAAAATAATTCATAAGGTGGAGACATTCTTTTTGTTGTTAAAGGGCTTGCATTAATTAAGTCAAAAGTTTACATCCTAAAGGAATCTTACACGAACCAGATCAACCACATTTGTGAGAGAATCAAACAAAACTCAAAATGGTTATCAATCATATATACGACATACCAATAGTCAATAGATCGAAACAATAAATCGCATCGTGGTATTATGTAGCGAATAACGATCCAGCGTTGGGTAAGCAGTAGTGTTTCTGCCTTGAAATGCCGTCGCTTTAATTAGAAGTTGCCGTGGAAAACATTCTTTGGTGCAATTTGCCAGGAAGGCTAGTGAGTCCAAAATGGACGCATCATGTGTTTCTTGTCTTCCGAATCTCGTAGACAATTGCTTGCCATTCGTGTAGAAAGGCAAGTTTAGCGTGTTGACTGTTGAGATACGCGTTGATGTGTAATTGTGTGTGATAAATGTATGACTGACTCTTTCAAAACAAAATTTGCTAGGTTGATCTATTTACATGATGCAAACAAAGAGAAAGTTTGAGAGAAAAACTTATAAAAGGAAATTAAACGTGAAAAATGAAATAAGGTTGATTTTGAATAAATCCTCGAGGAACATGTATAAAATGGGAATACTCATGTGACTAGAGAAGAATAAGAAAAATTAACAACTGTACTAAGATTTGAAAGCTATTAAAGCAAAGAAAATATGCTTTTGAGTTTTCATATGTCTTTAATTGGAAAGAATATCTAAAAAAATGAAGAAGAAGGAAACAAAATTACAAGAAATCCAATCGTTCAGCAAAAAAAGACAAAATACAATAAATACATTATTTCAAAATTACCAAGAAAAATAAATTAAGAGCAATTCGCACGTACGGTCTCCTGGGAAAAGAACAGAGAGAGTTAAATCATCAAGATCACAGAGGCAAGAGTCAACCACTGTAATACTGGATCATTGACACTTGTCAATAGGCCCAACATTTGTTTTTTGGTCATATGTGGGGTCTCTCTCAATTGCGACGCATATTCGCTTAATGAACAGAGCAGAAGAAGACCGTTAACGGTGCCTCGTTTTTAACCTATAACTTCGCCAACGATACTACTCCGGCTCCGGCGATTCTCGCTTCCTACCGTCGTCGGCGGTATCTTCCTCTATAAAATTATTTCATGCTTTTATCTATTTAGAATAAATTAACTTTTACATTAAAACCAGATATACGTAATAATTGAAAAAGTGGGATATTAATTCATTGTACTTTTGTAAACTTGAGATTTCTCTTTAGTTGAGAGGAGACGGAAAGACTAAGAACTTTGTCATGGAAAGGAAAAGAAAGTTCATGTCTTTTATGCTCGTTTTGTGCATTGGTGATGTTTCTCTAATTGAAGTTGGGCACATTGCGTTTTCCTTTTGCTCAAAATGGCCAAGAAAATTGACGTTGCTACTTGACAAAAGCCATGAAGTTCTATTTTTATAGTTGGTGGAAAAAGACTGGATTCCTCACATTTTAAGAAAAAAGATAATATGAAAATTGATTTTCATTCGAGTAGTCTATTAAATGCAAGATTTGAAGCCATTGATACATAATATATATAGCTTCCTTTTTCGTGGTTTAAGTCATTAAAAGACTGGACCAGAGCCTAAAAATCTCAAGAGAGCGACGGAGTTCTGGTGGAGTCTCTGAGTGGTCGTGGATATGGAGGAGCAAAGACTTGGAAGCTCGAACAGCCCACTTCGAGGTGTCTTAGCAGATCTTAAAGGAAGAGCCTTGTGTTACAAGCAAGATTGGGTCTCTGGTCTCCGTTCTGGCTTCGGGTACTTAAACCTTGTTTCTCTACACACTTAGAATTAGAGATTCTTGTTGAGTTGAGACAAGGGACAAGATTGTGATGTTCTTATTTTCTTTTTGAGGTTTTGCAGGATTCTAGCACCAACGACATACATTTTCTTTGCCTCTGCACTTCCGGTTATCGCCTTTGGTGAACAACTTAGCCGCGACACAGGTTTATGTCTTTGAACTTCTCTTCTGTCGACTGTTCTTGATTCTTTTTAACGGTTTGTGTTCACGTTTCTTTGGCGGAACAAGAGTCTTGAAGTTGCACACGTTTGGTCTGGTTTTTGTTTTTTCTTAAATAAATTTGGGGAAATTACAGAGGGAACGTTGAGCACAGTAGAAACGTTAGCATCAACAGCGTTATGTGGAGTGATACACTCAATCCTGGGAGGACAGCCGTTGTTGATACTTGGAGTTGCAGAACCAACTGTCTTAATGTATGTTTACTTGTACAACTTCGCTATAGGAAGACCAGAATTAGGCAAACAACTCTACTTAGCTTGGGCTGCTTGGTAATTACCTCAGTAAACTCTTTTTTATGTCTTTTTCTGTAAAGTTATGGTTTGTTTCTTTATGGTTATTAATTTTTGTTGGGTGTTAGGGTTTGCGTGTGGACGGCTCTGTTACTGTTCCTAATGGCGATCTTCAACGCGGCTGATATCATTAACCGGTTCACGAGGATTGCCGGTGAGCTGTTCGGTATGCTGATCTCTGTTCTGTTCATCCAACAAGCCATTAAGGTATAAATACCAAAAATCTTAATTTGTGATGATGAGTCAAAGCTTGTTTATATGTTTTAAATATATGTTTTAAAATGAAACTTGCAGGGAATGGTGAGTGAGTTTGGGATGCCAAAAGATGAGGACTCAAAGCTTGAAAAGTATCAGTTTCAGTGGCTTTACACAAACGGACTTCTTGGTCTCATTTTCACATTTGGCCTTCTCTTCACCGCTTTGAGGAGCAGGAAAGCAAGGTCTTGGCGATACGGAACTGGTAAGAGAGATTAAGATTCTAATGTTTTTAGTGATGTTAAAATTTAAATCAGGCCTTAATTAAAACTCTGATTTTCTTGGAAAAAAAGGATGGTACAGAAGCTTCATCGCAGACTATGGAGTTCCTTTGATGGTTGTGGTTTGGACAGCACTGTCTCTAACTACGCCGTCAAAACTCCCCTCTGGTGTCCCTAGAAGACTCTTTAGTCCACTTCCATGGGACTCTGCTTCTTTAACTCATTGGACTGTCATCAAGGTTACAAACTCAAGAAACACTACTTATTAAGTTCTTGATTTTTTCATCAAGAACTTCTCTAACCTTTGGTCTGGTCTGTACAGGACATGGGAAAAGTCTCTCCTGGCTACATCTTTGCGGCGTTTGTACCTGCAGTGATGATTGCAGGGCTCTACTTCTTTGACCACAGCGTTGCCTCGCAACTCGCTCAGCAGAAGGAGTTCAACCTCAAGTACCCTTCTGCTTATCACTACGACATTCTCTTGCTGGGATTCATGGTAACCAATCAATCAGTCAAACTCTTTTTCCTTCACTACAAGCTCACCTTTACAACATTGGAATCTGTATGCTTTTTCAGACGTTGATCTGTGGATTGCTTGGTCTTCCTCCTTCTAACGGAGTCCTTCCTCAGTCTCCTATGCACACCAAAAGCCTCGCTGTTCTCAAACGACAGGTCAGTATTCAGGTTATATAAGCTGAATCTCTTGATGAACCATTTTGATGTTGTTTGTTGCTTTTCAGTTGATCAGGAGGAAGATGGTGAAGACAGCCAAAGAAAGCATCAGCAAGAGAGAACCTCCTTCCCAAGTGTTCCAAAACATGCAACAAGTCTTCATAGAAATAGACAAAAGCCCACTTGTAAGTAGTAGTAGACTTCATATTTCAATGTTCAGGATTCAGAATCATTAACACATAAGCTCTTGTTTTAACAAACTACAGGCTCAGACAAACACAGCAGTGATGACTGAGCTGAAAGATCTGAAAGAAGCAGTGATGAAGAGCAATGACGAGGAAGGAGAGAGAGACATGGAGAATGATTTCGATCCAGAGAAGCACATTGATGCTTACTTGCCTGTTCGAGTCAACGAGCAGAGAGTGAGCAACCTGTTGCAGTCACTGCTAGTGGCAGGTGCTGTGTTAGCTATGCCTGCCATTAAACTCATACCTACGTCAATTCTTTGGGGATACTTCGCTTACATGGCCATCGATAGCCTCCCTGGAAACCAATTCTTCGAACGTATAATGCTTCTCTTCGTCTTACCAAACCGGAGATTCAAGTATGTGCTCTCTGAAAAAAAACAAATGCTCTGTTTTTTTTTTGTTACCTTCAAAGACTGATCAAACGTAATTCTTGTTCAGGGTCTTGGAGGGAGCGCACGCGTCGTTCGTGGAGAATGTTCCTTATAAGACAGTGGCTGCGTTCACACTCTTGCAGATATTATACTTTGGACTGTGTTACGGAGTGACGTGGATTCCGATAGCCGGAATTATGTTTCCGGTTCCTTTCTTCCTGTTGATAGCCATCAGACAGTACATTCTCCCAAAGCTCTTTAAACCGGCTCATCTCCAAGAACTCGATGCGGCTGAGTACGACGAAATCCCCGGTACTCCTGGAAACCCGCTCGAACCGTCTTTCCGGGTGAGTCCAATCAAAGCTTGATACTTACGTTATTTAATGACCTAAAATATCTAAGTTTGTCGAGTTAATGGTTGAGTTGAATTTGTTTTAGTTGACTGAGTCGACGAAAGGCGTCCAAGACCAAGAGTACGATGCTGAGATATTAGACGAGCTAACGACGAGCAGAGGCGAGCTTAAGGTCCGTACGGTCAGTCTTAACGCAGACAAAGGCAACCAGGTTCGGTTATAGATCATCCTTGGCTTTGAATCTTGACTCTGTAAAAGGATTTTGACAGACTCATGTTTCATTGTTTTAAAAAACCTGCAGATTTATCCAAAGGAAACACAAGAAGAATCACAAGATTGTTCTTTCAAGTGATACCGAATGATCAAAACCATATGATATTAAAATAAAGATGATGTGTGTTTGTTAAGATAGTCTTATAAGCAGTGAGCAGATATGTAACAATTTTGATTTCAATTGTCTTCTCTTGTAGAAAAACATTTTTGTGACGTCTACTTTTCTATCAGGAAACAGCCTGGAATAAAATTTATAAAAGTAACGTTACCTCACACGATTTCATTGCCTTTTCTTGTAGAAAATCATTTAAAGACGTCTTCTTTTCTCCCAGTCGGAAATAAAATTATCAAAAATGACTTAACTCAAGTACTCAACCTTTCAATATTTGTGAAGTTGGAAATTTCACATTCTTGAGTTTGTGTAGAAGGAGAAAAAAAAAAGGAAAAAAATTTCACATGCTTGTGCATTTTGATAACCAAGTGTGTACACTACATTGACTTTCGTATTATAATTGTATAGATGAGATGATTATCACCAAGGATCCGTGGCGCAATGGTAGCGCGTCTGACTCCAGATCAGAAGGTTGCGTGTTCGATTCACGTCGGGTTCAATCCCCCGAATCTTGGTCCTTCAATTTTTTTGTTTTCTCTCTTTTTGCCCCACAAAAACTTCAATATTCCATAATGTGCCCATGGTTTTGCTCTTTTTCAATTTTTATACAAAAGCCCATGGACCTGCAGATTGCGCGAGTTGTCCATGAAATTAAAAGTTGTCTCTCTCTAATTTGGTCAAAGGGAGATTGTAACTTGAAACCCTCGTTAAACCCTAACGCCGTAATCTTCGCTTCCGGCATCGCTTTCTCTCACATCTCTCCAGACTTTGCCGGAATCCGAACGCCGCCATGGACTACACCTTCCAGAATCTGCTTGGCGCTCCTTACAGAGGCGGGAACGCCGTCATCATCCAGAATACTCAGCTAATTTCACCGGTCGGCAATCGCGTCTCCGTCACCGACCTCAACAAGCACCATACGATTACTCTTCCGGTGAGCTCCTCTTCCAACATTTGTCGCCTCGCCGCCTCTCCTGACGGGACTTTCCTAATCGCCGTCGATGAAAACAACCGATGCCTCTTCATCAACCTGCCTCGGAGGGTGATTCTCCACAGAATGACCTTCAAGGACAAAGTCGGTGCCTTGAAGTTTAGCACCGATGGCGAATATATCGCCGTCGGAGTTGGTAAGCTGGTCCAGATATGGAGATCACCTGGTTTCAGTAAATTGGTTTTCGCCTTTGAGCTGATTAGGACTTTTGCTAACTCTGATGATAAAGTTGTCTCTTTGGAATGGAGCTTGGACTCTGATTATCTCCTTGTTGGCTCAAAGGATTTAGCAGCTAGGTTGTTTTGCGTTAGGAAGCTGAGAGGTGTATTGAATAAGCCCTTTTTGTTTGTGGGGCATAGAGATTCTGTTGTGGGTTGCTTCTTTGGTGTTGATAAATCGACTAACAAGGTCAACAGAGCCTTCACGATCGCACGGGATGGTTACATGTTTAGCTGGGGCTATAGTGTAAAGGATGTCAAGATGGATGAATCAGAAGATGTCCCGTCTCCTGATACTCCAGAGAGGGCTGATGTGGTGATGGCTGAAAATGGTGGTGGTATTGTCACTAATCAGAGGAAACGAAAAGAGTATGACGGTAAAGATCGTGACTTAGAGGGAGAAGAAGAAGATTATTTGCATAGAGGGAAATGGGTTTTGTTGAGGAAGGATGGGTTTAATCAGGGAGGAGCGAAGGTGACAGCTTGCGACTACCACAAGGGGCTTGACATGGTTGTGGTGGGGTTCTCGAATGGTGTTTTCGGGCTTTATCAGATGCCAGATTTCATCTGTATCCATCTGCTGTCTATCTCCAGGGAGAAGATAACAACAGCTATCTTTAACGAGCGTGGTAATTGGTTGACGTTTGGTTGCGCGAAACTCGGTCAGCTGTTAGTCTGGGAGTGGCGATCTGAGAGCTATATACTGAAGCAGCAAGGACACTTTTTTGATGTGAACTGTGTCACTTACTCACCTGACTCACAGTTCTTGGCAACTGGTGCTGATGATAACAAAGTCAAGGTATTCAAATCTCAAAGACTTGGCTTGTTTGTTATAAACCATGTACTTCTGGAGTTAACCAGCCCTTGTTTCTTGATTTTGTATTTTACAGGTGTGGAACGTTGCATCAGGGTCATGTTTCATAACCTTCACAGAGCACACCAATGCTGTCACTGCTCTTCATTTTATGGCTGATAACCACTCCCTCTTAAGTGCGTCTCTGGACGGCACTGTTCGTGCTTGGGATTTTCGAAGATACAAGAACTACAAAACATATACAACCCCTACACCACGGCAGTTTGTTTCCTTAACAGCAGACCCGAGTGGTGATGTCGTCTGTGCTGGGACCCTAGATTCATTCGAGGTGATTCAACTTTGGCCTTTACTGATTTCAGTCACATACGCACAAATACTGAATTAGCAGTCTGAATCACTTTTTACTTGTCTATGTGCAGATTTTTGTATGGTCCAAGAAGACTGGCCAAATAAAGGATATTCTGAATGGGCATGAGGCTCCTGTTCATGGGTTAATGTTTTCTCCCTTAACGGTAAATAATCTGTAATTCCTTTGGTCCATATATATTTTGTTTCTTAGAACATAGAACTTTTCGGAGTCATGTATACGTCTCGCTTGTGGTGTTATAACTGTCATGCCTTATCCAGATCCATATTTCTGTCTGTGCAGCAAATTTTAGCTTCATCTTCATGGGACAAAACTGTTCGGTTGTGGGATGTGTTTGCCAGCAAAGGCACAGTGGAGACGTTTCAACACAACCACGATGTTCTAACAGTTGCTTTCCGTCCTGATGGAAAGCAATTAGCTTCCAGTACGCTAGATGGTCAGATCCATTTCTGGGACACCATTGAGGGTTTGCTGATGTACACCATAGAGGGGCGGAGAGATATTGCTGGAGGCCGTAACATGACCGACCGTCGCTCTGCAGCTAATTCAAGTGCTGGAAAATGTTTCACAACATTGTGCTATTCTGCTGATGGAAGTTACATTCTAGCCGCAGGAACTAGCAGATATATTTGCATGTATGACATCTCGGATCAGGTTAGCACATCTTGGAATCCAGCTTTTTCTTGGCCTCCAAAGTTTGATGCAGATTTTGAAAGCTTGTCTTTTTGCAATATTTACCTTTTCAGGTTCTGTTGCGCCGGTTTCAAATAACCCATAATCTCTCGTTAGATGGTGTTCTTGACTTCCTCAACTCCAAGAAGATGACAGAAGCAGGACCAATGGATCTGATTGATGACGACGACAGCGATGAAGAAGGTGGCATAGACAAACAAACTCGAGGGAATTTGAGTTATGATCTACCTGGATCCAGGCCTAACCGGGGCAGGCCCATTATCCGGACAAAAAGCATCAGCATTGCCCCAACTGGTAGGAGCTTTGCAGCTGCAACGACGGAAGGAGTTCTCATCTATTCAATCGATGATTCCTTCATCTTTGATCCAACCGATCTTGACATGGACGTGACACCAGATGTGAGCCTCTTATAAACCGACTTTATGTGTTAGGTTTCATGTCTGTGTATTGGTTTTGAAAAGCAAAGGCAATGTGTTGTTTGTGTAGGCGGTTGAGAATGCAATAAAGGAGAATGAAGTGAGCAGAGCACTTGCTCTGAGTATGCGTTTGAACGAAGACAGCCTCATAAAAAAATGCATCTTTGCTGTTGCTCCTGGAGACATAAAAGCTGCTGCAATCTCTGTCAGCCAAAAATACTTGGAAAGGCTTATTGAAGCTTTGGTGGAGCTGCTTGAGAACTGTCCTCATCTAGAGTTCTTACTTCACTGGTGTCAGGTATGTTTCTCTTTCCTTTTTTCTTTTTTTGCTTAGTCTCTGCCAACTGCTCTTAGCTGACCAAACTTTGTGTGTTCTTGTAATGTTAAGGAAATCTGCAAGGCACACGGAAGCTACATTCAACGAAACTACAGAAATCTACTGCCTGCACTGATATCGCTGCAGAAGGCGATCACCAGAGCCCACCAGGATCTGGCAGATATGTGTTCTTCCAACGAGTACACGCTTCGCTATTTATGTTCTGTTCCAAACGATCATTGATCATGTTTTCTGCACATCTTTATATTTATTTGTAACCAGAAATTTTGATATTCCTTTTTCCGGGAAACGCTTTTTATGTATTGAGTTTTGAATGCAAAAATCAAAATGGTTTCTAGCACTTGAGTAATCTACAAGAACGCAAATAACACAACCATATAACAAGTATGAATAATAATTCTGAAAATTGTTTCATCTCTGAAGTGACTTGAGCGTTGTAGAAGAATGCAAATTGGCAACCATAACAAGTATGAAAAAATGTGAATATTTTGATTTAAACAGATACTTTTGAATAATCCACGGATACTCCACTAACAGAAGCTTGAATACAAACAATTTATGCCTAGAAACCAGAAGCTGACATCTCTATAAGAACCTAAAACACTGAGGTATTACACTGTGGATAAAAAAAAATCAAGAGACATCAAAACTTTGATCGACTTCATCATCATCATCATCATCCTACCCTCTCGGCACTTGAATCTTCAACCTTCACGGATCCCAGCTGGGAAACAAGGGAGCATGGAAGTCCAAACGGGGCATGTGAGCCTGAAAACTGGTTGCACTCGAGTGGCTCTCAACGGTCGCACCAATAAAAAGACTATGCATGAAAGCATCAAAGTTGAGATCAATTATCGGATGACGGTAAGGCAGTTGATGCAGAGAGCTAGATAACAACCTCTGCTCCGTTTCCCATCTCTGACGAGCGTTGTTCATCTCAATGTACTCCGTCTCTCTCTCAAGCTGCTCCCATATCTCTAGCTTCCAAGGGTCCAGCTTCAACGGTGCTAAACCCGGATGCTCAGCTTTCAAGTGAGTCTTCAGCTGAGAATACGTCCCTGAGAAATTGCAATTGTCCATAGCGCAGCTCCTCGGTTTAGCGTTCATGAACCTCCTCGCGCACGTCGACTTCACCGTCCCGTTAACCTCTCCTCTGCAGTAAGGGCAGTTCAGCGTCTTGCCGCTGCATCGGCTTGCGTTCTTGTTTCTGCGGAACTGCTTGAAGCAGTTGGAGTGACGAGCGCTCGTGTCGCACATGTAAGCGCGACATCCTTTGGAGAAGGAAGCGCATTGCAAGAGGACCGCATTGTGTGGCGGCTCCATGCAGATCACACACTTCACGTCCTCCCATTCACTCACACTCTCTGGCTCCACAGGTGGCGACTCCTCCGCTTCCTTTTGTTTCTTGCTCCGACAAGAACGTAGCGGGTACGGCGAAACTCGGTTTGTGCTGCTTGAAACCGGCAAAATCCTTCTTTCCTTCAACATTTTCGGACACTGAAACCAATACACAAAAGAGTTAATTCCGACATATCTATAGAGAAGCTATTAGATCAAAAACCATGAAACAGGACAAGGAAGAGCTCGAATCGTTCTTTGTTCTGTAATGATTCTTCTGAACGTTACATTCTCGAGAGACGACAAAAACGATAAGATTTTAACTCAAAACAAGACGAAATGAATTCAATTTATTGGTTGATTTTTCAATTGAAACTATTCACTTATCACAAACAGTTGTGGACTTGTGGATCCTATCACCAACGGGATTAAACATTCGATTCGGAAGCAGATTTGAAAGCAAAAACGGATCAATTCGATTGCAATTCGAGAAGCCGAACCGATTTTTGGCCAAAATGAAAAAAATATATAAAAAACAAATTCAAACGCGAAATTGATGCCCAGATGATTCTGATCACATCCACAAACAGGTAAACGACATAACCTCATCGGATCGAGAGACCACGACGAGTAATCCGCCATTGAAAAATGAAACTGAAGGAAAAATAAAATAATAAAATTACCTGGAAGGAGAAATGAAAGAGGCTTTGAGAGAAAAGTAGAGCCTCGTAAAGAGTTTCGTATGAAACGGTGAAGATGGAGAGAAAAAAAAATAAAAATGGATGCGCGTGCGTGATTGTGAGATTGCCGAGTGGTGGCGAGGCTTTTATAGGCGTCGAAACGTCTTTTCAGACAGGACGAAAATGCCCTTAACTCGTGTAAGTCCACCCTCTCTACTTTCTTTGCCAATTAACCACATTTGTCTTTTTGACTTCTTTGCCGTTCCCTTTTCCTTTTAAACGGCTTTAAAAAGTTTTTGCGCACATTTATATACGTGTCGTACCGCAAAACAAAATATATTCACATAAATGAGAGATTGAGAGGATGATATGATAGTTCTTCTTTGAACAAAATAAAATAAAATATATTCATGGATATATGTAAGAAATATTGGGTATTAAATTACTCAAAAGTAAAATATAATCTGCCAGATTTGAAAGTAAATAGGAGTATATCTTAAACAAAAGCAGACATAAAAAAGATGATAACGTTCTGTGGTTATCTACTAAATCTCAATGGTAATGTATCATATCAATTCTGATCTGTTGGGAAGCGTATACATATGCTAACTTTATATCTCCTGCTCTAACCAATTTTCAATATAAGTTTTAACGGTACGTAGCTATATGTATTTTAAGAAAATTGTGTCAAAAGGTAGTTTATATGTCTATATATGTCTATTTATGTTTATGAGAACAAAATCATATATATCACAACGTTGCCTTCTGGGTTTTATTTTTATTATTTGAAATTTTTAAACATAGAAAGTAAATCTTATTTCCAAACATTTTTCTTCTTCGTTCTCTGTATCTTCTACTGTCTTTCTTGTTAGGTGGGGTGAAAAACAGAAAGTAAGCGTAGCTGTCATTTCTACATACATACATTATGTATACACGAATCATCTATGACACTCTTTTAGGCGAGTAATCTAGAACAATTTAAGATGTAAAAGATATATAACATACGTGCAAAATACATTTCTATTAGAAACGTAGATACATACATATCCAAATCCTAATTCTTGCCAGTTGCCTGTTGCCACTAACATGCAGGTGTAAAGGAATTAGCCCGTGTCAAAATTCAATGACAGGCTTCCAAATACTATTCGCAAATATTTATATACTGTACACTAGTAGAAGTCTAATTTACTCAGAGAATATGAAATGCACCATTTTATTCTTGATTTCTTACTATAAAAAATACAGAAGTGAAAACATAATTATATACAGAGTACACGATACTCAGCCCAACAAATGGGTCAAGTCGGCCCAATAGAGACATAATGCGCTCCAACTGACGCAATTTGACCCGACCCGACCCGTAGCTTTTAACTGTGAAGCTGTAGAGACTAGAACCCTAAACCCGCGCCGGCTCTCTCTTTCTCTTTCTATTTCCGCCTCTCTCGCCGATCGCCGACCATGGCCAAGGGAAAAGTGAAGCCTCTCCTCACCGCCGATGGAGGTTTGTTTCATTCTGTCCCTCGGATTGCTCAATTTTACTGCTCATAGCTCTCAGATAGTGAAAACCCCCTTCTATTGTTTTTATGAATTCAACAGGTGAAATCGCCGATGCTCCTTCCGTAGAGAAGAAGCTTAAGAAGAAGAATAGGAAGCGAGCTGAACCTGATCCCGAGCTACCATCAACGCGAGATTCCGGTAAGCGGATATCAACCACCTGAAAAACCCGGTTGCTGGAAATTTACAGCTTACTCTAAGACTAGACTATTGAGGATAATGCTCTTGATTAGCCAGTCTTAAATTAGGGTTTTGATTTCGTGATATATAGGTGTTGATGAAGATAGAGATGGAGTGTTGGTAGATGGTGCTCAAAACGAGCCAACGATGGGTGATAAATTCGAGAGTCTTAAGCTATTAGGCGGTGAAGAGCTTAGCAATGAGGATAGTCATAAGGCTTCTGCTCCGATCGATGATAAGCCTCCCACCGCAGCTTCTGTTAACGTTCTTCTGAGACAAGCATTGCACGCTGATGACCGTGCTCTTCTACTGGATTGCTTGTACAACAGAGATGAGCAGGTTTGAGAATTACATTTTCAATCTGTTTCCTTTAGCTTGCTGGTTTGGTTGTATATTCTTTAAACTGTGAGTTCTGTTTGCGTTACAGGTGATTGCTAATTCGGTTGCGAAGTTGAATTCAGCAGATGTACTCAAGCTTCTTAATTCCCTTCTACCAATACTACAATCAAGGTGAGAGCTGAAGATTGTACCTTTTGTGTGTGTTTGTTGAAGCTGTAGGGATTCTTAATACTTGATTGCTTTGCAGGGGTGCAGTTTTGGCTTGTGCGATTCCTTGGATTAAGAGTCTGTTACTTGCTCATTCTAGTGGAATTATGTCACAAGAGTCGTCATTAGTCGCATTAAACACCATGTATCAGGTTAGGAAATGCTCTGTTTTTATTGTGTGGCTGTGCTTGCCAATGATAGCTCTGTTAGAGAAGCAGAACAGAAAGTTATAATATATCATTCATTGATATGTGTTTCATTGGTTGTTTTTGCAGCTCATCGAATCACGAGTCTCGACTCTTCATACTGCCGCGGAAGTTTCAAGCTGCCTGGACTTGGTATGTATTGAATTTACCTTGACGTGGGAGAGCATTGTTAAATTTAGCATTTGATTTTAATGTATAACCTAGTGGTAGCATTAGAATTATCATTTGGCATTGATAACACAGACTTTTGGAATGTAAAGTATGTTACTGATTGGTCATTGATTGTGTTAAATGGTAGCTCGTGGACGACTTTGAAGAAGAAGAAGAAGAAGAAGGTCCTGTGATCTATGTGGATAAGGACAGTGATGAAGAAGAAGAAGAAGAAGAAGAAGAAGAAGAAGAAGGATCAGAGGAAGAAATGGAGACAGATGATGAGTCGGACGAATCGGGGGATGAAGCAGCTGATGGTGTCAATGATTTTGAAGGATTTGACGACATGAGCGATTGAGATGACAAGAGAAAACAGCGTAAAATTTTGATTTGTGTGAGGCTGATTGCTTGTTAGATGTTAAGAGTGTGGCTAAAAGGTACAATCTCTCGTCAAGAAGTGTCGGCACGAACTCTGTAATACTTATGGTTATATGGACGAGACTTTGTAGTTTGTACTAAAAACGAATTTATTATCTTATAAAAGATTTTTTTTTGACGACACTAAGAAAAGGTAACGTGTATGTAAATATGGGTAGATGGTGAAAAAGTCAAGCCTGGTATAGAAAATGTTGGATCATAAAAGCGAAAAGCTTTCCTTGAATAATGGAACATCACCACTGAATATAGATGAGAAACTGTATATAAATGAAAAAGAAGGAAAATGTTTGAGAAGAAAAGTAGAATAAGTAAGAAATGGCGAGCGGGCAGAATCAGGAGTTCAGTGTGAAGGCCGGCCAAATCGTGGGCCAAGCTCAAGTCAGTAGTCTTGTTCAATTTCCCCATTACTTATGACTTTTTTGTGATCCTATTAACTTTCTGTACAAAAAAAGAAAAGTGTAAAGTAGATAAAAGTCTAAAACTGATGTTTGATATCAGGCAAAGAGGGACGATTGCAAAGCAGACAACACCAACTCTTCCCAAGCTTCAGGCTTTTTCCAGCAGGTTGGTTAACCAAAAACCCACAAGTCTACATGTTGTCTCTAGTTTTTGGTTTGTTTGTTTGTATAAGAGAAATAAGAAATGATACCTTTTATTCAGAAAGGGGAGAATTTGAAGAGCATGGCACAAGGAGCATCAGAGGCAGTGAAGAACACATTGGGGATGAACACTACTGACAACGACACTGATTACAAGAACAAGAACCCTTTGGACAAGAAGAATCCTAACAACACAACCTGTCCAAGCATGCCTGGTCATCCTCCTTCCGATATCTAACATTTCACAAAACTCATCTTTTCTTCTTTAACCCTTTTTCATTCCACTAATAATTGTCTGTAATAATAAGTGATATTACATCCAAGCCAACACATTTTCTCACTTGGTTGGCTTTAGACATGTTCACACTTGTGTTGACCCCAAAAACTAGTGTCTGTATCATTCTCAATTGGTCCCACTTATAAGTGTTTATGATAGCTTTGAGAAGAAAGTAAAGGTTTGATTTTTAAAGATCTTCCTGTATATATATCCTAAACAAGAGAGTACAAATATTCAAATGTTTCACAAACTTTGCTTCCCTGTAAGATCATCGACTCTCTGCCCATTTGATGGCAGATCTTGCGAGAGCATCCATTGGATCAACACACTTCTTTAGCAGAGGATCATCCCCTGGTAAAAGCTCCCGCATCTCATCAGAACCGAGCACCACCACATTCACAGCCTGCACCAGCAGCACCTGCAATGCTATCCTCAGAAGGTTCCTTGCTCCTTCCATGTCATTTCTCTTCATCGCTTCCACGGCAGGGATCACCGTGTGCTCCATCGTCGCCTTGTCTGGAAGCACCGCCTCAAATCCCTGTCATTTAACAAACAAAGTATATCAGACATAAATGATAACAAAGACATGTTGATCCAATGAACAAACACAACAGAATACTGACATTTCTCTGGAGTCTCTCTTGGTAAAACCCTGCGGACAATGTGGCGCTAGTGGCCATAACTCCAACACGTAGAGGACTTCCAGCTTCAAGAGGCTTCATTTTCGCTTCTTCAAGTTCTTTAGCAATGCAATCACCCATGTGAAGCAGAGGAACCGAACTCCCTTCACGAACCTCCTCATACCATGTATGTGCAATATGACACGGCATCAAGATTAGTTTAGCTCCACATCTCTCAAGAGATCTCCTCTTGTTCCTTAGATTTTCCACAATCTGCTCTGGATCCACCGGAGTACTACTCTCTGCTCTGTGGTAGAGAGAAGGATAAGAGTTCTCTTCGTATAAGAGAAGCTCCTCGTTGAGTGCAGGATCAGAGCAGAGCACGAATGGTAATGAGCTTTTGCCGTCTTTTGAGCTCCAATCATCGAGTTTCCTAACGAAATTCAGTGTGGAATCAGTTGATACACCTCCGATGATCCCCACCGTGTTACCCTGCCTGGGCAAAGAATCTGCAGGAAGACTCTTTAAACCTTTTTTCGAATCTTCGCTCAAACAGAAACCCTTCTTGGACTCGTTGCTTTCGTCCATATGCAAGAGGATTGAAGACGGTGGCGTGGCGAGAACACGACTCAGTCTGGCCTTACACGATATCCGGTTAGAGTAGCATACCTGAGCTAAACCATGAGACGGATTGGTGAAAATCTGAAGAGACATCACCAAAGGTTCCGTCTGAAAAAGCTTCTGATAGTTACTACTCCAGAGAGACAGAACTAGCAGAAGTTTCAAACTTGTTCCGTCCCCACGAACCAGAATCTTACTTCAGTTTCAGATTCCGAATCTTGACACTAAAAGTTCCAAATCCAGCTCAGATTCAAAAAGAGAAAAAGAAAAAAGGAAGTAAATTTTCGGTTACGAACCTCTCTGTCTAGCTTTTTTGAGGTAAGATCCTATAGAATCTGTAACATCAACTTACTTTCTGAAATTCCCCAGAAGCTTTCTTCAATAAGACAGAAGTAAACCTCTAGGTGAATCCAGAAACTTTATGTAGAAAGAAGATTCTCTTTGCAAAACAGATATTTGTAACTCATTGCCTTTAATGTTTGAAGATGGCAGAAACAAAAAGAGAAAGAGTACTAAGGGAACAGGTGGGGCATCAGAAAATTCAGAACAACGGTCTCAAATCAACCCAATGCTTATTTTCATCTCTATCAAACAAAGAAACCAGTAGTAGTCGCATCAAGGTTGAAATGAGGAATCTTTTGCCTCAGAATCATTTTTCTATTGGATCATTTATAAGTTATAACCGTCATCATGCAGTGAAAGAAGAGGCTGGCAAAAAAACTCAATTGTGTAAGGCGATAAAATCAAGAAGAGGTGTCTGTCTCTGTCTCTGTATATGTCTGCTTCTTTTTCCGTTACTTTGTGATATTTTTATATATATGTCCTGCAACTTGTGGGTTGTCTCTGTTAGGTGGATTCCTTTGTCTTTCTTGTCAGCTACTGAATCCCACACATGCTCCATCACCCATGTAAAGGGTCCAGTCCCAATTTTTAAATTCCCTCAATCAGTGGAATTCTCCAGACATTTGCGTTTACGTATGAGATTTGCGACAGGGGATGATTGATCTTCTGATAGACAGAAAATGCAGGAAATAAAATTTCCACATCGTTTTTATGACTTGAAATTGTTGTGTTTATATAGGTCATTAAACCATTAATCTAGTGTCGAGCTCACTAACAAGAGCTTGTTACCCAAAGTGGGGACGTGAATTTGTGCTGCCCAAAGAGGCAAAGATCGAATTTTTCAAAAAAGAAAATACATGTGAATCGTGTATCCATGTTGCTTTCGGTATTTTTGGTAGAGCAGTAGTAAACGAGATAACGACCGAACCGGCATCGGTTCTTTGAAAATAAACTTTTGTACATCATGTGTGGCATTGTTTGATGAGGCTATTCATTCAAAAACTAAACTTTTGTACATCATATATGGCTTTTTGGCGGGAGAGAAAACGATGATTGCGACATCTACACCGCACAAAGTGTATAGCTCACTTGCTTTCTTGAAGAGACCGGCTCTACGTTTTGAGAACGTGACTTGACATTTGCTCTTCTTCACAATCTCAGCCATCCGAATCTTCTGCCGTCCGATGCTTCCTTTCTTGTTCAACATCACCACTTATTCGGACATTTCCGTCATATATATCATATTATCATTGGTTGAGTCTTGCATGTGATGAGTCATGTGTGGCATTACCAGACTCGCATTTGTAACAGCTATTTGAAATTATTCAAATTCTCTTTAATTTTGTTGATAGATATTGAAATCTCAAGATTTGTGTAGGTTATAAAAATCTCAATTTGTTAATGTTGTGAGAAAGGAAAGATTTTAGCCCTACACTTGTCGACCGTCCTAAGGAGAAGAAGGTATCAATTTGGGTTAAGCATACTTTTTAATTCATTGTTTCTGTGAGAAAACATATTATGCTAATCCCAGCACATATACATGTTTGAATTAGTTTGATCCTGAGTAGAAAAACAGAACACATATACGATGATGAATTATTTGATTGGGTAGAACCTTATATTATACAAGAATATGGACTTATTTACAAATTGGCTACCGAATTTACTACTGACCCACTTTCACCTCTCCGCATTATTTATCATTTCAAATTTAAAACGAGAAATTTGGCATTACTCACCTAATAATAATATACTAGTAGAGTACCCGCACGTTTGTGCGGTGTGACGTTGTTGTTTTGTGTAGAAAATTTAAACCCTAAATCCGAACCCGACAAAAAACCCTAATCAAAAAATTTAAAAACCCAAACTTTTTTAATAGGTCTAAACATGAAAATCCGAAATCAAAAAAATCCCGAAAACCCTGACTGAACAAAAAAAATCTGGAAACTTTTTCACCCGGAACCCGACCCCAATACCTAATCAAAATTTTAAAATACTCAATTTTTTTAATATATCTAAACCCGAAAACCAGAAATCTAAAAAATCCGGAAAACCCTAAACTGAAAAAAAAATTGAACCTAACCCGAACAGAAATTTTCAAAGAAACCCGAACAATTTCTATATCTCTATATATATCTCTATAAAATTATGTCTCAGATTTTCACCCAAACCCGAACTTGTCTATAAAAACCCGAAAATCCAAAAAGCATATTCTATTGATTTGGAATTATCGTTAGATTATGTTAAGTTTTTTTTTTGCAGATTTTTAAGAGATGGAAAACGGAAGTTTTCTAAACCATCGGTTTATTTTAAGTTATTATTCTTGTATCCAAACAATTTTTTCCATTTATTCTTCTATCCAAATAGATTTTTCTCTTATTCTTATATCCAAACAACTTTTGTTTCCATTTATTCTTCTATCCAAATAGATGTTTCTCTAATTCTTGTATCCAAACATTAGAATGTAATAATATAAAGATTTGATTACCGAAACGAAGATTTCATTTTTTAATTTAATTGCGTCCTATAAGTCAATCCATGTTTATCGTTACTTCCGGCTACGTCAGTCCGATCTAGTTACAAAATACAATATTTTCAAATTAGAAACAGAAGCATCATCTTCATCCTAATCATACTAATAATAAATAGTGATAATAGGAAAAAGGAAATAGTGGACCGACCTCATTAAAATAGTGAGGACAGAAATGTAAAAGGAAAAGTCCGAAACACAATGATTAACCACTTATAAGCCTAATCACTTTCTTAGCTTTTTCAGCTCAAAAGAAACGAAGAAATCAAAAGAGAGAGAGAGAGAGAGAGAGAGAGAGAGAGAGATCAATGGAGGGTCTTCAAAGATCAACCATCTCGTTCCGTCGTCAGGGATCTTCCGGTATAGTCTTTGATGATCGTCTCATCGCCGAGCTTAGCAAACAGGGGGTCGAGCACAAAGACGAAAGTCAACGCGACGAACAGCCTAAGCCGATGTCGGAAGGCTCTGACCAAGGGAAACCGATCGCCGTCGCCGGCGATGAGAGAGACAAGCTCAGACCGATCAAAACCGGTGTACCGACAGCGGGAGGAATCGAGAGGAGTCGATCCAACGGCGGAGGAGCTCCTCGACACCACCGAACAACCGGAAGAGTGTCTCCTGCAGTGGAACCGCCGTCTCCGAGAATCTCAACTTGCGGTTGCTGCTCTGCGTTTGGGAAAAAACCGCCGGGGAAGAAGAATAATCCGAGGAAAAGGCCACCGAAGCGCAGATCGAGATAGGCGCAGGATTAAACTGAAGAGACAATAGTATACTTCCTTTGATCCCTTCTTTATTTTTGTGTGTTTGCTCTTCTATAAACTTTATTTTGATTTTTCATTTTCTCCGTTTAAGCTTATAGATCGCAGAATTTGAATTCTCTGGGTGATTGTAAATTAATATTAGCTCTCTTTTTTCGGACAAATTCCATTTCTGTATAAATCAATCCGACTTGAGGATCCGTAGCATCCTTCTTATATGGGCCAATTTTCCGATTAAGCGTGTGTTTACCGAGCAAAACAAAGCAGCCGCCGGCAGAGATGGCGGCGGATCGTAAACAACAACAAAAAAGTTCGATGCTTTTGAACAGATTTAGCAATTTGCGTTGATTGGAAAACGGACGGCTGTGATTAGATCATTACTTTGACTGAATGTTAAAATATTGAGACTCTAGTTATATATTTACTGGATCCCGCCGACGATGGGGCCATTTCACCGCCGCGTTTGACGGCTTCGCCACCGTGTCTTGTCCAGATTGAGCAAGACATCGCATCACATTTCTTATTGAAAACATCCATTGAATAGCTGTCTTAAATTGTAATTCAGAAGACTACCTCTTTCCAAAAAAGTTTAAACCTTTGAAAAAGATATTTTGAGGCAAGCTCATAAGTCATAACATTACAGCTTGTCTTGAAGAATCTGTCATTGACGCCCGAGCTTAGGACAGCCATCAGCTAGAGGCAAGTCCAAGTTGTCGACTGTCCTAAAAGTGCGTGGCACCATCTTATCAACATAAAGATTACCATCCAAATGATCGCACTCATGCTGCAAAATCCTCGCTTGCCAACCTGAAGCATTCACTTCGATCCTCTTCCCTTGACGGTCGTATCCCGTCACTACCACTTCAAGGTATCTCTCCACCAAAGCTCTGAATCCATCCACACTCAGACATCCTTCAAAGAAGAGAGCTTTCTTGTTGCTTCTCTCCTTCAGCTCTGGATTCACCATCACCTAACCAAACCCCACAAAAATTCAATTATCAAAAAACTAATCTCAACTGTAACAAATCCAATCACTAATTCATCGTTTAAATTACTATGAGATCGAAGGAACGTCTTTCTTGAGCAAGAATCTCATCCTTTGGTGCGTAACTTATATACTCTTTTGTATCTTCCAAAACAATAATCTGCATCACAATGTAAACCGATTTCAATCATTCGACTTTGAAAAATAAAGAAAGTTGCATTTGACTTACCCTTAAGGGGACACCGATTTGAGGAGCAGCGAGGCCAACTCCAGGAGCCAATCTCATAACTTTAATCATATCATCAATTATCTTCTGAATACGCTCTGACCCGATTTCTTCCGGGTCAACCTCTCGGGCCTTCTCGTGAAGAACCGGATCTCCAGCTGCCACTATCTCCGGTAAACCCGATTTCTTCTTCTTGTCCCCGAGACCCAATAGCCAACCCGCTTTCGTCGTCAGTGAGGAAGGAGAAGAAGACGAATTGTAGAGCTTCCGGTTCAACAAGCTGTGTGAGGAATTGGGCGGGAACCGAAAGGAGCGACATGTCACGGCGGCGGAAACCGGAAGTAGACGAAGTGAGAATCTGAAAAGGGTAGCCATGGCCGTCGCTGCTTGGTCTCAGGGAGTCACAATCGGTCATTTCTTGAAATATGCCTCTATGGGCCTGTTTCAGCTAAACTCGGCCCAACAAATGACAAATAGTTATTAAAATAAAGCCTTATAGGACGGGCTTGTTATATAACAGCTAACGCTTGCCGCTCTTTTGGCACATTGACTAATTTGCAATTTTAAATATCTTTCCTATCTTTATAGGACCCGTAAGAATCAAACTAATGAGTCATATAAAAAAGAATTATCAAAATCATCTATATCTCGAGTATAATATCATGTATGTGAATCAACTACCAAAAACATTCATATCCAATGACTAATTACTTCTACTTGCTAGTTTTTTTCTTTTGTCATCTGCCGACTTTGCTAGTTTTGTCATTTTTTTTGTTTTTAATATTATCTTGAACATATGCGTTGGTGATGTTATACGGAGCAATCCACCACGGGTCCAGAACGTTATTAAAAATAAAATCTGTAATCATTCAATCAAATTGGAATTCCAAGATAACACCCTAAACTAGTGATTCAATTGTTTAGTCTTTACTGTGGACAAAGAACGGATTTCGTGATCAAATTGTAAACTTGCCACGTATTCAACCAAATCCTAACATTTGGCATACGGATACTATTCGTTTTCTTTTAACTGATCTGCCTAAAATTTATGAGTTCGGTTTGGAGTTAGGTTAGATGCTAACTTAAGCCAAATGATATCTTCTTTGTTATTTTATTGTTTTTCTTGGTTAATAATTCGGAAGGGTTACCGGAGAGGCGACAACGGGAAGAGAGGGGCGGTGAGTTAAAGAAAGCTTATCTCCAATGCTTAAGCCGTAATTCTTGCCGTGTAAACAACACTGTGAAAATGGTCAATTCCTTTTAGCTTTTTGGAATCTTGCTTCCTTTCTTTTTTCCAAATTAACCAAGTCAAATTCAATAGTTAGGCAACACTTTCAACATTTCTTTCAAGCAGAATCCTAGATTTGATGCTGTATTCCAATAATTTAACAGGACTAATGCACGCCGCCGGCGCCAATGTATATATATATATTTTTCTTATATAAGTTCAAAATAATATCCGAATAATTTTAACAAGATGAAACTGTAACATCACAATCGCTAATCTATTTGTTGGTCAATTTATCAGCATACGTATTAGTTACCCTCGTGGTCATACTTTTGGCAGAGAATAAAAAGAATGAAATAATAAAGGGGTGGTTTGTGGATGATTGTTCTGGCTCTGAGTCGCGTGTATGACTTGAGATTCAAGATTCCATTTGTTTTTTTCAACATTCAAATATGGTTTCCGTAGAGATGCAAAGTCTTATAGTTTCCTTCGAATCTAATTATTTATTCGAAAAAAGTTATATAAATTTTCCTATAAATACGTAGGCCTCGGAGCATCCTAAATATTAAACAATTAACCTTTTACCAAAATCAGGAAACACAAGCACTCTTACATATATCCACCATGAGGAACAACAACAAGAACGATATGAAGATGAATTCAGCACAAGAAAGTGGCAATGATACTACTAAGATCGTTATTAAAGAGACAAGGAATAAGAAGGTGGAGAGGAAGGCATCAATGGACGTGGACCACTGCGCGGAAGCTTTCATCACAAATTTCAGAAAGCAGCTTCTTCTCCAGCGTCTCGAGTCCATCGAAAACATGCTCTCCCGAGGCCTCTAAACACACTTTTTTTGTTTGCTAAAATATTAATACACACTTGTATCTATGTATGTACGTATGTGTTAGTCCACATGTATTATTTCTTTCTTTTATGTACTTCGACTCGGATTGTCTAAATATGCATTGTTTGAGAGAGAATAGTAGTCATTTCAAGTTTCATAGGTTTTCGACTCAAAGCTTATGAGTGGATTTCCACATGTCACTTTAATTAATTTGTCATTTTTCTTCTTTACTTTAAACATTGGATTCCTCAACAACTCAATGTACAATTGGTTCAAATTAAATGAACATATATACTTATGTTACTACACAAAAGCGTTGTTGATCTTGAGTGGAACCAACTAAAGCAATATACACATTTAACCATTGGTTCCCTTGGTTATATTATATAGTAAGAGGAGCGAAGAGAATGGTCATTTCCTTTAGAAGAATCCTATTCACTGATTCACGTCGGTGTCTTATTCATTACACTCAATTCAAGCTAGCACACACAGAGACACAACAAAAACATAGATCGCTAACGATGGACCACTTGGTGTATCTGAGTTTGCGGCTGTGGCTGCACCATCTGGTGGAGTTTGACCCTTGGCCTTGAGCAGGACTGAGCCATTCCTCCTGCGAGGGGAACGACAGGGAGGCTATCACAGTTGCATATCTCGATCATGAAACTGTCAGGGTCGTGGAAGAAGAGCTGGTCCACTTTGATCCCTCCTTCTAGTACTATATTTCTAACATACTTAATCTCCATTTCATCCAGCTTTTTCTCCACTGCTCCCATACTCTCGCACTGCATTAGTTCCACAAAAATTTGCAAAAAATAATCACAGATATGCCCAAAACAGAGTATCAACTACATGTATTGGGATCAATTTCCACACACACGACCAAACACAAAAGATGTTTTAATTCTAAAAACGAAATGTTTTCTTGTCTAATCATCAGTAACAGTGTATTACACAACTATAAAACAAAAGCATGTTTTGATTCTCAGAACCAAACGGTTTCTTGTCAAAGAATACATTTACCTCACAAAACTTGACCACTGCGCAGCCCCACCTTTTATTGTCCTATTTCTCTCAACTTCTAACTTTTCTCTTGTCCTTTTATAACAATGTATGATGTCTGATGGTTTCAATTTCTTTCATCATAATTATCATTAGTGACAAGTTGACATGAAACAATTCCATAAATTCTACGTACAGGGTTTAGCTAGAAACTTTATTTTTTTGTCTGTAATTAGGAAGAAACCAATTTGGATTTTTCTTCCTTAGTAAACAAATAATTCTGAAACTGTGTTTTTCCCCTAGAAAAATCATATGATTAAATTTGGACAAATTTTTTACTTGGACATCTAAATACAGAGCTTGTATGCACGTAAGTTAGGTTTAACTAAATATTAGAATGCATAAAAAAAAAAGCAGGGCTAAATTGAGAAGAAAAACAACAAAAAATACCTGGAAAGAGATGTGATTATCCTTAGGATTAATCGCAGTTTTCTTGGGAAGTTTCTCAGGTTCTGTAGAACGCAAGAGGTGTAATCCAATTCCATGACCAAACAACCTAAACCCCACAAACCAAACATTTAAAACTCGTTTTTCTTCTTCTTCTGTAAACTCCCTCAAAATTCAGATATATATTTAAAAAAAGTAAAATGAAAATAACGAGACTGTACCAAACGCCTTCAGATTTAAAGGATTCAGGTCTTCGAACAGGGAAGAACCCTAACACCTTCTCGTAAAAGTTCATCGACTCCTCGATGGATCGGCACAAGAGAGAGACATGGTTCAATGACGTGATATGTAGAGGGTTTCCTGTGTAGTTTTCCTTCATTTTCCGATCAACAATCAAGATACAATGGCGTGAACGATGTTGACGTAAGCGAGGTTGATTGAAGGAGACAAGTAGCGGAATGCTTAAGTATATATAGAGATGTGTACAAGGAAGTTAAATTGGATAACCACGGAACTTATCTAAATGATCAAAAGACACTTCACGATATGGTGTATTTATAGAAGGCGTCTAAGCAAATGGCAAAATTATGGATTTTTTTTCCCCGGAAATTAACCTTATTTATTAAAAAAAACTAATTAATTATACTTTATCAACAAAAAACTAATTAATCATGGATCATCATATTAAGGTACCAAAATCGGTTAACAAGATTAACAATAGCATATATCAATAAATGTGGAATCTGTATGATAGAAAATTTCTATAAATGTAATAATATTGAGATTATATATTTTATGAATGATTTTTTCTAAAATATTAATATAATTTTTGGTATAAAACACAACTCAAGCATGATAAAACAATTTGCATAGTAAAAATAAATAACATTAATGAAAAGCTTTATCGAAAATTAAAATATTTTATACTTGAAATTTTTTGTTCCTTTTAAGAATTACTTACCATATGAAATGAAGAAAGTATATTTATTTACCGGAGTGTTATATTTTAAACATGGAAAAATCGAAGCCACATAAATCATTAATTTGTAAAGTTTTTACGGCCAGTTAGCAGAGAATGATAATTAATCAATAATACATGCAACTCAGAGATAATATAATGTTATCTACTACGTCAATAATTAACCACTACGTAAAAGAAATGATTAGAAAATAGTTAAGAATGTGCTGAACATGAACCACAAACCACTACATAAACAAACTGAAAAATTATGTGATTGGTAAAAAGAAAAGGAGGGAAATATGCTTAAATCGGACGGTTACATACGGAAAATGTTGTGAACCTCCCTGGCAGTGTCAGGATGAGTTCGACACGTAAGGACCCCAAAAAGCTGACTCGGACAATCATAGCTTCTCGTTTGTTCCTCAACGAAAACTAAGATGATATTGGACAGGTCAGCATTGTCAAACGTATGTACTTTGTTGTTTTGTGTGTACATCTTTTTGGTCATTTGTTGGCGTGGTCCAGTTGAATTTGGGCTGTCCCACCCAATTACCAACTGGTTTTGTTTGAGATATTTTGGGCGGGTTGAAAAAACTGTAGACATTCTGCTCCACCAAAACTCCCATTATATCGAATTTCCTACTTATATATATCAAACGTTGCTGTCGATCGTATAGAGGAGTTAAAAACAATTTGCACGTTTATCTTTCAAAATTGCTTAGTATATTGTCAGTGAGTGTGGTTTTGTCACTTACTTCACCAAACACCCACAACAGACAGCTTTTTCATTTTATTTATACTGTTACTTTTCATCTATACGTAACGTATAGCCTTTTCTCTTGTCCAAGGGTCGATAGTCGATACATTATAATTTGGAATCCAACTCAAAATTTAATAAAGCATTGTAACTCTTTGTCTCGCTTTCAGATTTGATTTAAATAGTTTCGTTTCACCAGCTACTGCCATTTGTTTAGCAAGAAATGGCAGGCCCGGCCCACTAATAGTGTGGGGTTGAAAAAGTTTGTCTAGAAGAAGAGGAAAACATGAGCTTATGCAGCTTGACTGATCCTTACAGCTTCTCCAGCACCGGACATAGATTGGTCATAACTTTGCGTTTTCCATTGGAGATTCAAGAACCATCACCACACTAAATTGCTTCGTGTCTGATCGAACAACAACAGTAGTTGATAGTAGAATATTTCATAAAGAGAAGCGATCCAACAAATAACATTCTGTTGCGAGTGACAAAATGTATTAGAATGCGTAGTAGGAGAAGAAGAGAAAATGTGTGGTTGGTTAGACATAGACCAAATCAAAACTCGGAAGGAGGTTTCAGTCTAATGAGACGCTTGATCCTGTCTTTGTCAGTGTTCTCCAGAAGTCCGTTCCAAACGATTTCATCAAGACACAAACAAATCCTTCCATATTTATCCAAAAACACTCGCTCTGTTGGTGGTTTTCCACATATGTCTTTCACAGCCGCTGTTATGATGAAGATAGCTTCTGCCACTGCAACCACACCAAAAATAAAAGCAAACACAGATTCAAACTCTGAAAACGAAGCAACATATGTATATCAGTTGATTTAACAAAGAGAGGAAAACAAAAGGCTTACAAGCAAGTTCATCGTACTCGTCTTTGCCAACAAGGAAGATGCTAACATCCCCTAGCATTGTGTACACTATATAAACCGACCTGCACAACAAAAAACTCTCTGTTACTGATATTGTATAGTATGTATACAGTCAATGTTGTATGTTTGGTTTAGTAAATTTGCTCTTAAGACTGCCACAAAGGAGATTAGAGATAGCTTGATGCACTACTTGTGACAAGCGACGAGAAGCTCCTCGTTTTTAACACCTTTGAGATTCTCTGCTCCCAACTTTACCAAGAAAGATCGCCAGTGAAGCCTTTCCTCAGCTGGTACTCCATTGAACCTGCCACATTCATGATTTGCTACTAAGACTAGACAATTTTAGCAATTGAAACACAAATACTTAATGGCATCAAGAAGATCCATGGAGCAAAAGCCAGAAAGATAGGAAATTGGGTCAAAACTACCACTGATACAGACTTGAGACAACAGAAAACTGAATTCTAGATGCATCACAATTCACAAAAATGAAACACCTTTCTCTCACAGAATTCTTAAGCGAGAGACCAAATGCTCTTGATATCTCCAATTCTAGTATGTACAAAGAGGAATGGGAATCTAATTTCGACCACAAGTTATCAGAGACACTGCATACGAATTCAAAGGAATCATGAAAGCTATCGAAATCCCTAATCTGACAATCAACTATGTCATAACCCTGATATACACCAGATCCGCGAAAGATCAAAAAGTTCGATTTCGGTTCTTAGAGAATCAGCTACAACAAGCGAAGAACTTTGCGATCAAATGAAAATGGGAGCTGAAGAAACTAGATCCAAGTTGGGATTCGATGATAAAAATGGAGGAAAAAGTAAAAAAGTTGCGAAATTGATCTGGGTGCGAACCTTTCGATCAAGACGTTCCCTACGGAATTTGCGAACAACACGGCGAGGATCATGATCTTCCTCTGCAATTTTCTCTCTGCGATTCCTTTGTTGCTTCTACTTCTTCTTCTTCTTCTACCTCAAACATATTCGCTTCTCTTCTTTTTCTATGGTTTAACTTTTTTCCACTCAACATCAAATTTTACAAGGGGTCTTTTCGTAATTACAAGGTTCGAATATTTTGACTTTTATTTTTTCACCTTGGCAATCTTGAACTATTTATTGATGCCCATTTATTGACAAAGTCCACCAGTGGCCCTTTCATTTTCTGTTAACTCCGAAAATATCTTGTGGACTGAAATAAGTCAATAACAGCTACGATATGAATATACCCATATCTTTCTTGTTAAATTGTTTTTTTTGTTTAAAGATGGTATATATGTGTAAGTAAACATTTTACGTTGGATGCTGATAGTTGAAAATAGAGAAGGTCAACATCAATGGAGAGTTAAAGGAAATGTGTCACTATTCCATATCTATCCAGAGAAAGTAGAGACCACATTTTTCTTTCTTGTTACTTCATTATTTCATTTTTTCCCCTCTCCGTTTCACTACTTGCTTACATGTTGTTATAACCAATTAATTTTCTTCGTAGATATTTTAAAATTTTAACTATGTGGGTTAGGGTTTAATTCAATACAATGGACCAGCAAAAATCTTGGAAATCTTGGAATGATGACGCATTAACTCGATCACTTCATCGTGAAGATATCTACTTAACAAATTCTCTGTACTTATAAAACGTCGTTTAATTACCATATAAAGCCAGATGATTATGGTGTCGTGTTTAATCTATTTACACTGTCTACAACTGCTGGTTGGATGACTCATGATCATAGTGCACGTTCACAATATTGTTAAGTGTTAGTGAATGTTTTTAGAAGTGTCCTTCATGATTTCGCGATTCATGATCTCGATGATGATATTATCGAATGGTCTTTACGTTTTAAAGAGTTCTCTGTAACTCATGTTATTTTGAGATCATGTAGTTTAGCGCATGTTTTGGCGAAGAGAGGACCGAATAATGATGTGTTTTTTCTCGGGTTGTATTTATCCTCCGACCTGGCTGACTCAACATTTGTATTCACATTTATGTTCAGTCTCATTAATATAATCAGTTTCGCCGAAAAATAAAATAAAAATAGGTGGGTTTGGGAAAAGAAACATATGGAGTAAATGGTATGAATGGTTAGACAAAAAAAAAATAGTATGAATGGTTAAGTGCAAGTTTAAAGTGAAAAGAGGACAAGTCATAAAATGAGCACAAACAAGTACCAACAAGCTACTGTGGAAGTGAAAGTTGAAGCTCTTCTTTAACCTAATTCGTTTTGCCTTCACCTTCAGTCGTACTTTTTGATAGTTAAAGAATCCTAACTTTATCAATTCTTCATTATTAACAATACCACTATTCTCTTATGTATGATGATCAATTTTAATCGTTGTATTTTAAAACGTCTAATTAGTTCCTCGATACTTTTATCATAATTTGTTTTCTATCACGTTTGTGTTACAACACTTTTGGAAAATTTATCACGTCACACTATACCTCTTAAGTATACATATGATGAATCGTACACTTTTTGGTGGACAAAAAGCAAATAACGCTCGTTGATGTGGAACGTTTAAGGATTCAATCATACAGTCGTTGATCCAAAACGTCACAATTAGACGTTGATATATTTAGTGTTTTCTATAGAAAAGATAATACCGCCCGATTTATGATATATTTACAAATACAAAATACAAATGAAGGATACGTCTAAGATCAAACAAAATCCTTTAGTTTTAATTAATGCACCTTCCTCTCTCGGTTAGACAATGAACGTTTTATCTATTGTAGAGACTAGTGTAGTCGGTTTTTGTTTGTGTAAGCTTCTTTTTCTTCAGCCCGTACGTGATCATGGACGGTTCTAAGTTTTCGGGGACCCCGCAATTTATGAGATTATTTTCATTTAAGATTCAATTAATTACGGCAAAATACGATATTCTATTGCGGTGGATTCCTGGGAATACATTGTTTGTATTGAAAGCATAGTGAATAATTTAATGTAGCTGTATCCAGCCTGCTCCTTCGTATTATACGAAACAGATTAAAAATTTCCGGTTATAAGAAAAAACATTAGAGATTTAAAACTAATGTCACTAGAAATAAGAAATGTCTGAAAGCATGTGTTTTGTGGGGATACGTAATATATTTTTGAAACCTAATTTCACTAACTATTCGGTTGCCTGTATTATCATCCCATTAAGTCAATGAATGAAGATAAACTCATCAATCAATCCCTATATACAGATGTAGTTTATTTCAGTTACATATTTAATTAGAAGTGTACTGTCTGCTTTAATCAGGAGACAAAATCTCCCCCCATTAGGAGCTTTGCCATAAATTCATGTACTTTGCATCATTTTTTATAATTATTAGTATTGTTATATGAATGCAGTTATAAGACTAAGATCGAGAATACCAAGAGAAAAAAAGGTCATTTCTGGATTGTAGTTACAAACACTTATACTTTATTCGATACAAATGTGGAAATATAGGAAACATTAACATATCGCTATAACACATTTAAATATATAAAACGATCAAATTAAGCTGACGGTATATGACTATATATATAATTGATAATTATGGCTGTAAAACTGTAAACCAAAACAGGTATATATATATATATAAGCAAATAAGATTTAGTTTGTATTTAGAAGCTCCTCTATCATTTGCAAAGCAACCTTCTCCTCCTCGTCTATTAACCCTTCTTCTCCGCCGCCGCCAACCTCAGTGACCTGACCAACATCGTCTTGTGAAGCTTTACTAGTAGGCTCCTTGGAAGAGCCGGCGGGTCCGAGCTCCACCGTCATGACCCAACTGGAGTCGGACTTGGAACCGGCGCGTTTCTGCCAGACGCCGATGTGGGAGCTCGCCGTGTCGAGACGGAGGCAGGTGAGTGAAGGGGAAGGAGACTTGCAGCATTTCCTCAGTTTGGCGCTGAGGATGGAAGAGAGTGATGAAGAAGAGGAGGAGGAGGACGAGGATGAAATGTCAGTTTTACCCTCCGATGTGTCTCCGGTGGTGGTGTTGTTGCTGCTGAGGGGAAAGTTGGTCTTGGCGTTGCGACCACTCATTAAAACGGCGGCCTCGTCATAGGCTCTTGCTGCCTCCTCCGCTGTCTCGAACGTCCCCAGCCATATCCTCCGTTTCCTTTATATTTTTTCAATATCATTAGGTATGTAATAGTCTTATAGAATATATATAGTCCGTTTTAGCAATATGTAAATCAGAATTAAGTACCTAAAAATGGTATTATATATGTGTTATATAGCTAAGGAGAGGAAAGCAACTACGGAAGATTCACAGGAAATGAGTAGAACGATCATGTTTATATATGTATGTATGTGTGTGTGTGTGGTTGTGTACTTAAATGGATCAGAGAGGGGAAATAAATGAAGAACGAAGAAAAAAAGGAAAGAAAGAAGAAAGGTACAAGAGAGGATGACGAATCTCAGCGACCCAAGAACCCCAATGGCGTTGCCTGACACCTCTGAACTTCTTCGTCTGTACCATTCTTACTTACTCTGTGTTTTTTGTCAGAGAGAAAATAGGAACTTGATGATGAGTAATATATGTATGATGGATGTTTGGTAAATGGGTAATGTTGTGAATTTATATGCATAGGTTAAAATTTTGGTGGATGAAAAGGGTTTGTACTTATTCCTACTCTTATTACATTTGACGTACTCGCTATTCTATTAGAGAGAGAAATCAGTTGGAGTTGTTGGCATAGAGTGATTGCTAATGTGAAGGAATTTAAAAAAATTCAATAAGGGGTAAAAGTAAAACAATTTAAAAAAATTCCAAAGGTTGGATCGTATATATGTAGAAAAGGCACAAGTGGTACAAGGCTCACATGGCCGTGTACATTGTTTTTAGCATACCTACGTACATGCTATTCAGTCGTCCACATCATATAGCTACGTACGTACTACGCCTCTCTCTGTTTAATTTGATGCTTGCTTATATTTGTATACAACTTTATACGTACGTATAAGCCTTTTGTGCTCATCAATAATTGCGAAATTTTTAATATTTTAATGGAGTGGGAATTAGTCCTAACATAATTTCATATTAATGGTTCCATCTATAAAATACTATTATGTTGGTTAACAACCAACACTAACCATCGTCCATATCAATATCAGTATATATTCCGATATCTTTGGTAATTGGACTTCCCACACACATCGTAGTGTAAATTAAATATATCTTGTACTTTTATTAATTATGTCGTTCTATAAGCCTCATAGTTGGGTCGTAGCTAGGCTCGTAGCCTAGAGTAAAAGAGTTGTGAAATTTTAGAAATGTAATTAATCGTAAGAAGATAGCCACATAAAGAAACACACGTAACAAACGCTGGGAAAAGTGGTTGTTCACTCGCGATCAAATATAACACATGCGATTTCATACAATCACAAGCATACATGGAGGAAGAAATCATATAAAACAGAATTTATTAGATAACACAAGTCAAAAGTAAAAGAAAGGACACAAAAATAAATAAAGGGTGGTCCATGTATTATTTTGTAATTAGTAGAAGGTTTTGTCCACATATATAGCTGGTTACAGTAGTACTCTACTCACTGCCTAAGCCCTAAATGTCGGGTTGGGTCCTGATTAGGGATGTTTAGTTGTCAAAATCTCATATCTATTTCCTTTAAATTTTGAGCAAACATCTTTAGCCTAATGTATGCTTATATTTAATATTTGTATATGGCATACTTTCTTATTTTGTTTCTGAGGTTATAATTAGTAATTTGGTTGTGGCTAGATATCACAGGGTCCCCCACGTACATGAGTCCAGGACCGAAATTTCATAATTATAGTGTCTTCATCAATTCTTGTTCAATGCATGCTTGTATGGTTTCTTTTTTTAATCATCACGATTTTTTTGTTGTCGACTATCGAAGATACTTATAAATTTGTGGTGATACGCATACTGTAATTATTTGAAGATACGTACGCATCTTTGTAAAAAATTGTGTATAACGATTTTTTATTTTTTTTTAAAGATGCTAGTTAATCTTTTGAAACATGGAAACCACGTGATTGAATCTCCGAAAGATCGAAAGAATGAGAAAAATAGTTTACGAGATGGCAAAAGTGTTTCAACCAAAAAGGTGAAAAAGTACAAAATGTTCTTCCAGTTGCAGAGAAGTTTCCTAACAGCGAATTTTACGGCTTTATGCATTCGCTACTTGCGTACACACGTGTTCTCATGTCTTCTTTGCTTTTACAGTCAGATAAGCAGCTGCGTTGCGTATATAAAAATAAAATGGGCCGATTATTTGATATGGGCCTTTCATTGGACCATATATACATACCCACATGTAGCGAGTTAGGTTTTACAGCGATGGCGTGAAAGGCAAGGCATGGTGGTCATACCCGAAATAGAAGTTATATTCAAACGCCACCTTAATCTTCCCCAAAACAAAAAAACCGTTTCCTTCTTCTGTATTCAACTGATTAACGGTCATTCGTCAATATTTCCAGGTCATTAATTTACTAAATTCAAGGTGTTTGTTTTTTTGTGCTCTATTTCTTCACTTTCAAAATTTCTCCATAAATTCTATTGTTTTTCCTACAGAATTGAATGTCAACGAAAAAATGATGAATCTTTGAATCAAGCAGAAACCATTGGGAGATTGGTGTTGAAAAAGGCTAATAAACCGGAGAAATGATCTGAGAAGAGGTCTTTTGTGTGCCAGTTTGAGAGTATGACTGGTCACAAGGGAGATCGAGATTCCAAAAAAAAGAGAGAAATCTTCCTAACATCGTCATCTCTGTCTTTTTCTTCACTTTCTTCCTCTTGTGCGTCGTCATGGGACGAAACCGTAGAGAGAAACACGAAATCATCAAGCGAGGAGCAGAAAGGGAAACTTTCGAAAGCTTCTTCACGAGGCTCTCAAAAGTCAGATGTGACTCATGTCACGATGCAACCTCCTCCATCTCCACCTCCTTCGAGGTCACCAGCAATCAAGCTGACGAATAATGGTTTAGAGAATCACGATCCAGAGAGAATCCCAGCTACCGTGTTTGGCAAGAATGGTGACGTGAACTGGAGTGAAATCTCGAATGAGTCATTGTTTAGTCTGGCAGTGTCCAGTTATCAAGCGTTTCGTCAGAGCAATGTCAAACCTAAAGAAGCTTTAACGCCGCCGGGTGGTGAGTACTTATCATACTCTCCTTCTGAGCTAGTTAAGCCTGATAAGGATGGAGAAGAGAAGAGATCTGAAACGAAAGAGACAAAGAGTGGAGTGACATCGGTCGGGACTAGTGGTCATGGAGAGAAGTCCTCATATTCACCTCCTCCAGCTGCCTCATGGAGTACTAGCCCCAGCAACTTCTATGAGTTGTATCAATCCCCGCCGACGAAAGCTCAATCTTTATCCGATACTGGCGGCTACAAAAAGAAAAGTAAGACAAGAAAGAGCAAGAAGAAGAAGAAGAAGAATAAGAAGAAGGAGAAGAAGGAAAAGAAGGAGAAAGAGAAAGAGAAAGAGAAAGAGAAAAAGTTCAATCTATTTCAATGTCTGACGAACAAGTGTTGCATATGGTCTTGGTTGTGTTCAGGGATTCCAAAGTGTGAATGTTTCAAATGGAGAAAGTGTTGCTGCTGCTGCTGCTGCTGCTGGAGAAGGCCAAAAGCTAAGGGCTTGTGACTTGTCTTCTTCTTCTTAATTCTCTCGAAGTAGTTTTTATGAGAGTTGTATCACCATTTCATCTAGATTATTATTATTAAATCCTTAATGTATTCTTACAAAATGGTTATCCACTTTCATTATACGCTCGTTATTGAACTGTAGACTATTTTATTCATCAATAGAATGATAAATTTATTCCATTATTATTATACGATTATTACAAGCTGTATGGAAAGATATGACGAGTGGGGTCGAGAAATGACAATGTTAGGAGGCATGGAAGATGTACCAATTATTTAGACTTTTAATTATCAGTTCACACCAAACACACTATTTTGTATACATGATTACAAGACAGATTCGTCAATTATTAAAGTTTCTTATTACAAGTTCCACATTTCATTTGATGACATATGTAAATGACAGAAATAGCCTTAGTGTAAAGAGATCCGTATAACGGCTTGAGGAATGAATAATAACTTCTCTGGTCTTCGAGAAAAAAAACGCAATCATTTCAAAGCGAAAGGGAAAGGGAAAACGTAAAGGGCAGAGCCCTTCTTCTTCTTCTTCTTCTTCGAGAAGAAGCTGCTGCCTCTGATTTTTCAATTCTTCTTTCGATGCCCACTTGATAAAGGAAACGACTTTTGTTGAAAACCAGCGAGATTTATCATCAGGTAAGGTATATTCGGATTCAATCTGGAATTTTGTAATTATTAATCCCTGTTGATTGGTTCTTCTTTGGCTAATCTCTAGGTTATTTGACAAGGATCATTGATTACCTCGAGCTTCCAGATCCATCGGAGCTCCTGAGCTGATAATCGCTTTACTGCATCGATGGGGTGCGATTCTCCTTTCAATTTCTGTTTTGGTATTTGATTGATTCAGATTTTAGATTCAGTTTGATTGGCTGCTGGGTTCACGATTGATAAACCCTAAGATTGTCCCTGAAGAATTAAGATTGTTTTTTGGCTTATGTATTTTAACAAGGGTGTGTGTGTTTGGGAGATGATGATTCAGAAGTTGTGGTTTTGTAACAGAGCAGTGGCTGTGTGGCTTGCTACAGAGAACCCAGATCAGCTGAAACTCTGAAGGATCCACCACCACCATCCAATCCCAAAGCTCAAACGTGTAAGAAACCGAGTGTTGTCTCTGAAGATTTCTGGTCAACAAGCACAGTTGATATGGACAACATCACTTTCCCTTCTCAGGGGAGCATGTCATCTAACCAGACTTTTGATTCTCAATCTGGTGCCAGAAACACAAGTGCCCCTCCTGAATTTGTAAATCAAGGTACTTACTTTCATTGACTCTAGCGTTTTTTTGTGTGTGTGTGTGTGATGGTTAATGTATATGAAGAGTTTGTGTGTGTTGTAGGTCTTCTTCTTTGGAATCAGACGAGGGAGCGTTGGGTGGGGAAGGAAAGATCCAGTAACCAACCGGATCGCAATCCAGGACCCAAGTTAAAGTGAGTGTTGGCTAATATTGTTGCCTCAAAAGCTATAAGTCTGAAAATGTTTTAACGTTTTTATATGTTATTGTCTGCAGTTGGAACGCTGCAACGTATGATAGCTTGCTAGGGAGCAACAAGTTGTTTCCACAACCCATTCCTCTCACTGTAAGTAATCAAACTCCACAGTGCAGATAACAAAGGAGAAGTCACAGTCAATTGATTGTGTTTCTCGGTGATGGCAAAATGCAGGAAATGGTGGATTTTCTAGTGGACGTTTGGGAACAAGAAGGTCTATATGACTGATGAACAAGACTTTGAAAGACGTAAACACACACAAACACACACACACTGGTTCGGGAATTTCCGATTCTTTTTTCCGTTTTTGTGAAAGCCCTTGTTGTACTTGTTCCATCTTCTCATTTGGAAATTGATCGAGAAAAATGAGAATGTGGCTCTTTACATTTTCACCGTAAATGAGAAACAAAAACGCCTTGTTGTTACTTGTTAGTCCCATCTTTCAGTCACAATGGCTTAAGACTGGTATCTCGTTCTGACCAATCTGTATCTCACAATCTGGGACATATCTTTTGCGTCCCAGGTGGTCTATTTAGATGACATAATTTAAATTACGCTAATTGTTTGTTAGCGAGTGTTCATGCTTCAGTTGTTCATACAAAAGTTGTAAAACAGGAAAGAAATGTTCAGAGTAGTTTTGGGCCCATTGGGCTTTTTTTATCAAGAAGACTAGGAGAGTGGGAATAAACAAAGAAAAGGCATATTCGCCGTAAATTAAGCGGTCACGTAGCGGACCTCACCCCCACTCTCCATTCTACTTTAATTATATTTTTGTTTTAGGAAATCGCATAAAAGGAAACAGAGACTACCTTATCCATTGATATGAAACGTCGGCAATAAAGGCAACGTGTCGAGCTCAAAGAGGTCTGTCACTGAACTATCACGTCGTCCCAGTGTAAATTCTATCATTTCCAGGCTCTCGTGGATTACGTGGAGAAAGAAAGAAAATCATTTCTAGTTTGGAGAAAATAAAAAAGGAATAAAATAAGGACAGAACAGAGGAGACACGCAAACATATCCATTAGTGGCACAACGGTTCTATCAGCAGGCTCTTATTTCCCATTTACCAGAAAGGAAAGAAAGCCTGGATTTTGCTATAAAGGAAGCGAGCGTCTGTTTTCAGGATTCTGTGTGTCAGGTGAAAGAAAGAAAGACGAAAGATGGATAACACTGACGAAATTCTCTCCATTGAGCTTCCTGCACCTGCTTCATGGAAGAAGCTGGTATCTTTTTTTGGTTCTTCTTTTCCATCATTTCTTGAAATTTCTGCTCTAGTTACAGTTTTATCCCCCTGAATTTGATGTCTTCTGTGTAAAGAGTTGTTGTTTGTCTGTTCTGCTATCCATTTCGAGTTCGGTTTATGTTTTTCAGTTTTGTTTCTTATGGTCTAGGGTTTCGATTTGGGGAATTTAATGAAATATCTTGTTTCAAGGTGGAATTGGGGCTTTTTATCTTCAATTCATGTGGAGATTTTCTAATTAGATGAGAATTTAACGCTTGGGAATTTCTTGATTATCAAATTAGGGTTTCGATTTGGGGAATTTAAGGAGATATCTTGTTTCGAGGTGGGATTAGGATCTATATCTTCAATTCATGTGGAAATTTGATAATTAGATGAGAATTTAACGCTTATGAATTGCTTGATTATCAAATTAGGGTTTTGAATGAACTACTGTGTAAGACCTAAACCCTAGATTTGGTTGATAAAATTTGGGGCTTTTCTATAGATTTGGTCTCATAAAGTCATATGTTGCTTCTGTATGGATAATTTTCTCTAAATGAAAGTTTGTTGTTGTTTTCAGTTTTATCCGAAAAGAGCAGGTACTCCCAGGAAGACGGAGATTGTGTTCATGGCTCCAACGGGTGAAGAGATTAGCTCTCGCAAGCAGCTGGAGCAGTACCTGAAGGCTCATCCAGGAAACCCTCTCATCTCTGAGTTTGAGTGGACGACTGGGGAAACTCCAAGGCGGTCTTCAAGGATCAGCCAGAAGGTGAAGGCTACGACGCCCACTCCTGACAAGGAACCTCTCCTGAAGAAGAGACGATCTTCTCTCACAAAGAAGGACAACAAAGTGGCTGCCGAGAAAAACGAAGATGCTGCTGTGAAGGAGACCGTGGATGCTGTGAAGGAGAAGGAGAAGGAGAAGGAGGCTGAGAAGGACGGACTTGCGGAAACTGCTGAGGCGGAGAAGGAGAACAAGGAGGGTGAGAAGACTGAGGCTGAGAAGGATGGGAAAACAGAAGTTGCTGCGGCTGAGAAGGAGAACAAGGAAGGTGAAAAGACTGAGGCTGAGAAGGAGGGAGAAGTTGTGACGGACAAGAAAGAGCCTATGGAAGTTGATACCTCCGAGGTGGTGAAGGCGGCTGAGAGTGGAGAGAAAGCTGAAGAACCTCCCAAGGATACTGAAGTGAAAGAGCCCATGGAAGTGGATACCTCTGAGGTGGAGAAGAAGACTGAGAGTGGAGGGAAAGCTGAAGAACCTCCCAAAGTTGAAGCTCCCAAGGACGTTGAAATGAAAGAGCCTGCAGAGGAAGTTGTTGCTGAGGGTGATGGAGAGAAGAAGCCTGCAGAGGAAGTTGTTACTGAGGGTGATGGAGAGAAGAAGCCTGCAGAGGAAGTTGTTACTGAGGGTGATGGAGAGAAGAAGCCTGCAGAGGAAAAGGCTGAGAACAAGGGCAGTGTGACAGCAGAAACTAACGGAGAACAGAAGGTGACTTCTGGTGAGCCAAACCTTGATGCAGATGCGGAAGCTACCAAGGGAAATGAAACACAAGAAGCTGCTGATGAGAAGAAGACTGAAGCTCCAGCAGCAAACGACGTGAAGGGAGGAGAGGCAAGCATAGGCTTAGAGGCGAATCAAGTTCAACAGCCACAGGGTGCTGTGAGCTGCTAAAAAACCTCATCGTTCTGTACACAGCAGAGGACGTGAAGAGTTTGTTGTTGTTGTCTGATTTCAGGTGTAGCATTAACATTTTCATGAGTGGCTGTATGTGTTGGTAGAAGAACTCATGTGTCTATGTAGACTATGTAGTTCAGTTCATTATCATTAGACTCTTTTTCTTCCTACATTTTGTACTATTGGTGTGTTGTTAATGTTAGGCATTTAGTCCTATTTCCCTTTCAACTACTTTGGATGATGAAATTTTATGGCTAAGCAAAAGCAAAGTATAAGATTACATATAAAGTGGATATATTACAAAGTGAGGTCATAAGTTACATAAGAGCAGCTCTTATGGAGCGTATGATATCAGTGAGAGACACAACTCCTATAAGCAAACCCTGTTGGTCCACCACCCACAATCTGTGCACTCCTCTCGTCACCACTTTCTCTATAGCTTCCTCCATCGTCGCTTCCTCAGTGCAACTCACCATCTCCCTCCCTTTCCCTGAAGCTTTCTCAGTGAACTCCAGAGCTGTGAGTGGCAGCCACGTCTGCAGCTCCGGCAGACGACATCCTTTTATATCCGTTGCGGAGAACGTACCAATCACTTTCCTATGCCTCCCCTGAAATCTCAAAAACACACATAAATGAAACATAAATTCTTAGTAGTCAAAATTAAATCATATAATCGATAATAAAACCTACATTGACGAGCTGAACATGATCCTCTTCCGCTACGTCAGGGGCGTGAACGATGGGGACGGCGTTGAGCAGAGCAGCCTTCATAGAATTGATAGCATTAGAAACAGTTGTTCTCTCAGTGATGGCGTAAACGGAATCGTTAACAGCTCGGAGTTGGGAGATGGAGCGTGAGAGAACACTCTTGAGGTCATCAAAGTGATGGTCTCTAAGGAACCTCAAGAGATCCATCTGAGTCAACATCTTGTAAGAAGAGGCCGACTCAACCAGCTCAACTCCTGAAATGGTGTGATTGCTCTCTACGCTGCTCTCCAACGGCACCAGAGCTCGGTGGATCCCTTTGCTAAACACTTCCATACACTCCACGAAGCTGGTGTTAGGATTCAGTGTCCAGAGGCTAAGTCCCTCGATGCAATGGCCGATTATGGAAGACACCTGAGAGCTCATCTTGCGGTCCAAATCGGAGTGGTCGGAGGGGTTTTCACCGCCGCCGGCGATATGAGCGAGTATGTCGAGCATGGTGAGAATCCCGATGTAGTGTTTACGTACAGCTCCGGTATGTTTGTCAGACTCCATGATCATGGAACCTCCGGCGCCGATCCAGTGTCCAGGAGGTGCAGCCACTGGGAGGGCGGAGATGGAGTTAGCCACCAATGTGTTCATTGCGTGTGAGAGTGTTGCCGTGTAGGGGACCTCCACTAGCCGTCGGTTTCTGGCCGTTAGATCTTTGGCCGTGACATTGATCAGGCGGCTGTGATCTTCTTTGCTCTTCTCTTGTTGCATAGTGTGACTAGTGTGTGTGTAAGAGAGTCTTTGAAAGTTGTTGGAACGTGTTGCTTCTCCAACGTTTTTAAGTGTCGATCTTGGCTCGAACTTTTATGTTTCCGGATTAGGACTGCGCGTGATTATCCAATCCACGTGGCAGTCAATACTTGCTCGTGACATGCACCACCGTGGCATTTTTTCATCAATCTGGACGAAATATTTCCGATGTTTGTAGGTAACAGAGAAGCTTGAAACTACTAATTGGGCCTTAACGAACGGCCCAGTATGACCAAAATGACCAAAATGACCTTTCCTTCCTCTTGTTTTGTTGTTCTTTCTCAAATCTAACATCTCCCTCGCGTCAGTGGAAGAAACGACTCCGTCACTTGACCATCCAAGAAGGTGGGGAAGAAATCAGTGCTGGAGAAACACGAAGATGGCGAGAGCAATGGAAGCTGCGCGCTTGTGAGTATCCTCTCTTCGTATTGTTTCTTCCGCATTTCGTTTTCTTCGCTGCGTTACTCTGATTCGACGAGTGTGATCGTTCGAAATTTGGTCGACTTGTTTTGGGGATTCTGTGTGTCGATGATTCAATCGCTTCGATTTAGGGTTTTATTTCGTTTCTGTCGCATTGATTAGAATCTGAGCTACGGTTAAATCCTTCCTTAGTTTCGTTCTTTTTAAAGCAAGTGATGAAGTATCCGCTTTTACAGCATTTCTGTTTAATTTCTGAGATACGAATGTGAATTGATACCAAAATTGCCTCCTATTGATCAATTTCATGAGATTAGTCTACGGATTACATGGATATCGATGCATTTCAGTATATATGAGTGTTAAATGGGATTACGAGGGTTGGTTCTTGTGCAAATCAGATTGCTGGTGGGTAATCAATTGGTGTGTGTTTCTGCAATGCAGTGACGATAATGGATTGGAAGAACACAACAACGAGGAATCAGTTTCATGGGATGATCTGGAAAGAGACGCTGCTAGTAAGGCCGGTGGATCTTCTGAAAGATTACAGGCCTCGAGATCTCACCTGAACGACTCTTTTAGAAAAGGTATCTATCTACAAAAAGTTCCCTTCTTTAAGTGAATTCGAGCTATATAAATGGTGAAACTTTTGCTAAACGCATGGAAAGTTATCTGTTTTTTTCCCATCATGCTAATGTGGATGAAGTTACAATAATCTCTCTGATTGATCAGGTGACGAACCTTCAGGAGACTTGTACGAGTTGTGGAGGCAAGAACAGAACAGCATTGCCGCAAGACTAGACAAAGAGCTTAAATCCAGGTGGGAGCTAGATGAGCTTATTGAAGAGCAGCTGAGCAGATACCAGTCCCATTACTATAAGGCCATGGTTTCAACCTCGTTAAAGGATGTCTCTAACTTCCTCATGCCCCAGTGGGTACCACCTCATGAGCTTGCTGCTGTGTCTTGGCTTGGAGACTGGCGTCCCACTTCCATTCTTGACATTCTTCGCGTTCAGGCCGCTCACAACCCTTCCTTCTCTCTGTCTGAGTCCTGTGAACGTGTGCTCTCTCAGCTTGTACGTGAGATACGCATAGAGGAGGCCGTGATCGATGAAGAGTATGCAGAAATTCAGGCCACTTGTGTTCTGCACCTTCCCTTTTCGCCGCTCTGCAATGGTCAGTCGCATGAAGAAGCTCTGAGTTCTGTGCAGGAGCTGTTTGGGAACATCCATAAAGTCGTCTCAAAGGCACAACGACTCAGGTTTGCTTTCCTCTCCATCATTAAGAGCGGGAACAATTAGCTGAGAGCAATAGATAGTGATACATGTGTTAGTCTGGTTGAGTGAAGTGAAAGCTTTGATCAGCGGATATGAGAAGGGATTGAGATTATGTGCAGGTATAAAGTGTTGGAGCTGGTGATGAAGAAGCTGCTTAATCAAACAGATACAGCCGAGTTCGTGGTCGCATTTGCAGGAATTCAAGACGCCATCCACCAGTTTGGAGAGCAGAAGAAGCTAAAGAAGCATTACCCTGCGGTTCCTTTGAAGGGATCAGGATCATCCAGTTGAGAGCTATGTAGGATCGCAGTTCAAGTCTCAATATGAGAGTAAAAAATGAAAGCTGTGGTGTTGGATCTGCCTACATTCTTGGGAATTTTGTCTTTTCATTAACTCGTATAGTCTAGTTACATTAGTATGAATCTCGAAACTAAACTTGTTTCTCTATCAGCGACCATTATAACCTTTGGAGTCGTTGGTATTTGTAAGTAAGAACAACGATATTGAAAATGATAAAACCAAAAATTTGTATACAACTTTCAGTCTCTTCTTATATTTCTTGTTTCTTATATCATATTTAGTGTTCCTGGTAACATGCAAATTTGCTTCATCAGGTGTATTGAGTTTCATACTACCAAAAACATTAGAGAGACTGACGGAGGTTTGCAGATATCAGAAATGTGATACTTAAAACACATTCGCTTTTCGTTTTGAGGGAAGAGGTTGCCAAAACCAAAGAAATTTGCATCTGTTCAAAAGAGGAATGTGGCCCATTGGGCCTTGATATTGTATATAAGGGTTTTAGGAGATTTGGATCAAACCTCAACGTGTCCCGCCTGAATTATCCAATCTCCGATCAAAATCTCTGAGCCCTAATTCCTCAATTCTGATCATCGAACCACCGGGAAACTAACTGCACAGCAGAGAAAATGGTTTTGGCGGAGCTGGGCGGGCGGATTACCCGCGCAATACAGCAGATGAGCAGTGCGATAGTAATCGATGAAAAGGCACTGAATGAATGCTTGAACGAGATCACCCGCGCTCTGCTCCAGTCCGATGTTTCTTTTCGCCTTGTGAAGGAGCTGCAGACCAATATTAAGAAGATCGTCAACCTCGATGATCTAGCAGCTGGCCACAACAAGCGCCGGATCATTGAGCAGGTTCTACTTTAATTACCCCAGATTCTGCAGTTCTAATTCTTACTCGATTTTTGGAACTCGATGAAATGGGTTAACTGTGATTGAATTTATCCTGATTCTCTCGTATTGTTTATTTTAGGCTATCTTCAGTGAACTCTGTAAGATGCTGGATCCAGGAAAGCCTGCATTTACCCCCAAAAAGGCCAAAACTAGTGTAGTTATGTTTGTAGGATTGCAAGGTGAGGTCTCTGTAAGATGAGAGTTTGATAGATTGTATGCGTAATTCACTGTTAAAAAAATGCCTCTTTTTGACAATGTTTAGGTGCTGGAAAAACCACAACGTGTACCAAGTATGCTTATTATCATCAGAAGAAAGGGTACAAACCGGCTCTAGTGTGTGCTGATACTTTCAGGGCAGGTGCTTTCGATCAGCTGAAACAGAATGCCACTAAAGCTAAGATCCCCTTTTACGGAAGGTATTCTTGTTGTCCCCTTTGTATGAAGATTTTTAATTTCGTGGGTGTGTTATGGATTAAATGTTGAAACCATACTTGATGGCGTACGGTGATTAGCAATGTGGTAATGCTTGAGTTGTGATTCTTTGCAGCTATACGGAATCCGATCCGGTGAAAATTGCTGTTGAGGGGGTTGCGAGGTTCAAGAAAGAAAATTGTGATCTTATTATTGTTGACACCAGTGGTCGCCATAAACAAGAAGATTCCCTCTTTGAAGAAATGCGTCAACTTGCTGAAGCAACCGTATGTTTTATATAATCTTAACAATCTTATGTTTGTTTACTTGGTTTCTGTTGAATTCACTGATTGTGATTGAGGCTTTTTCCACTTTACAGAAACCGGATGTTGTCATATTTGTTATGGATAGCAGTATTGGTCAAGCTGCATTTGATCAAGCTCAAGCATTTAAGCAAAGTGTTGCTGTGGGAGCTGTAATTATCACTAAGATGGACGGTCATGCTAAGGGTGGTGGTGCTCTCAGCGCGTAAGCATCTTGTAGTTACTGTGTCGTTCTGTATGCAAATTTTGAGCGCTTTTGTGATCTTTTTTCCATCTTGATAGTGTTGCAGCTACAAAAAGTCCTGTGATATTGATTGGAACAGGAGAGCATATGGATGAGTTTGAAGTGTTTGATGTCAAACCTTTTGTCAGCCGTCTCTTAGGTAATTTTCATTAGCAGCACTGTATTGAGTAATATCAAAATCTCCCCATGGGTTTGTTGACTCAGAGTATTGATAATAATGTTTATGTACTACAACAGGAAAGGGTGATTGGTCTGGATTCGTGGATAAACTACAAGAGGTGGTACCTAAAGATCAACAGTCTGAGTATTTGGAACAGCTCTCTAAGGGTAACATTTCGTTGAGAATTATGTACGAGCAGTACCAGAGTATGCTGAACTTTGGCCCACTTAAACAGGTTAGAATCTCTTGTCAAAATACTAGTGTGAACAGCAAGAGTTGCTGATGATAACACAAAGTGAGGTTTTCGGTGTGTAGTTATACTCGAGCCTGCCTGGAATGGGTGCTGGGATGATGCCGGAAGGACGTGAGAAAGAAAGCGAGGCGAAGATAAAGCGATACATGACAATTATGGATTCTATGACAGATGAAGGTGAGAGAACAATGTCATACTTGTAGAAACAGACTGTAGAGTAGAGGTTAATAAGCAAAAAATGGTTGATGTTGTGCAGAACTGGACAGCCCAAACCCAAAGGTGTTTGACGAGACAAGGATGATGCGGATAGCGAGAGGGTCAGGGAGGATTGTAAGAGAAGTGAAGGAGATGTTGGAAGAGTACAAGAAGCTAGCAAAGTCATTGAGCAACATGAAGGGGCTGAAGATCCCAAGGAATGGAGATCTCATGAGCTCAAGAAGCAAGAGCGCGCAACAGCTGAGCAAGGTCCTACCTCCTCAGGTGTTAGAGCAGTTTGGCGGCATGGGTGGTCTGCAGAGTCTCATGAAGCAAATGGGGGCAAGGACATGATCGGGATCTTGGATTGCTGTGACGACTAGTTTACATTCTTTCTTGCACAGCCAAGTCTTCTTCTTTTTTTTTTTTCCTTTCCTCTCGACTTAAAGTACAGATAACAAAATGAACGATTATTTGCCTAATGAGGATAATAATATACCTTTCTTGAGTAAGACGTGTACGATATTACAGTTAAATTTACAGAAATTGATGTTGGATATAGTTAAATCTGTAACAAAATTTGTATTTCGTTTATTTTCCTTATTGGCCAATGAGAATAAATGGAAAAAAGAGAGGGAGAGAGAAATAGAGGGTCCAGATTAAATAGAGATCTGAAGATCTACGGTTGATATGGAGAAGTTAAGGACTATAAAGAAATAGAAAACTGTACCATCGTTCCTGATTATATAAGTGTAACAAAAAAGGCCGACGGAAATAAAGCTCAAAACCCTAATCTGAGCCAAGCTCCTGCAAAGCCCATTACACGCGTTTGACTCTTCCCGCCGTTGCTCTCTCTCCTCTTTCTCTGTGTAAGTATCACTCTCTCCTCCTCCTCTGTGCGATTTCGCGTTTCTCTCTCTCGAACAATTTGCAGTTTTTGCTTCTCCTCGATTTCGTCGTCTGCGATATGTGTCTTCGGTTTCATCGAAGTTTTTATTTCTTCGCGGGTCTAATCCGTCGTCTTCCTCGTTGCTCTGTTAGTTGAATTATGCCCAATTTTGTTTGTATCAATTGAGAATTGATTCGATTTCCCTTCTCTGTATTCAGGATTATGGATTCTGATCCTTCCGTCGTTGTTAACGATGCTTCTATTGAGATGGATTCTTCTGATGCACAACCCACCAAGCGGAGGAAGAAGAAGTCGATGGTGTGGGATCACTTCGTCACCAAAACTGCTGGCCCAGGAAACACAAAAGCTTTCTGCAAACACTGCAACCAGTCGTATGCCTACATTACTGGTACCAAGGCTTCAGGAACTAGCCACCTCAAGCGTCACATTGAATTGGGTATTTGTCCCATGTGCCCAAAGACCAATCAGCTCCCGCAGATCAAGGATGAAATTGAAACCACACCTTGCCCTCCGAAGAAACGCCAGAGATCTCCTGCTAAGGTCCCTTTAGGTGAAGATAACTGCAACCGTGAGATGGCGAAGATGATCATCATGCATGATTACCCTCTACATATGGTTGAGCATCCTGGTTTTGCTGGCTTCGTCAAGGCTCTTCGTCCACAGTTCACGATGGCAAGCTTCAACACCATTCATAGTGATTGTGTGAACATGTTCTTGTCCCAAAAGAAAGAACTTTCAGACTTGATTGGAGAGATTCCTGGCGCAGTTAACCTCACGGTGGACTTGTGGTCATCAAGCCAAACAGTGGGTTACGCTTTTGTGACTGGGCACTTTGTTGATAAAGACTGGAATCTGACTCACCGCCTTCTAAATGTTGCTGTTGTTGCTTCTCCTGATTCGGATTTTGCGTTGAACCAACCCATTGCAGCTTGCTTATCCGAGTGGAAACTGGAGGGGAAGGTTTCGAGCCTCACTGTGAGCCAATCGTTGGTGAATAAAACGTGTGTTGATAATCTCAGAGGTTTCTTGTCTGTTAGGAACCAGCATGTGTTGAATGGTCAGCTGTTGATGGGGAAATGCTATGCTCGCTTTCTAAGCAGCATGGCGCAAGATGCACTTGCAGCTGAGCACCTTCAAGCACCCATCAAGAAAGTCAGAGATATCATCAAGTATGTAAAGACAAACGACGCTTGTGGAGAGAGATTTGATGAATTGAAGAGAGAGTTTCCAACGCTTTCTTCTTACAGAGATCTTCTCATTGACAGCCAAACGAGATGGGATACAAGTTACAACATGTTATTGGCTGCCTGTGAACACAGACAAGTTTTTTCTGTTTTGGAAACCTGCCATCCTGATTACAGAATATCAGCTGAAGAATGGAGAAAGATTGAGAGTCTCTGCTCTTGCTTGAAGGTTCTTTTCAAAGCGGGTAATGTCTTGACTAGGCCAAACCACTTGTCAGCAAACGATATGTACCATGAGATGACAAATCTCCAGCTAGAGCTTAGTCACGCAGCCAACGACGAAGACCCGGATGTCAGAAACCTTGCGAACTCGCTGAGGGAGAAATTCGACCTGTACTGGAGAGGATGCGTCCTGGTTTTGGCGGTTGCTGTGGTCATGGATCCTCGGTCCAAGATGCAGCTCATTGAGAAGACCTTCACTAGTTCGTATGGTGAAGATGCAGAAAAATGGATCAAGACTGTCACTGATGCCGTCCATGATCTGTACCTTAACTACAGTGAATACAACCTGCTGGATGCTTTTGTGGATCATGGCTTCTGCGAAATAGAGGTGGCTCAAGAACCTCAGTTCCATCAAGATGCTAATACAGGGAATGGACAATCAGGAGATGAGACAATTCCACCAGTAGAGCAAACAGAGTCACATCCATTAGTAGAAGAGGAACAGAAACTTGGTGATGCTTCTCAAGCACATCCAATAGCAGAAGAAGGCCACACTTCATCTACGGTAGAGCAGCAAATCACAGAGTCACATCAACATGAGACACAGCCTAAGGTAGAGAAGCAGAATCTGCAAGGAGCAGGGGAGGGAGTGAGTGAAGAGTGTCAGGTAAGAGAAGAGGAACAGCAACTTGGTGACGATTCTCAAGCACATCCAGTAGCAGAGGAAGAACACCCGTTATATGTGAGTGACGTGCTTCTTGAGGAAGGGTCTACACTCGTCACAATTGGAGACACGTTGTCAGACTGTGAGATGTACTTCCCAGATATCAAAACGGAGCTGGGTCAATACCTGGATGATGAAACTGTGACTACGAGGTCGGAAGACTTCGACGTTCTGAGCTGGTGGAGGCTCAACAGCACCAATTACCCCACACTCTCTAAGATGGCTGCGGATCTTCTCTCCATCCCCTTCACCACCGTCTCATCTGATTCAGTATTCGACACAGAGGTGAAGCAGATGGACAATTATAGGACCTCTCTACCTCGTGTAACATTGGAGGCTCTCTTGTGCACTAAAGACTGGCTCAAAAACAGATCATTAGGAGATTCTTGAGGTTTTTTTCTTTCTTTGTAGGTTCTTATTTTTTAGGTTTGAAATCATTTACCGGATACCATTTGATATCTGAACCCAATTTGTAAGTGGAATCGAACTATCATCAATATCTCCTTTTGCATTGCATTGATGCCTTTGAATCTGATTCAGTGCCATGAATGACTATGAACCTACCTGTCTCTGCTTCAGTTTTCCTGTACTTCTTAGCCTCAGCCTCTTTCAGTTTTGATCATTGAATGACTAGTTCATTTGTATTTTCATGTAAATAGAGAAAATGAAATCGATACCCTAAGTGGCAAGCAAATGAGTCATTTGGAACAGTCTAAACGGCTTAATGGCTGAAGTATCTGTGATGTTGACATCATTACTGTTGTATTTTAAAATGTGTTGTTGACTTGTGGTTACAAAGGTCTTACGTTGTTGACTTGTTGTCATGTATAAAATGTAAAAGTGTAACGGTAAGAAGGAAAAAGAAAGAGTGGAGGAACTCGTGCAATTTATGTAGAAAGACGACACTAGGTAGGTGGTTTTATTAAAAGAGACAAACAATGGACTTGAGTGGGGTTATCACTACTAATAAGCCCACTGCATCAGGGCGGACGATTCGAACCGTTGATATTTTTTAATAAAGCAAAAACAAACAAACAAAACGGAGTCGGACAAGAGCCACTGTCACCACCACTGAATAATGCCACGTGCCACAATCTGAACCATCAGCTTGTCTCGGTCGAATTGCATGAGACTGGGATTGGTGCCTTAATAAAAACTTTAATGTGAACATCAAACTCACATGTACCGTTTTCTACTATAGTAGACTCTATAGACTATTAGAGATAGAGATAGAAAGAGATAGTTGGCGTTAGCGAGAAGGAGAGGCCAGGATTGGTCATATATCTCCAAAACACCAATTTCTAAACCAAACCAAAACTCTTATCCTCCTGCTTCTTATATCCTCTCTCTCTCTCACTCACTCTTCCTCTCAAGGCTCTTTCTTAGCTCTCTTCGGAATCTACGCTCCACGGTTCGGTTTTCTGGTTTTTGTTTGTATGATTCACTTTTTGTATGTTCTTCTGTTGAAATCTCTAATTTATGTTGTGTGTTCAATGAAGGAGCAATGGCACCAAGAGTGAACAAAGGGAAATCGAACAGAGGGAAAGGAGATAAAAAGAAGACGAGAGAAGAGAAAGTGCTAATACCGAGTCTTGTTGAAATCACAGTGACGACTCCGTACGAAACACAAGTGGTACTCAAGGGAGTTTCTACTGACAAAATCATCGATGTGAGAAGGCTTTTAGCATCTCACGTCCAGACTTGCCATTTCACCAACTACTCTCTCTCGCATCAGGTATATACGTATCTGTTTTTCTTAATAACGGAAGAGTTTCAATCAAACAGAATGTGATTAAATTGGCTCTGTTCGTTCAGGTGAAAGTGCATGAGAAATTGAGTGATAAGATCCAAGTGGTTTCCCTCAAGCCTTGTATCCTCCGTATGATTCCAGGTATGTGTGTGTGGTCGTAAATTTTAATACATAGTTTCTTTCCTGATCCATCCATCACCACAAAAAAATTCTTATCACTTTATCAGTAGTGTCAGTGAGATATGAAATGGGCACTAATCATTGTTTAATTTTGTACCTTTTTAGAGAGACTGACCAATACCAGAGTTGTTGTTATTGGTTTCGTATCTATTTTGATCGCTGCCCTTTGAGTTTGTGTTATTTACCATTTTGCCACAGAGGACTACCTAGATGAGAGTCGAGCTTTGACTCAGGTACGGAGGCTCGTCGACATCGTAGCATGCACCACCGGATTCTTCTCCGCTTCCACCAAATCTTCCGACAAATCGATCGCCGCCGGGAATGGAAATCCGGCGCCGGATGGACTGGACATGGTCGCTATCCATCCCATTCCCAGACTTTCTCACTTCTACGACTTCTTCTCCATTCCTAACGTCTCTCCTCCGATTCTTCGTAAGCTTTCTATGATTGACTGCCATTTGCAGAATTACTTCGAGAAGCTTCCTTGTTTTGCTCATTTCCTCTTTCTCCTTCACATTTGATCCGCAGATTTGAAGAAAGTCGTCGGTGAAGAAGCTGCACAGAGGAGTGATGGCGAGTTTTTTGAACTTAAGGTGCCTTTATATTCCTTCTGAAACATCTCTCTCTTGGATTGTCTCACCTGATGATTTTGTTGATGACTCCAATTTCGTTTGTCTAGACTTTGATAGTCTCTTCCTAACTTCAGCATACTCCTCTTCGTGGCAACTTTTTGATTTTCAGGTCAAGATCTGCAATGGGAAGATTATACATGTGATTGCATCTGTGAAAGGGTTCTTCGCCGTTGGAAAGCAACTCTCTCATTTCCATTCCATTGTTGATTTGCTTCAAAATGTCAGCAATGCTTTTTCCAAGGTAAGGGCTATTGCAATCTTTAGCTCAATGTTCATGTTCATGTTCATTTTTCTCCACAAAAGTTCATGTTCCACTACAAAATTTACTTATATTGCACTGGGGATTGATGCAGGCATATGAATCACTAATGAAAGCTTTCACTGACCGGAACAAGGTGAATGCTTATTTGCGTCTATTTCTTCGTTAATGATTTGGAGGATGTTTTTGAAGCTTAACATTTTTGAATTTTTGTTTGGTTTCATTCGTTATCAGTTTGGCAACCTTCCGTATGGATTACGCACAAACACATGGCTTGTGCCTCCTTCTGTTTCCGAGTCTTCTTCAACCTTTTATGCTTTACCAACAGAGGATGAAAACTGGGGTGGGAATGGTGGAGGTCAGGGGAGAAATGGTGAATATGATCTTCGTCCCTGGGCGGCAGAGTTTTCTGTATTAGCTACGCTTCCTTGCAAGACTGAGGAGGAGAGGGTTATTCTAGATAAGAAAGCTTTTCTGCTTCATAACCAGTTTATCGATGTGGCTGTTCGAAAAGCTGTTAGAGCCATCTGCGACGTGATTGATACTAATCAACACAGTGGAACTAGTGACTTCCCTGCAGGCTCGATCCTTCTTGAGGATCGTGTTGGAGATTTGTGTATTACTGTAAAACGTGATATAGCCAGCCTTGACCTCAAGCCTGAAGCTATGTTTCAAAATGAAGCATTTGCTCTGTCATCATCTAAGGAACTTAGTGAGAGGAATCTGCTAAAAGGGATAACAGCTGATGAGAGTGTAATTGTTCACGTAAGTGATTTCTCGTCCTTTTTCTCAGCTATCTACGTGCAGATGGTATAGGGCTTTGCTATCTATGTTTTACATCCATCTTCTTAGCTTCTTTGCCATAAATGAAGTAATGATGTTTTCAGAGGCAGGGCGGCCTAAAGTGAAACTCTGGTTTCTCTGTTCTTACATTCATCACCAACAGTTTGTTTCTGTTCATCATCATTGTGCTATGATCTTAAGAATGACTGTTTGTGCACTACAGATTTCGTTATCATCATTATGAGTTATGACTCTGTCATATCAAATAATGTTTTCTTAGATGACTGATCAGAGTGGAATTGTAACCGTTCATGATACGTAGACTTTTCATGTTTTATTCTAAGGATGATATCAATGAAGAATTTTTCTTTTTTCAGGATACTCGGGCTTTAGGCACAGTTATTGTAAGACACTGTGGATATACAGCGGCGGTTAATGTAAAGGGTGAAATTAAGAAGGGATTGACTGATTTCCGTGATATTGTGATCGATGACCTACCGGATGGAGGAGCCAATGCTCTTAACCTTAACAGGTATGTAAGAGTATACATATTTTTGCAAATTGTACATGTCCGTATAACTTTTTGTTGGCTTCTTTTGCTTTCATTACTTTTTCAGTATTACCTTTAAATGAATTTAGCAATGGGTATTCCTGACTGTATCTTTAACATCACGGTGTTGTGTAAAATTAAGAATAGATAATGAAATAACAAGCTTTCTCGCAATTTATCCTCATTCCCCTGCTAAAAGACAATAAAATATGTCAGCATCTAACTTGTCGTTTTCCACCTTGGTTGATAACTTTATTGCAGCTTAAGGGTTCAGCTTCACAGGTCTCATAGTGTCGAAAAATCTGGAGGAAACCAGCCTTCACAGGTTGATTCGGATAATTTAGAGTCTTTTAGATGTATTGTACGGGAGTTAGTAAAAATTAACTTAACTAAGTTAGAAGAGAAAGAGGCATCTACCGAAAGGCCCATCAGATGGGAGCTCGGTTCTTGCTGGGTTCAGCATCTACAAAAGAAAGAAACAGTAACGGAAAACGTCTCTGGAAAGCCTGAAACGAATGGTGAAACTGAACTTTCAGTTAAAGGTTTGGGAAAACAATTTAAAGTTCTAAAGACCAAAAACAAGAAATCAGAAAATATAAGTACCATCGTGAAGGAAAAAGAAGAAAAGGTCAGTCTATGCGAGTTAGATGGGGAGGCTGATATAGGGCAGAAAAACATTGATCAACACTTTGAGACTGAACTGAAGGAACTGCTTTCTGATGAAGCTTTCTCTCGCCTAAAAGAAAGTGGAACTGGTCTCCATTTAAAGGTTATCTTTTAGTCTAATTTACATTTTTAACCAGGAGAGCTTACTCTGTGCTTACTCGATTTTGTTTTTTTTTGTGATACAGTCAAAAGAAGAGCTTACCAAGATGGTATATGGATACTATGATGAAATTGCTTTGCCAAGGCTGGTATGTGTTTAGTTAGATAATGAGTATAGATTTCTGAAATTATCTAAAACCATATTATATCAAGGAATCGTTGTTATGGTTTATTAGGTAGCAGATTTTGGGTCCCTGGAGCTTTCTCCAGTCGATGGTCGCACAATGACTGACTTCATGCATATAAGAGGACTCCAAATGCGTTCTCTAGGACATGTGGTAAGAATACTTTACCGTGTCAATAGCGCCTTTCCTGTTGCCAAGTTATTTTGATCTTCAAAGAATAAAGCTAGTTTGTTGAGCTCAAAACTATTGGATGGTAGAAAGTATTTAATGATTATTCTGGTGCACTATCCCTATGAATCAGGCTAAACTTGCTGAGAATCTTCCTCATATACAGTCCCTCTGTATTCATGAGATGATTACGAGAACTTTCAAGCATCTTCTTAGGGCGGTTATTGCATCTGTCAATAATATGGCAGAGCTACCTGGGGCAATAGCTGCTTCATTAAATTTCATGCTTGGCCTGCGTGGGTTAGAAGGGAGTGATACGATCTCCAGTGAAGAATACTCTCTAAGATTAAAGTGGCTACAGAAATTTCTTTCCAGAAAATTTGGTTGGATACAGAAAGAGGAATTCAAGCATTTGAGAAAAGTTTCCATTCTCCGAGGACTTTGCCAGAAGGTAATGTAGCTCTGTGTTAATAATGTATTGCTGCCTGAACAAGAATTATAGTTCTCTACTCATGCTTTTACAGGTTGGGTTAGAACTAGTTCCAAGAGATTATGACTTCGATTCTCCAAATCCCTTTAAGAGCTCTGACATTTTCAGCTTGGTACCTGTGTGCAAGGTTAGTCTCTCTCTCTCTCTTTCTCTCCCCGTGATCCAATATTAGTTATACTAAAAGCGATTAGATCATAACCTGTTAGCTATCTACGGCTGCTTGGATCTTGGTCCTTCAAAACATGTTCAAATGCTAGACAATAATTTTTAAGATAAACCATATATGTTCAATTGCACAGCATGTGCTATGTGTTTCGTCTGACGGAAGGACACTCTTGGAGTCATCAAAACTTGCTCTTGACAAAGGAAAACTAGATGATGCTGTCAATTATGGAACAAAGGTACCGATTCATTTGATAGCCACATGATCTTCATGCTTTAACCACAACTGAAGTGTTATTCTAGAGATGTTGACTTCTTGCATTTCCTAGGCATTATCCAAGATGATTGCTGTCTGTGGGCCGTACCATAGACATACTGCTTGTGCGTACAGCCTTCTCGCTGTTGTACTGTACCATACTGGAGATTTTAACCAGGTATCATCATTTCTCATCTTCTTCCCAAATGCCACATTTGATTATCAGTTCAAGTAGCAAATAGAGAATTTGTCGAGCTTGATGATTTTTTAGGCACTATTATATAACTTTTTCCAATCTTGTTTCCAAAAAAAGCAAAAAAAAAAGCAGAGGAAAACCGATGAGAGGCACGGGTATCTCTGATGTTTTTTTTCCTCTCTTGATCAGGCAACTATATATCAGCATAAGGCTCTAGATATAAACGAGAGAGAACTTGGTCTCGACCATCCCGACACTATGAAAAGCTATGGGGATCTTTCTGTATTTTACTATCGTCTTCAGTACATTGAACTGGCACTAACGTAAGTGATGCATCATGATCTTGTATAGCTATACATTCACTAGAGATGGAACCTTACTATTCTGCATTTCCATCATCTTGTCAATAAGCAATGGTCCAGCCTTTCCTCTGATTGGCTCTTTTTAACTGTTATCTGCCATCTTTCTAACCCTTTTCATTTGTCATCTGTTTATAGATATGTGAACCGTGCTTTGTTTCTTCTTCACTTCACCTGTGGGCTATCTCATCCGAATACTGCAGCCACATATATTAATGTGGCTATGATGGAAGAAGGAGTAGGGAATGTTAATCTAGCTCTAAGATACTTGCATGAAGCTCTAAATTGCAACAAAAGATTGCTAGGAGCTGACCATATTCAGGTACGTCCTTTATCTAGCTTACCTATGTTTACACCGATTCTTTAACTAATCATTGCTTTCGTTTTTTACTTTGCCAGACAGCGGCAAGCTATCATGCCATAGCTGTGGCTCTTTCTCTCATGGAAGCATTTTCCTTGAGTGTGCAACATGAACAGACTACACTTCAGATACTTACAACAAAACTTGGACAAGATGACCTTCGCACACAGGTGATTAATTTCCTCCTGATTTTTGGTTTACTGCATGAACTGGAATTTCGTATATCATTCGCATAAAAACACATTGATTCTTAAGTGTCGGTCATAAACATTTTTTTGTCACACACACTGATTGTCTTTTATATTCGTACTAGCAAAGTTATAAACTGAATATCTTGAACTCTCACAGGATGCTATTGCATGGCTTGAATATTTTGAAGCAAGAGCCACAGAGCAGCAGGAAGCAGCCCGAAATGGAATCCCAAAGCCTGACCCTTCCATCGCGTGCAAAGGCCACCTTAGGTACTAAAATGGAAACTCCCAGAACACATAGGGGATGTATTGAACCAATATTTAAAAGGATTTGAATTTTAATGAGTTTTAGATGATTTTGGGTGAATTAGGAAAGTTGTTATGCTTTGTTATTGTTTTTCTCTGCAATTTCATTCAAAACGATGGGATTTGGATCTTTGTAAGTTTTAACTAAGAAACTCGTTGCTTTAAATATGATGTTTGAATAACATAGGTTTGTCATTTTAATATAAAACATTCAAAATCCTTGATTGAATACACTCCCATGATTATTTCAATGGCACCAAAGTCCGACCTTTTATGCAGTGTATCAGATCTCGTGGACTATATAAGTTCTGATCCAGACACTAAAGGAAGTCGTATCCACAGGAAACAGCGGCGTGCCAAGGTAATTCCTAAACTTCTGAGATCCTTGTTTTTCTCAGATCACTCATTCTAGAATTTGTTGATTAAAAAAACGTGAATAAAACCTGTCAATTGTTTCAAACCACGTTACATGCGCTAGAAGCTAATGGAAAAAACTTGTGAGATATTGAAACAATATTGAAACTCTAGGATTTTTTGTCAAAGGCTTGTGACATTACTTCTATTTCGACAGGTAATCCAGGTCAATGATAGTGTTGCATCAGCTGATGATGCCACCACTAGCTTTGCTTCACAGCATGCTACATTGGACGACTTGGCTGAAGAAAATGTCACTAAGAGCAGGGCCGAAGTAAATGATCCGAATGCAGTTGTTGATGAGGTAAAAATGGAGACAAGTGATATCGTAGCACACAGTCTAAATGCTGTGGAAGAGTCAACTTTAGATGGGGGCTGGCAAGAGGCTGGAAGGAAATCCAGACAAAGGCAGCCTGATATTATGAAAAAGAGAGTGTCGTCGCGTAATAGAAATCTCAACGAGAGACGGGATGTTCAGCAACAGCAAATATCTTCTCCTTTGCAGAAAACAACTCTGAGACCCTTCCTCTCTAAGTCATCATCCCTTAAGGCTCCGAGGAATGCAGAGATAGATGCCAGTACAAAAACAACTAAGCCACTGTCAAAGGCTTCTGGTGCTACATTGGCTTCAAAGTCTCTCTCATACAAAGAGGTTGCTTTGGCACCACCAGGTACAGTTCCGAAGCCAATGTTAGAAAAATTAGAGCTGAATTTGGAAAGAACTGAAACCCAGATCTACAGGACTTCAAGTGCATCAACTGGAGCAGAAAGCAAGTCCGACACTGTAATGTCGGATTTGGCAATGGAAGGCACCGAGCTTCCTTGTGAAAAACAAGAAAGTGTTGAGTCAATAGAAAATCTTACGTCAGAGTCTGAAGGGGACCTGGGGTCTAGCCGTGGGCAAAAGGCTTCTGATATAAGCAGGAGAAAGTTGTCGGCCGCCGCAGAGCCTTACAATCCTGGAGGTTTCTTGGTTACTGATCTGCAAAGCTCAGCGGTAACGACAGGTATGGTTGCAGAGCCTATCTCTGGTGCTGTGTTTACATGGGGGATTCCCTCACCAACCTATTACAGTGATTATCACTCAAATGGAATTAGGATGCCAAGAACCATGAATCCAGATGCACCAGAGTTTGTTCCGAGGATATCCGTAGAGAATAGCTCTCAGCATGTTGACTCCACTGGTTGTTTAAAGGCTGAGAAAAAGGCAGCTGCTTTGAAAAAGCAAGAGCTGGCGAGGCAGATTCTTCTCAGCCTCATAGTAAAGTCAGCGGAGAAGGACGTTGCAGCTGCTCCAAGGATGGAAATGAAGCCTAGCAATGAGTTCGAAGATACCTCTGCAAAGGATAGTGCAGTAACAGAGATAGATTACAGAAGAGAAGAGAGTGGAGCGAAGGAAAATGAGCCGAATGGAGGTGAAGGGTTTGTGATGGTGGCGAAGAAAAAGAGGAGGAAAAACAAGCAGCGACTTACAAACAATGCGGCTGGGCTGTACCATCAACCGTCGACGGTATGTGCATGATCTGATAAAGTGGGTTTTGATCAGGCTAACAAAATAAAGCTTCTTGTGAAGCACAGTTTCTCTTTTCATAACATTTGGTTGATTGGTTTTCTTTTCGGGATTAGACGGTTGCTTGCTTATAAACTTATGCTGCACTTTTGACGCAGCTTGTAGATATATTTTTATTTGTTTAGTTTTTCATTGTTCCCAAGTTCGTGGAGTTGTTCGTTAGTGGCGTCAGCCTGTTAAGAAGAATAACCATACGACCCAACAGTCGAGAAAATTGCAGCAAGAATTCCCAAAATGTAGCTGGCATTCTTTTATATCGTAGCCTGTTTGGAAACTGAGTACTACAACATCGAAAATCACACTTGTCCAGACCAAAAACACAGATCGAAACTTATCATCTTTATAAATAAGAAAGAGAAACGAATTACATACGAACAATGGAAAAAAGAAACACCAAACAGTCTGGCTGACCAAAGCTTGGAACATCGACTTTCCTGAAAAAAGAGTCGAATGGTAATTAGTAATTACCAATACATCAGATGATCGAAAATACTAAACAGCACATACATATACGAGCCAACACTTCATTTCTACAGTAGAACCTCTATAAAACAATACTCGATAAAACAATAAACACTATAAGATAATAAATTTCTCCGGTCCCAACTCGGGCCAATGTAAAAAATAGCATAATGCGATAAGATGATAAGACAATAATATTTTTGAAACTCCTATGTAAAAATATAGTCCCAACAATAGGCTAAGATAATAATTATAAAACTAAGGCATATATATCTAAGGCAATTTAGTAAAATATGACTCCAATGTAGTTTGTCTTTTATGAAAGTTGGATTCTCGTTGGAGCTCATCTCGAATTTTTCTTATTGCATCAACAATTTATGGGGCCAAAAGTTGTGAAGAGTTTTCGAAGCCACAATTGATTCCTTACGTGTACCTACTTACATATATTTCTATAAAGTTTCTTGTTTTTTATAGAATATTTTTATAAAATAATTATTATTTTATCGATAAAACAATAACTCGATAAGATAATAAATTTTCAAAGTCCCAACATTATTGTTTTATAGAGGTTTTACTGTATTTGCTAGTAGTACCAACAAAACTGCAGGAACAACAAGCACACTCCAACATCCAATCCCTTTAACTCTTTTACTATCCCCAGTAATTAAATAATAGGTCTGAATCACTTACCTAAGAAATTCAGGAACAACTGCGATCGAAAGTGCTCTGTAACGATTATCGAACGAGGCTTGGAGAAGCAACAGGGCCCTGCGCCAAGGAGTCCTTAAAACGCTTTTTCTCAGGTTCAATCCAAATGTAATCACTGGCTAAAGCTCATCTCCCGAGTACCTGCATATACACCAACGACAGCTCAAGCAGCTATTCCTTTTCATTGTCGGATCAAATCCCACAAAGCCTACTCTACATGAATCCTATATAGATATTTGATCACAGGTCCTAAATGGTTCCATATCAACTTGTTAACAATTTGAAAGACTAGGTCCGGTTGACTTTAAGAAGGAAAGTAGCATAACTTCAAACTTATCCTAAAAAACAATCCTCATTTTAGCAGTAGCCTAATCATTGGTCATTTTGTGATTCTGATAGAAAATATTTTTCAGGAAAAACGTGTCTGTTCAAATGACATTCATCGTAAATTGTTTATCTTAACTAGTTATACATCACATCCAATCATAATCATATACTATCCATTTGCTGCAAAAAAAGAGCCAGTATTGCAAAAGGACTAACCAGGCCTCTCCATGGATTTCTCCAGATCTTTGAGGTTATCCGTACTATTCCCTTTGCTGCATAAACAGTAACTGGATTAAGCAAGCCGGAACTGCATACTTTGCAAATATAAACATATAATATGTGCCAAGCATATGCAACAGGTTTAAATAAGAGAACAACAAAATAAAATGCACAAATATCAAATGGTTTTGCGCCATTTAACGCTCCACACTTGTCACATTTTTTTTTTGCATCAAGAAAAAGTCAGAACAATGGCAAATATCACATGGTTTTGCGCCATTTTAAAGCTCCACACTTATCACAATTTTTTTTGCATCAAGAAATAGTCAGAACACAATGGCAAATTATTCCCTAAACCTTGAGGATCCTACAGAGGAAGGTAACCCTGGCAAGTGTGCTTGGTAAGAACCATCAATAGCAGCATATGGTGCGTATGACGCCCCTAAAGCTCCTGGACCAGCCAAAACTGGCATCCTGCCAATCATATAAACAAATCTCAACACCAAGCAGGAGAAAGAACAAAAATCAGGACCTAGATATATCATATATATGAAAATCCCAGGGCACGAACAGCGTAGTATTCAAACTGAAAGTAACCATTCTGATGAAATTACGTTTAGTAGATTCAGTTTTTCCAGCATGCAAACCCGGCACAATATCTAGTTTCTTTGAAATGCTTACAACGAGAAGTTCTAAAAACTGGCATCCACAAAGTACATCAAGAAGGAGGAAGAAGTACGCATACCATGTCATCTCTGGATTTCTAACACCATTTTCAGACTCGACGTAGCCTGGAAAAGCCATTCCAAAAGTCGGAACCCCACCATGCTGGCCACCGAATTGCATAACTGCATTTGAATTTTATCATGAAAGTTAGTACAATAATTTAAGAACTAGTCAGATACAGAAGAAACAATAGTAAGCAGATTATCCTCAATTTGGCGCGACAGGATTCTGACAATTCTATTCATGGACAACAATGTCAACTGGCTCAAGCATCAATAGCTATCAACATGCATGGTTTCATTCTGAAAAAAAAATATATTTCAAGTTGTCCATCGTAGAAAGTGCCATCCATAAAATCTTACCAGGCAGAAAGGCTGGGAAATTAGAATTGTCACCAGATGCCAGACTTTCTGCTCGCCCCATCACTTGAGATCCATTATACATAAAAGAGCCGCTTCCACTAGGCTGGAGAGTCCCTTTTCCCTTAGGAATCAATGCACCTAACTCCGATGCAGACTCTATTTCACCAGGAGGATACTGATTGGTCGATGAGCTATTTTTCTGAGAAGAGGAAGACAATGATCTGCTAACAGAAGATTGCTGATCAAATCCCTGACCAGAAGGTCTAATACCGCTCTGACCAGTGCCTTTTGAATCTCCATTGAGTTGCATTCTGTCACCTTGACTGTGAGATTGGGGGTAATACACGTTCCCAGCAGCTGGTGCACCTGTACCTTGACTCGTGGACTGAAAATTCTGGGCAGTGTGAGCTGGTGAAAAAGCGGATTTTGGATTCCAGTACTTCTTCCCAGGAGGCCCTGCACTTTCATTCATGTGGAGTCTTTCCATACCAGCTTGTACACCATGTACCAAATTACTCGAGGAATTTGTAGGATAATACGGACGAGAAGCAGAGTTTAGACTCGAAGCCACTACGTTCTTTTTGGTATGGGCTCCTTCACTCTCCATTTTAGCAGGGGCAGCTGGTGAACGGCGTGAATCGAGGTGTGACGTTTTCTCATGAGAATTTTGTGACCCATGAGAATTCCGTAATCTGCAAATTCAGTACATTATATTAGAGATGAAAGCCTTCACTCAACTAAAGAAAACAACATGTAAGAAGAACTCACTGTTTGCTCTGCATGGAATGTGCTTGATTGCCTTTGCTAAGGGGAACCTGCTCCTTCCTGGGCTCTCCCTCTCGTGTGACAGCTTTAGGAACAAAAATTTGCTGCTGTCCTTTGCTGGACGATGCGTTAGAACCGCCTCTTCTACTGTATCCACGCTCTTGTCCCCTACCTCGACCACGACCTCGACCGCGACCTCGGCCTCTAGTAGTCCTTTGCTGAATTTACAGAGTGAAATCAGTTAGCTATAATAAGAAAGTAAAATAAAAAAGAGATGTAGCTAAAAACCATAGATAGAAGCTCTACATCATAACGTTTCTCCTGAGTATTCATCTCTTCATATTTGTCATGTCCCCATTTTCCTTCCTCTCCAGATCCCCACGATCTCCTTCCACCACGCATTCGCCTATGAAATCAAAATAAGGATTATATCAATTCAACATTCCCATGAATCAACAGAGACAAGGTTGTGATAAAAAGCTAATTAGAATTCATCAAAAGCAATTGCAATTGAGAAAACTGTGAAAAGCAAAACACAGTGAAACGAGTGTGTACCTGCTTTGGCCGCCGGCAGACATCTCCTGAAATCTGTCATCATGCATATAAAAAGCTCCGCCGGTAGGCACTGCAGCCGATTGCTTCTCCTTCTCTTCCTCTGGATCTACAGGAACTGCTGCCGCATCTTCAACTGCCGGCTTCATCAGAATAATCCTCTTGTCGCCATCGACTGATTGTTCCTTGTACTCATAAGCTTCTTCCTCCTCGTAACTATCCTCTCCGTCTTCACTCTTGTTTTCGTCATTATCAAACTTCCCGGTGCCTCCCTGGTCATCAGAATCGGATTGTTCCGAATCAATCTCAGCCCTGTGGTTTTTGACCTCATCGTCTTCATCGTCGTCACTCGCTTCTCTCCTCCTCCTCGTCAGCGAGCGCTTCAGCTCCTCGGGATCACTCTCGTAGTCGGGTTCTCCGGCGTCAGCTGGTGCCATAATTCACTCTAGAGACCTGAAAAACGGAGAGCCGCCGTTTAAATCTAAACCCTAGAAGAAGGAATTGGATCGAGTAATCGAAGAATCGCGGGGAAAACTATGTGGGAAGCATTCACTGACCTTGACCTTATTTACCTCCGGAGGCGGTTTGCTGCGATATTGGGATCGAATGGAGCGGACGGGCCTTCTAGATTTTTAAATATATAAATAGGGCTAGTCTTATCCCAAACTAATCGTTTTATTTATTTTATTTTATTTCACAAATGAAAAGAATATTTACTCCAAAAACATGAAACGAGTTTTAACGATTCCACTATAAACCCTTCGTCTCCTCGGAAAAATCATTAATAAGATAGTCAATTTCGCGGATCTCCATCTTTCTCAAAACTTGGAGGAGTTTAGGATCACATGTTATTGTCGTGCTCATCAGGCTCTGTTACTTGAGCTTTTTGAGTTTTTTTGTTGTTTGTTACTCTGTGTTTTAAGCCTTGTTGTGTGGATACCTTTTAGTCCTTTTGACTTTTATTTATTCAGATTACCAAAAAAGAACAGGCGTATTTTTGATTCGGTCTAGTACAACTTTTACGTTCGTTATATCTTTACATCCGTCAACGGTGTCTTCATCAAATTGGAAAGTACTGTACTTTTAGTCTGGTGCAAGTTAAGATTCTGTTGGATGAGGAAAGAGAAGAGTTTGACAATGAGCTAGAAACAACATCTCTGAAAAATCAGATGCACACTGCAACATAAAAACATAAAACTTTAGTAACAAAAACCTCAAAACGTAAAAAATAAAACAGAAATCAGTAAAAAAAACACCAGTTTCTACCTCGTGACTCTATTCATTTTCTCTCTCGCAGATTCATTTCTTCTTGGAGGAGAAGGTTCCTGAGTCTGCGAAGTAAGTGCTCTGAGTCCCGCTGCTTAACCCTTGAGCCTGAGGATTGCACAGCTCTATTCCCTGCACAGAATTAAAAGCAAGACTCGACATCAAACCGGACGAGCTAGTACTAGTACCACTTGTATACCGTCTTTCTTTGAGCTTCTTCATGAGCTTAGCATTAACTTTCAGCTTGCTCTGGACAGCGGAAACTCGCAGCCTGTTGCTCTGAGCGTGTCCAAGCATTCCATAACCAACACCCAACCCATCACCAAGCGAGCTCTCTTCTGCTGTTACACCAAACGCCACTCTGTTGGAAAGCTTTCTCATCTCCGTCACTGCGTACCTTTCTTTCATCTTCCTCAGGCGTCGACCGCCTCTTCTCTTCTTAGGCTCCATATCTGGAACAGGAAGTGACTTAGGCTGTCTCGCAACACCAGGTTCTTGCAACTTTTCAATCTTCTTGACGATCTCTTCCCTCAAGGCTTTCCCATATGTCCCCGACGTGTCTCCTCTAGCAGCGTCACTTCTTGCTGCTAAAACAGATTTTCCAGCCAAGAACCTGATAACGCGCGACCGAAGTCCAGGAGGCGTCTTTTGGAGAATATCAGTCTGGTCCAGATAGCCAACACGGCACTGTGACGAAGCAGTAGAGAAGCCAGCAAGATTCTTCCTCTTATGGCCAAGAAGTTGAACATTACACGAAGGCAATTTAGCAAGTGCTGATAAACCTCCAGCTGTCACTAAAAGCTTGGCTGCAACATCACTCCCGACAATGGCTGAAAGGTTCGGTGCGAGACATCCCATCTTCGTTATGACAAACTCAAGGATCTTGTCCCTTGCGGAATCAAGATCAATAGCATGGTCGCATGCTTCGATCGTCTTTTGCAGGACGTCCTCTGGCATACTTTTCCCTTTTGTGGTTGAATGTAGAAGCAGAATAGGCGTAATAGTAGCTCTAGCTTTAGGTTTGTCTCGTGTTAAAACCCTTTCCAGATCGACGGAGGTTAAATCCGTCTTGTTCCCAATCTGTTTGACAACGCGTGCGTAATCGGTTGCGTGAGCCACAAGCGACTCAAGCTCTGGAAATTTAGGTCTGTACTTGTGACGGATAAAGTTGTGGACAATGACGATTTCGTTGTCGATATCAACAGAGAGCTGATTGCAATCCACGATGAGTTTGTATTCAGGACTGTTCTCTGATATAGTTCCGTTCGAATCCATCCCGAGAGCCAGAGCCTCTTCCACTTTCTGCATTATATCAACATATCTATGGGTTTTTTGTAGCTTGGAAACGGTGTCGAGATCTTCAGAGTTTAGGTTTTTTTTTGTCAATATCTTCTTGATCCTCTCTTCCAACATTATCTTCGGATTCTGAGGCTTCATTATCAGATAACTCGTCAAGCTCTGCGAGGAGAGAATCTTCAAGAGTCGTCATATCTACTACTTGGAACGCGGATGATGAATTGCTCACTGATTGTCCTGTGGATGAAAACGAAAAGAAACCAAATTGAAAACACTTTATGGAAATCGAAATATATAGAAGAATTGAAGGTTACTCTTAAAGAGATTAGGAAAATCATAAAGAATGGAAAACAATGGAAAAAGCCTAATCAAAACACTAGAAGGAAATCCTTGGAGTGCACGGTCTTTATGCATTCTAGCCGGTTAGCGAAAAAGACTCCGTAGTGGGCCTAAATATTCATTGGGCCTTTTGAGCCCATTTGTGGGGTTGCGTCGTTACTACGAACTCGATATATTCGACTAGCAGCAATTGGAGATTGAGATTCTGTCGTCTCTAAGTTCCTCTTCCCCCAATTCTCAGATCAGCATCAACCCTAAAGCTCTCCAAAACCAGTCATGTCGTCCAAGCAAGGTAAATCAATTTTAGTTTTACATGATTTAGGTTCTTGTTTGTGATATTCGGTTTATGTCGTTGATTCGTTTTGCGGTAAAAGGAATAAAAGACATATTTTTGCGATCTGCTAATCGTTTTTTTCTGTAAAAACAGGAGGAAAGGCGAAACCTTTGAAGCAGCCAAAAACTGACAAGAAGGAATACGATGAGGTAACTCTACTGAACCTCGTTTCGAAACCTTTTTGATTTTATTTTTACGAGTAGAATTTTCTATAGATTATGCCTTCAACTGAGCGAAAGTGTTCATTTTAGATGGTTTTATATTGGTAGCTTTAGGCCTCGAGTGAAAACCATGGTATTGCTTGCTTTCTGGATCTGGTTTCGATTGTATAGCTAACTTGAATTCTTAAAATTTAAAGACATAGAATCATCTCTCTTGCTCCTGTCAAATGATATATTCGCTATTCGTATATCAATGATTTTTACTTATTTTTTTCTGCACACTCTATTCTAATTACTGGAATTGTTTACTCTCGCGTTAATGCAGCACGATATGGCTAACATTCAGAAGAAGAAAGATGAGGAAAAGGTGACGCTCTTTGCTTGTTTCCTCTTTTGTTCGTTTATGTTTCGCAAAATGCATCTAGTCTATGGTTTGACTCAACTACTGGGGCTACTACTTAAGTGATGGATTTTCTAAAAATTATGCATTGCCACTTTGTTAGTCTGGTCACGTTGTCAAACTGAACATTAATAATGATACCTAGTCCTGGTGTCTTCAACAAGATGGGTCATTTTACTTCGCTGTTTGTCAGTTTTATAAAAACTGTAGGAATTTTGGAAATGATATGGATTAGGATGCTTACTTCGCTTTGTTTCCACCCAGTGGTGTCAAATTACTCTTTACCGTCTCTTATACACTGATCATTTGTTATTGAAAGCCTGACCCATTTCATTTTGAAAACAGGCACTTAAGGAGCTAAGAGCCAAGGCATCGCAGAAGGGATCCTTTGGAGGCTCTGGACTTAAGAAGAGCGGCAAGAAATGATCCGTTTTATCCTCATGGAGCCTGTTATTGACAGTGCTAATTTTATCAAGTTAAAACAGATAATCGTGTGTTGATGTAACTTCTATCCTATTTGTACGAGAGAGTAACTTTGCTTCTCCATACTTATGTTTGCTTTTGCCACCCTTTTATGGAAATGAAAAATGGTGTCTACCTAAAAATAATCAAATGCTGTCATATTTATCTATATCCGTATTCAGGATTATCTAGCAGACTGTCATACTTCACTATCTCAGGATCCAATTTTAGAAACTGTTATTGTCTTAACTCGAAGAGAAATAATATGTTGCACTAATAACTTAAAGACTATAAGACGAGGTAGTAACTGAAGGTGACGGGTGATTTTACCAAAGTGGTAAGTGAAAATATATGTGCTGCGTAATGGACAACAGCTCTTTTTTTAGAAATGCATACACTTAACGAAATGATTTCACCCTGCCCTGAAACCGAAGCTGATCGAGAAGGGTCTTAGAGCCTGAAGGAGCCTGCTTTTCTTCTTGAACCGTTGACAGTGGAAGAAGTGCGTGGATCAGAGAACTCGTAGTACATGTCTGTGAAGAAATTGTCAACAATGTCAAGGTAGACAGGGCTTCTGATGCTTGAATAGCACCGAAGCGCTTCTCGTACATCCAATGCGTGATCCTCGTCTCTCAGGTCCACCATGTTGAGATCTTTCATCTTCTGAGCCAACATGTCACCTCTTCTCTTGGCCTCCTCGAATGGCTCTGATACTTTTTTCCTCTGTTTCTTTTTATGCTGGTTTTTGTTGATGAGACTCTCATCTCTAGCTCCTGCGACAGCCGTGCTCTCGCAAGAGATAACACTGTAGGATTCTTCAGTTTGGGATTCTTGTGAACATCGGCGCCGAAGACTGCAGGAGAAGGGGGTCAAGAGAGGAGTGTTGTTAGTGTTAGGCAAGTTGTGGTATTTACCGAAGCAGATAGTGGACTTGATGCTCCCAATGCTCTTCTTTAAGAAACGACCAACTCTATGAATTGATTTTGCTGTAGGTTTCATCATTTTGGCTATTTTGGTCTCTCTTGCAGCTGTTATTTTTGGGAGACAATAACCATATTTATTTCAAAAAACGAAACCTAACATTCATTCAATGGCATGTAGTAGTTGAAGACATATGCTGATATGATATGTCAGACTCTAAGAAGGTATCATCTTGATGATTGTCCACTTTTATAGGTAAGAAATCGTCATCACATTGATATGCACTGCTTCACAATGGTCCCCTACTTATCATTGCCGCATGCCAGTTGACTTGGGCTAATATCAGAACTAGGCCCATCAAGCCCATGGCCATATTCGATTAAGATCCATTTTGGATAGGACAAAACCCTTAAAAAAGGAGTTCACGGTCGTCTTGTCGGAGCCGTCAAGATTTCTGTGGAGCAAAACTTTGATCAGCCCCTGCATCTGCGGCAATGGTAAGTCTAATTCGTAGTTCGCGTAAGCTTATTTGTGAATTACTGTTTGTATAACCGGTGATTTGGAAATGACAGACTAAGGGAACAGGGAGTTTCGGTAAGAGGAGGAACAAGTCACACACGCTCTGTGTGAGGTGTGGTCGCCGGAGTTTCCACATTCAGAAGAGTCGTTGCTCAGCCTGTGCTTATCCCGCCGCCAGAAAGAGGACATGTATGCCTCTCTCTCTCTGTCTCCTTCTTATATATGCATTCAAAGATTTAGTTGTATCAAATTGAAGTAAAAGAGTCAATGTTTGTTGTATACAGACAACTGGAGTGAAAAGGCAATAAGAAGAAAGACAACAGGAACTGGTAGGATGAGGTATCTCCGCAATGTCCCCCGCAGGTTTAAGACTGGCTTTAGAGAAGGTAAAGCTACATTGACTCTTTTCTTGTCTTTATATTCATACGATAATACTCTTTCACTTGCACAAGCTGATTGATGGAATTATGGATCGATCAGGTACACAAGCCACCCCAAGAAACAAAGCTGCAGCTGCTTCTTCCTAGGCTTGACTTAGTCTGCCATTTGTGTACTGATTCTGATGTTGCTTTTTCATAATTTATCGAGGAGAATGTCTTGTGCCAATTGGCTTTGAAACTACTATGTTTTTCTTTTCTTTTTTGCTTCTCGAATGGTATATCATTGATTCATTTGAAATGCACACGTGTTCTACTATGTTCAAAGAGATCTAGCAAAACTCCATTTGATATGTAGAGGAGTTACTTACAAGCACACAATCTAAGTATCTATCAGTTTGGTGGTGTGAATTGACCAAAGAGGTGTTTCTCATTGTGCAACTGTTTGAAAGTCTTCTCCATTTCCGGAAACGCAGAGAGCAGCAACAGCTCCACAAGGTCAAATGCTAATTGCTTTAGACACACCGATGACTGAAACAACAACAGTTAAACAATTAACAAAACCAATAATTAAAATTGAAAAATCAAAGACAATGTGGAATGTTTATTACCTGAAGGAAGAAGTAGAGATCTTCCGCACATTGTTCATACTCCTTATGACCCACAAGACTTACTATAGTTGCTGGGGCTTTTTCTGTACGTGAGTTTAAACATTTGTGTTAGCTCAACAAAGCTTAGATATCATTGATGCAAAAAGTTATAAGATGACAGGACGCTCATTACCAATCATTAGCTTTTGAACAAACTTTGCTCGTCTCTCTGCTTCTTCTTTCTGCTCCTCTTCAGAAATACTGGATTGTTGCTGCCTTTTTGGATGCTTTGTCATGAATATCCCATCCGGCCATAGTATCTGAGAGGTCAATACCAAAATAACACTTTCAGATCCCACCATGGATTTATAAAATATACATCCACGCCAGAGACATCATTCACTGTTAGGCAGAAGGAAGGATATCAAGTGGAAGTTCTCACCTCCTCAACACGTTGAATGCCAGAAGCAACTACCGTTCCCTGCCGCAGAAGACGAATTTTCTCGAGTACCCAATCGTCTAATGCATCGCCCATCCCAAGTTGAAGTATCTGTTTGGCAACCCAAAAAGCTTTCCGCCTTGTATTGTGCAACAAATAAATGATAAAAATTACTCCACTTTCTTGACCGAGAAAGAGAAAAATAGTATTGCTCCTGGTTATAAAATTGTGTACCTGATCCACCCACCCTCCTGGAGCTGAAGGACAACATCTACCAAGTCTAGCAGCGGCAATGTTAGCTTTGGAGGAACCCACTGCAAGAAAGACGGGTTACAACAAGCACACATAGATAGAAATACAAGCACATGCCTCATGGAGTTATGGTTTCCCACAATACAAAAGAAAGAATCTTCGATTGGCTGATGCTAGATGTGGAAATATACCTCTGTGGGAAGGCCGGCAGAGGCAACATCAGCAGCATGTTGAGTACCCACTTTTAGCCCGCCATTCTCTTTGCTATTTCTAACATCTAAATCCGGCGTCTTCATATGATTATTACCAGGAGCTTTCACCTTTGACTTCAGATCATCCACCATAACATTATTCCTCATATGTTGACCCGATTTCCCATTCTCTGAACTAAGATTTTCTCTCCAAGGAAGAGGACCTGAAGTTGCCTCATTGATATTGGCCACATTTTTAGTGACAGTAGATGTCTTACTGACAGGTTTAACTGAAACGATTGACTAGTGAGAATAGATAATAGTAAACTAATTAACATCAAAAATTCAATTGTGTTGTGGATTACTCACCCGTTAGTGTCTCAACGATTGAGAAAGAACTTGAGAAAGCATAAGTCTGCACAGCAGCAACATTTTACACATTCAAAGTTTGTTAGCTTTAGCGATCTTAGAGTCAGTGGAAGAGAACCTACCTGGGAATCCACACTGAGGAAGTCCCAAACTTCAATTGATCCTGATAATCTTGGAAGCTGCAAAAGCTTCTGTGCAAAGCAGAAAAAGCATAATTCGCAGATTAAGAAAACTAGGAATCACTTCAATGCAAAGCTTTTGATTCACTTTTTTGTTAACGTGGAAGCATAGAAGGTGTGTTAAAAGCAACTGTGTACAACTTTTCAAGCATTAGAACTATCAGCACTAGCAACTTGAAAGATCTAATACAAAAGTACATAACTTCAGTATATCAAAGCAGGGGCCGGATCTAGTTTAGAAAAAAATTACAAAGCAGTAGCTTAGGAGAAAATCCATAGTGAAATTTCATGCATAAGAACATTCAGCATTAGCTTCTCAGTAATCCAAAGTAACTACTAAAATATGAAGACAAAAGCTAATTCATAGTAAACCTACTCATCAAAAAACCCAGTAGAAAAAAAAAATACCATGTAAAAAGCATGAACAGAGACTAGAAAACAAGAGACATGACGCTTGACCTTAAGATAGTCATCAAGTAGTACACATCGCTCTTGGATAACAGGTATGTCCACGCCTGTCGATAGGAAATGCTTCGGCGGTAAATGAAGATTGTACTCCTGAAACACTTTAAGCCGCCGATGTAGCTCCTCAAAATGTCGAAATCTGAAACGTCACATACAAAGATAATATTATAAAAAAAAACAAGCACCAACATCAGATCAGTAAGAGTAATATTCTATCACCTTCTTTTGATAGACCAGCTATGACTACTCTCATCTGTGACAGCAATTGAATACACAGTAAACATCTTAGAACTACTCTCCACAATATTTGCACCCAGAACCTGCAAGAAGAACCTAAATTTATCCATCATATGATACGGCAAACGGGGCATCACTGTCTGCAGCTTTATTGGTGTTTGGATGCACAACAGATAAATTCAACTGTACCTCACATCTCAACTTGGCAAAGGAATCCACCAACAAAGAACTTCTAGGGGCATTGGGAAGGTCAGTTTCCGCCACTGAATAGTATGATGCAGACGAGGTTGCAGACATTCCACTGTATGATCTATCCAAAGAACCATCACCAGAATCATCGCTGTCATCATCACCTACATCGCCTACTATGTGTCCAGAAATTCTGGATCTCTTTCTGCCAGATTGATGCGTAGGTACTTGCTGATAACGATCATGATCTTTACTGGTCTTTTTGAACCGGCGGCCAGCGTTTTCAAGTGGATGGTGTATCCGTGAAACACCAGGATTTCTGTTGGTTCGACCATCCCAGACTCGAGTACCAGGACTGTTCAGACCTGTTACCGTTTCCTCATCCTCAGATGTATAAGAATGGCTACTCTTCGGTTGTTCCTCCTCCTCTTCAGCAGAGGAATAACCTGATAAGTGACTCTCTGTATTTGCGACACTATGCTGACCGGATCCCCTTGCATTCACAGTGTTTTCATTGAAGTTGTTGGGCCGTGCATTATCACCAGATTCCTTGCTAGACCATCTCACGTGCTCAACAACTTTTGCACCTTCCTTCCTTTTATAGTTTCTTCCTTTTGCCCATACGCTTTCGAGATGCTCAGGAGCAAGGGTCTCAGTTTTCCTTTGCGACATCATATCTAATACATCACCCCATCCCTCTCCTCCTTGATGTCCTTTAGGATGTTTACTATCATCAACTATTTTGGAAGTTACGGGGAAGGAGTTCCACGATCGGGAAGATCGAGTGTCCATTGAAAGCAAGGGATCTTTGGATAAATCTGCTACATGCTGTTTATCTGCAGCGCTTTTCCTTTTCTGCTGTTCATTTTTCAATAGCACAAGCTCAACACCTGTGACAGAAGGGTCCAGATCTCTAGAAAAATGATCAGGAGAAACTTTCGAGAGATCTTCAGATTGAGAAGTCCCTTCTGCAGCACTAGGTCTGTCATTAGTCTTTATCCTTGATATCACAGCAGCTTCAATCCTCTCATTTATGAACCTGGTAGAGAATATGACGACCATTGAGCTGAGAATAAGAGGAAAAAAATGTTATCTAAAGAGGTAATAGATTACCGAGGATTGGCTAGATTTAGGACTGGTCGCATCACACAGCAAGCAAGAAGCTCCCTCGCGGTATAATGGAAAAAAGAACAGTGTAGATCTTCTGGCCTAAATGTTAGTGAAATTAGACTCTCCACTATATGCTGCAGAACCTACAAAATAGAAACCATAATATCACCACCTGATGCGCGATAAGGTGGTAAAACCTCCAACATAACAGGTCTACGTTGCAACTTAGTCTGGATAAAACCTTATGCTCGGATTCAGGAGAGAATAATGCTGGGTGCAATTTATCTTCCTTGGCCATCACACGTTTTAGTTCTGAGTCTCGGTCTTCAAAACTGAGGACTCTCCTTTTTTGTTGTCTCTCTATCTTTACTTGACACTCACGGAAAATCTCCACTCGACGACATATAATATCAATAAGATCCCTGAATTAACCGGACAGTTTAGTTTCTTGGAGAAGCGACCCTAACAAAAACCTCAAGCAAAGAAGAACAGACCTTGTCAATAGATCAATGAGATTCACGTTTCTAAACCGCCGCGAAAGCTCTCCGAGAACGTCGTTTATAATAAACACCAGCTCTTCAGGACCTTGCTTATCCGGTGTTAAGCGGGAGTACCAGAGATCCAATACCCATTCAGAAATGAGGTGACGGGTAAAGTGATCAATCGCGTCCTCAACGACCTGAGAGTTCACTTTGCTTCTCCAGTCAGACCGTGGAGCTGCTTTAGGGAGCTCTGGAGGTTTCGTTAACGACGGTGCATTCAGAGACGAAGGCTTATTGCTGTAAGCAGCGGCCTTTCTTTTCATTTCGATATCGAATGAGAAGTAACGAAGGAGGATGATCAAGCACGCAGCAGCAGGGAGGTTAACCCAAACCGATGAACTTGTCACTGCAAAACTTCAAACAAATTCATTAGAGATTGCTAAAGGAAAGAAACACATCAGTGGCTACTGAACCAATGCGTCCCTAAAATAAGAAACTTCATTAAGTTCGAGACTCTTGATGAAGAGTAAATTCTGCTAATAGAGCACATAGTATTTGATCAAATGAGAACACCAAAACTTACGCGACAGGAGGTAGGAAAGTCCGACGATGCATATCACCAGGATTACAATCCGCTTCTTGGCTTCCTCTACCAGGTCTCGAACTGTGACCACCTGCTTCTGGGTGCTCATAGCTGAATCAAACCCCTTTTTCTCTCTTTTCTCTCAGACGCTTAATTGGTCTTCCAATGAACTCGATAGGACTAGCCTAAGGTCCCATTTCCCCAGATACTTTTGCGAAGCCCGATTAGAACCCGAATTTCGAAATACGTTGGGATCGGAGAAATAGTAGCTAATTTGGATCGATGTCTGAGAAAGGAAGGAGACGGAGAGAGAATCGATGCCTGGGAAATTAAGACGGTCGAGGAATCAATGGAATCGGCGGTAATTGGATTCTCTCCCGGAGACGCTTGTCGACTTGGTACGTTCTCCGGCGAACCGTTCCCCGGGAAGATGGTAAGATCTTTTTGTTTTTTCTCTCTCTTCGTGGTTTGCATTTCATTAATCATACAAAATGGCAATCAAGTCGCGATCGCTAAGCGTCGAACCTGGGTCCGCCAAAAAGCTATTTTGTTCATCTGATCCAACCTTCAAAGTATAATGACAGAAATGCCCTTATCACCGCCTTTCCTTTCCTCTCGACAAGATTAAAAATATTCAAATTAGAGATCCCAATCCACAGGAAGAGAGAGAGCTCCGAATCTCTGCATCTATGGAGGCTACGAAGGAAAGAGTTGGCCTGCTCGACAAGATCCTCCCGCCGGCCTTGGCAGACGCCGGTCTCGAAGATTGTGCTCTGCCTCCGGAATCTATACAGGAAGCCTTTCGCAAAGCCGCCGACGCCGTGAAGTCGCGCGCGGCCTCGCTTTTCGAATTCGAGGAGGAAGGCGGTTGTGTAGCGGATCCGGTGCCGGCATCGAAGGGAACCGAGACGCTGCCCGTTCCGGGAGGTTCTGACACGATCATCGTGGGCGGGGAAAATGGAAAGGATACTGGGCCGTGTCTCACCGGAAAGGGTAATGGAAAGTTAGCTGAATCGAATCCAGGCGGAGATGATTTGGTGGTGGCAGGCGAAGGAGGAGAAGGGAAGAGCTGCGGTGATGGTTTGAAGGATCTAGACGTTGAAGGAATGGAGAAGAAGGATCAGAGTGAAGAAGACGAAGAAGAGGAGAAGAAGCCGATTTTAGTTGAAGGATTTGTTTGAGAGTCCTCGCGTTGTCTTCAGTGTTACTCCCTCGTGTATATAAATAAAAAGCATTAGAATTTAGCAGCTTACAAGTTACAAGTCCTTTAGCGTTGCTTCTTTTGTTCCGTGGTGCTTAAAAGTCAGACCTTTATCTGCTCCGTAGGCAATGATGCCAGAGCTTATGTATCGCCTGTTAGACATAAACCTGGTGCCAAGAGGCGAGTCTCTCTTTTGATGTACTTTTCCTGCATCTATCTCATGAACCGTAGATTGTCTTTGTTTGATATATAGTTTCAAATTCAAGAACAATGGCATCGATCTCGTAGCAGGCATGTCCCTTCTCTATCTGTTCTTGCAGAATCAAATCTCAGATTGAAATCTATAGTTTGTTGTTGGTGACTGCTTCAGGCATGTCTGGTGGAGGAGAAAGGGTCTCATAAGTTCTAGCTCTGTTTAAAGCATTCACAAACAAATTGAACCTTTCTTGTTGGTAGCTTCTGTGTATGGAGCCATTACCAGCGCCCAGCGGAGAGCAGAAGAGTTTTATTTGGCTTCTCTGATCTCTCTGTGACTCGACAGTGTTATTGAGTTTTCCTTCTGAGCAGAAAAGCAAAGATGGAAAGCTGTGACGTGTCTGATTGAATCTACATCTTTCACTGCATCTCTTCTTGTCTACATCATACTTTATTGGCCTTCACAGATAATGACCAGTTGACCACTTGAGAACAGAATTGAGGCCTCCATCGGAAAATGATTCAGAAAGACAGCAAATCATTGGCACCTTGTTGCTTCGGGCCAGTCAGTTTGAAGAGGGATATGAGTCCGTTTTGCTCATATTAGGTCTCTAGCCTCCAAATCATACATGGCTCCACACCTCAAGTACAAGAAACGAGTGAGGAAGCAGAACCAACACCAATTTAGCTTAGAGAATGAGTTATCATCAGTGTGATGCTTTTACATTTGTTCCTCTCTGTTTCATGATTTCATCGTTGTAATTTGTAATTGTGTATGTTTTGATCCTGTGTTTTTTTTAAGATAGATGAACAATAATATAAGTGAAGGGCCCATTTTTACTATCCCTCAGGCCCAACTACTACACGCGCGCGAAGTTCGCCTTCCAACCCGACGTTGCACACTAACTCCTTCACGCGCCTTCTCGAACTCACGTCCTGATCCGTTTTTTCACCCGCCGGAGATCCACCGGCGTCTTCGCTAAACGGATTTGGCGAGGAATCGTAGTTCAATTCTCCCATTTCTGGAGGAAGTTAGGTTGTTTGCTCTGTGTAGTATTGCTCACAGATTTGCCGGGAATAAATCGGAGAAATTTCCCAGCCGAAAGGTTTAACATTTTAGCTCCAAGTTGAAATCTGAGCACACTAAGCATTTTCTCCGATATCTCCATCCAGGTTTTCCCTTCATATTTCAATTTGCGTTCGTTCATTTTGGGTCTCTGAGTAATTCCTGCTCTGCCGCCCACAAAGTGTTCGACGTAATGCGCATGTGAAAACTCACAATACTCGATATCATGAAATTTTCAGCGCAATGGAGAAAAGGGACGAGGATCTGAAGAAGGCACAGATGCTGGACGCTCGGGCCAGAAACATCAGCCACAATGTTCGTTGCACTGAGTGTGGAAGTCAGTCCATTGAAGACTCGCAGGCAGATGTCGCTATTCTCCTTAGACAGGTCAGTGAGTGCCTTACTCAAATTTTTCCAAAGGACTGATTTTGAAGATAGTGCCTTACACCTGAGTTTTGCAGCTGATCCGAGATGAGATAGGAGCTGGGAAAACTGACAAAGAGATCTACAGTAAGCTGGAGGATGAGTTTGGGGAGACGGTGCTTTACGCTCCAAAATTCGATCTGCAAACCGCTGCATTGTGGCTAACTCCGGTCAGTTTAAGTGGTCACTAAATACTGAAACCTCCAAAGGGGACGTTTAGGTTAATGGACTCTGGTGTGTTTATGTGACAGGTTCTAGTTGGTGGAGGTGCTGCTGCAGTGTTGGCTTACAATAAGCACAGGCAAAGAACAAATGTACACATCATGGCGTTGGACCTTATCAGAGGTGTTTCGTTGACTCCAAAGGAGAGAGTTACCATTCTCGATGTTCTCATTCCACCTCCGCCTCTTTCTCAGGGAGTGGCTTCCCGGTTAAGGAGATGGTTTAACCGGTGATTACTTGTCGTATACTCTCTCCTTAGCTCCATTGTTCTTGAGTCGAATCTTCTTTGTGTTAGCCAGAGAAACAATATGTTGTTGGAATGAGTACACATTGGTTGACTAGGAGAAACAGATCGGGACTGGTTTGCATCTGTTAGTTACAAGCAGTTTTCTTGCTTATAAAGTAGAAAATGGATTCTTCCATAGAAATAAGTTGGAGAGTGTGATATGAACAAATCATATAATTGAAAATGTTATACTTGTTGGATCTTTGCTGTGGAATTGAAAACAGACATATCTCTCTTTCCAAATTATTTTGTATGCTAATTGCTTAACCAGCTTTTTTTTGCACATCTTCAATCTTCAACTTAATAACCCAAAGACCAGAAAACGTATTGGCCTGCTTGTTATACAAAATCTTTGATACAGGAAGACGAAGCAATGATAAAATTTCATTGAACTTATGAATAAAACAAAAGTTGGGTGGCAACAAAGGCGTCCAAGGAAAATTAAACGAGGGTATAAAAATATTGAAACAGAGAGTTTTTGCAATGAATTGCACATTATTGAAAGCATGAGCTGACAGACAATAGCTCAGTCAAAATATTATTTAGCCAAGTAACGAGAACCAGAAGGTTCTATAGATTACTTCAAGACCAAGCCGATTCACTCAGCATCAGGACGACGCCAAATTTTGTCAATCCCCATCTGTTCCTGTTCACATATTAAGACGCAACTTCTTAAATACTGCACACACCACCCAATATAAAGCTGAGATCAAGCTTTTTTACCTCTGTATTGTCACTGTCGAAGCGAACAATAAACACGCAGCTACAATCCTTGTGATCATGAACCCGTCTTTCGATATACTCAACATGAGCATCACGGTACACTGCTTCATCCTCCCTTTCCTGCTCATTAACCACCTCACGTTTTCATACTTATGTTTGAAATTTTGTTAAAGCTTAAAGACTCCCATCATACGTAATTATATCAAAGTTGGCCTTACCTGCCAACATACAAGCAGGTCTCCAACTTTCACTTTCCCACACTCTGATGGTTCCACAGCAACAGACCGCTTACGCACTGACTTTTCCACGTTCAACCACTCATCGTCTTGGCTGCCGTATCCAGAAAATCGTACACGCGCTTCCTGTCGGAGAACACTCTCAGTAAGTTCCAAACAAACCAGCCGTTAAACAAAGGAAAGAGAAGAACCTTACCTCTTCACCAGTGTCTAGAGTTCTATAACTCTGGAACGAATCCACGTCATACCTGAAAAAGACCAGAGTTCGAGCAAATAAGCACATATACAAAAGCACAGAGGTAAACCTTTATGTAAGAAAATGTAAGGAAAAAACTCTTACCATGCGCCATCCTTTTCTGATTTAGCCTCATAAGATGGCTTACCTGTTTATCACCAATGTTTATAAACTAAGGGAGATGATAAGCATTAATTTAAAAGAATCTAAAAGGGCACAAAAGAAAATGAAAACCAAACCCTTCTGTTTTTGAACAGAGCTTCCAGCATTTTGGGCATTTCTGGCAGCATTGAGCTTTGACAAGTCAAGATTCTCAGGAGGAGATGGCTTAGCCTTGGATTCGGCTTGGTTTTGCACATCAGATGCCTTTCCATCAGAGGCCTTGCCTGTTTATCACCAATGTTTATAAATTAAGAAAGATGACAAGCATTAGTTTAAAAGAATCGAAAAGATCACACAAGAAAATGAAAACCAAACCCTTTTGTTTTTGAACAGAGCTTTCAGCATTTTGGGCATTTGTGGCAAGACTGAGCTTTGACAAGTCAGGAATCTCACGAGGAGATGGCTTAGACTTGGATTCAGCTTGGTTTTGCACATCAGATGCCTTGCCATCAGATGTCTTGCCTGTTTATCACCAATGTTTATGAAATAACGGAGATGATAAGCATTAGTTTAAAAGAATCTAAAAGACCACACAAGAAAATGAACCCCAACCCTTCTGTTTTTGAACAGAGCTTCCAACATTTTTGGCATTTCTGGCAGCACTGAGCTTTGACAAGTCAAGAATCTCAGGAGGAGATGGCTTAGCCATGGATTCGGCTTGGTTTGGCTGATTCGTCTTCCACTGAAACCAACTCTGTACCTGAAAACCTCGAATCAAGATGAAGTTAGAATTGCTTTACTTGAATGAACCACTTGTGTAGGATGTTACAACGAGATCATTTTCACATAAAATGCCATTTAAGCCCGCTAATTCCTGAAATTAACATTACTAGTGACTTGTTAGAAGAAAAGGAGACATACTTGTTTCCCGGTTATGAATGATTTGCCTCTCCGATTCACATCGCAACTTTGATTTCCCAAAGAAAAACAATGGAAGAAACATTAGGAGTTTAGATATCCAGCATGAAAATAAAAACACATATACAAAGAAACAAACAAAAAAAAAAATTATAATCCCATAAATCCTCCTATAACTCAGAAAATGCTTGCATCACATGCTTGTAAGAATACTTTATATTTAAAAGCAGATCTTAAATGATAAATTTCTGAATTAAAATCATTAAAATAATTTTCAGGACATACACATGATATATCGTCTTTATATAATTCAGAAGAAAATACCTAAAACTGCAGGCAAGAGTCTGGCAAAAATCTTGGTTGAGAGATTGATCACCGTAGGCTTTATACATAATCTCCATGTCTACAATCTGCCCAGAAGACGATCATACATAACTAGGTTAGTAGGTTACACCCCATGAAAATCCTAATCTAAAAAACAAAAAAAAACAAAAAAAAAACAAAGATACCTCAGCCAAAGTAAACTCGGTGAAAGAGGGAGAGGAGCCATTGGTAGTAGCATCCATTGTCGATGTTAGCTTATTTGATATTCTGCTGTTGATGCCTTTGGAGTGTGTTCAATGTGCCTTTAAATAATTGGAATGACAATGATGAGATGGACCCAAAATGGATACAAATCTTCTATTTGGTTTTCTATGTAGGCAACTCGTAGCGATTGAGACACATAAGATTTATAAATCTTGCGTGTTTGACACATGTGATTTTCTATGATGTAAAAGATATGTTAACTTTTTAACCTTAACCATAATGTTTAGGATATCTTGCACGTCGCGACGAGATCGTAACACGTTAATTTTTATGATTTTCTGGATTACGCCTGTAATTTATAAGAACATGTGTTAACAAAAATAAAATAAAAAGGTAATAATAGAAATAGAAAACTAATAATATAATTTTCAACTAGATAATAATAATATTTTCAGTTGTTCGATATTATAATTTTCAATGTTATAATTTGTATTATTAACTAATAATAAAAAAGATTTTTTCGATATTCTAACTGTCAATAGTTTAGTTTCTGAGTTTTACAGTTTTTATTATAAAAAAAAAATTCTTCAACTGATATCTTTTGAAATAAAAAAAAGTCTCAAAAATTAATTAGTTCATCGTGTAAATTATTTTCCTGATTAGATAAAGATAAGGAAAATCAAATTAATTTGTTTGTATCATGAATTTTAGAAAGACGTTGCGTATATGAGGAGATATAATAAATTGTGATTAAACTTCTAATGTTATATTATTCATGTCAACCGCAAAAAAAATTGAAAAATAAACTTAGTAATATGAAAAATGGGATGAGACTTTTAAGATTGCATGCAGTAAATCAGTGAGAACTATATGCATGGTTTTTGTTTTGTCTATTTTCTGTGGGCCTAGCTAGAGCATGAACGCTAAATGTGTTGCACTTAGAGTGCCTTCGCAAACCAAACGAGCTACAAGAGCCATGCGCCATATGCATGGTTAAAACGTGCTATTGAATATTCTGATATATATATTTGAAAATGATGGCAAATGGACTGGGCCATTTGAACCATGCACATGGCTCTCATTGATAATTATGATATCAACATATTACAGATATGAGATATATATATATATATATATATATAAAGTCGTTAGCTATCACCATGCAGTATTAGACTAATCAGTAATCACACACGCAAAAATTTATTATGTACGCTTTACTCAATGAACACAAGTAATTAATTAGCATTCAGAAAATGGGGTCAAAATGTTTGACCTAAACAAAGGTTACTTAGTCATACACTCATATCGAGCAAAAAATGAAGCATGGAAGATTACTTGATTATATACATAAGTCCAGTTTCTCTTTATTAGTTCTACATTGTAATTAGTTACTAAAGATCGTTGTCATTACCAACTGCAACTGCCATGTCCCTCATATGTTTCTTAAATCCATGCATCTTTAAAAAATGGAATATATCATAAATAAATATTTCTATTAAAATCTCCAGACTTTCAACTTATTATAAAAAGTTTCAATTGAAAAAGTAATTTAACTAGAAGTTTTTTTTGTTGTGATTTCCCACCCTGTTTTATTGGTAACGAGAGAAGGTAAGGAAAGATAAACAAACAAAGCAAAAAAAAGAAACAACCAGCCAAAATGTAAGAGCATAAATCGGTCTGACTTTTCTAAAGATTACTTCAACACCAAACAGATTCACTCAGCAGCAGGACGACGGCAAATGTTGTCAATCCCCAACGATTCCTGTTCATATATTAAGACTAAGATCAACTTCTTGAATACTGCACAGACACACACCACACAATATAAAGGCTGAGATTCAAGCTTTTTTACCTCTGTATTGTCACCGTCGAAGCGAACAAGAAACACGCAGTTACATATCTTGTGATCATGAATTTCTCTTTTGATACCCACAACATGAGCATCACGGTACAATAAATGAGCCCCCCTTTCCTGCTCATTAACCACCTCACGTTTTCATTCTTATGTTTAAATTTTTATTAAAGCTTCCATCCTTCATAATTATGATTAAAGTTGGCTTTACCTGGTAACAAAGAAGAGAAATTTTATGAAATACAAAGAAGCAGGTCTCCAACTTTCACTCTCCCACACTCTGATGGTTCCACAGGAATAGACCGTTCACGCACTGATTTTTCCATGTTCAACCACTCATCATGTTTGTTGTCGAACCCAGAAAATCGTACACGCGCTTCCTGTTGCGGAACACTCTCAGTAAATTCCATGCAAATCAGCCATGTAAGCACAAATACAAAAAGTAAGCTTATTAAAAAAGTGTTTTGGTGAAGTTCACAAAGAGTAAAGGCACTGTTTGTCGAGCTCACCAACGGGAACACGTCCCTACTCAAATGAATTAACACTTTACGTTTTTTACTTTGGCCAATTAACAAACAAAATAATTTTTATAAGTTTATTAGTTAGCATGGATGTTTTCTTTTATGAATTAGGTTTCGGTAATACATGAGAGTGTTTTTCCTTTTTTAAATTAGGTTTATTATTGAGTAAGTTGTATCAATACTTACATAAAGTCTCAATGAATTAACAAAAAACCAACTTCCAAGAATTAACCTTAACCTCCAAAAAAATTTAGCCTAAATCTTTCATCTTTTTCATACATGAACTAAGGTTAATAGCAGTTTGAAAAATCCAAGATTTAGAACATATAGGAAAACATAATATTCAATCTAAAGGAAAACAATAATATTACCATGCATCGTTCCTTTCTGATTTAGCCTCAAAAGCCAGATCATAAATATCAAGTGCCTCATCTGTTTATCACCAATGTTTAGAAACTGAGGCAGGAAATATGTATTAACTAAGAGAATATAAAAGGGCACACAAAAAAAGAAAACCAACCTTTCAGTTTTTGACCAGAGATATTTTCGACATTTTTGGCAGCACTGAGATTTGACAAGTCAAGAATCTCAGGAGGAGATGGCTTAGCCTTGGATTTGGCTTGGTTTGGCTGTTTCAGCTTCCTCTGAAACCAACTCGCCACCTGAAAACCTCAAATCAAGATAAAGTTAGAGCTGCTTTACTTGAATTAACGACTTATATGAAGAAAAAAAGACCTACTTGCGTCCCGGTTATAAATGATATGCCTCTCCGAGTCACTGAGCAACTTTGATTCCCAAAAGAAAAACAATTAAAAAAAAAGTTTAGATATCCATCATGAAAAGAATATATATATATAATCCTTAAATCCCTCCTATAATTCAGGAAAATGTATTAATCACAGACTTATAAAAATATTTTATATAGTAAAACTTCAGAAGAATGTTTATTCAGTGATTTTATCCAAAAGAGATCTATTAAAATTAAACAGTAGATTTAAGAATTAAAATCACTATATTAATTTATGTGGCTTGTGTTGGCTATTCTCTATCAACCCATTCAAAAAATATGTCCACTTATAATTTATAAGAAATACCTAAAGCTGCAGGCAATGGTTTGACAGAAGTCTCTGTTGAGAGACTGATCACCATACTTCTTGTACATGCTCTCCATGTCTTCAATCTGCACAGAAGAAGAATATATATTTAACAAGGTTATATACACCTAATGAATCTATAATCTAAAAAACAAAATAAACATACCTCAGCCAAAGTAAAATCATTGACACTGTTGGAAGAGGAACTATCAGTAGCAGGATCCATTGTCTGCTCTAGTTTATCTGCTAATTTGTTGTTGACTGCTAATGCTATTTAATTTGGGAGTGTGTTTTATAGTGTGCCCTAATTATTTAGAATAATAGTGATGCAATTAAATGGGCCCAAAATGAATAATAATCTTTTATTTGGCCTTTTTCATTTCTATATAGTTATAAAGATCTCAATAGTTCATTTACCTATGGGTTAACTGAACTCTCTTTATGTGATTTTTTTTTTAATGGATTTAGGTTAAGTTTTTTTTTCTACCTACTCTAAATTAATGGGTTTTAATAATAGGATAACTCCAATAGTTTGTGGGTTTAGCTAATAAATTCATTAAACAAATAAATTACCAATGGATTTACTATCCAAAAAAAAATATTATACATAAATAAATAATTCATAAGTTTATTAATAAAAATGTAAAACATCCATAAATTTATTATTAAAAATAAGCAATTATAAATATGTAAAATCAATGGTAACTTGATATATAACAATGGTAATTTGAAGATTAAAAAAACTCACTGATTTTTTTCTCTATGTTAGTTTTTTAATTTTCAAATTACCATTGTTATATATCAAGTATAAGCAATTATATATAAATATGTAATACAATGAAGGATTTGTAAATGCATTCGTTTAAAGGTGTGATGTTAAAATGTATGGTTTACAGCTTTGAAAGGCTGACCAGTGTCGCGCTCAAGTTCACTGGGGGATCAAAGGCGAATTTAAAAACTAGTAGCATTTTCAATATTGCTTCCGGCGCATAGACTTAATTGCTAAACCAGCTATTTTTTGCACACCTGAACCCAGATAACGCTTATTATCCAAAATCTCTGATACAAAGATGCAATGATATAATTTCATGAGATATGCAAGTTACCAGAAGTTGTGAATAAAACAAAAATTGGGTAATAATTGAAGTAATCTATAGAACCAGACCGATTACTTTATGACATAATAATATTTCAAGTTACGTTTTTGCAACTTTTACACCCTACTGAAAGCAAAAACTCACACAGAACTGTTCAGTTAAAATTGTGTATCAGTTTTTGCTTTCAGTAATGTGTCATAAATTGCAAAACGTGCTTCGCTGTCAATGATGCAATGTAACAAAACTCAAATTGGTTTGTTACATTGTATCATCATTTCCTTTTCAATGCAAAAGCAAGTTTCTCATACATTGTTAAAATATTGTCTTGTCAATAATGTAGCGAGTATCAGTCGGTCTGGTTCTATAGATTACTTCAAGACCAAACAGATTCACTCCTCACTTCAAGACCAATCAGATTCACTGATCCGGACGACGGCAAATTTTGTCAATCCCCAGCGGTTCCTGTTCATAGATTAAGACGCAACTTCTTGAATACTTCACACACACACCACCAAATATAAAGGCTGAGATTCAAGCTTTTTTACCTCTGTATTGTCACCGTCGAAGCGAACAAGAAACACGCAGTTACATCTCTTGTGATCATGAACCCCTCTTTGGATATTCACAACATAAGCATCACGATACAGTGCTTGATCCTCAGTTTCCTGATCATTAAACCACCTCAAGTTTTCATTCTTATGTTTAAATTTTTTATAAAGCTTCCATATTTCATAATTATGACATCAAAATTGGTCTTACCTCGAAACATAGAAGCAGGTCTCCAACTTTCACTCTCCCACACTCTGATGGTTCTACAGGAATAGACCGCTCACGCACTGATCTTTTGACGTTCAACCACTCATCATGTTGGTTGTCGAACCCAGAAAATCGCACACGCGCTTCCTGTTGCAGGTACACTCTCAGTAAGTTCCAAACAAACCAGCCACTAAACAAAAGAGAAGAACCTTACCAGTTCACCATTGCTAAGAGTTCTATAAGTTCGGAAATAAGCCACGTCATACCTGAAAGACCAGAGTTCGATCAAATAAGCACAGATATTAAAGCAAAAAGGTCTATTGCATTTTTAAAATTAAGTGAAAAAGGTGTTTTGCTGAAGCTGACACAGAACATGAGCATTCAAGAGTAAAGGCATATCTTCTTGAGCTCACAATCAACAAGGAATACGTCCGTACTCAAAGGAACACTCTACGTATTTTACTTTGGCCAATTAACAAACTTACTACTTGTTGTGTTTGTGATACAAGACTATGGTTAGTGTATTTCGTTAAAGAGTTTTGGGTACTTTCTTTTATGAATTAGGTTTACATTAGAGTTTTTTCCATTTTATGATCTGGCGTTTGAGGCTAAATTAGGTCTCAATGAATTTAATAAGGGAACAGAATATTCAATGCAAGTAAAACATACTTACCATGCGTCGTCCCTTTCTGATTTAGCCTCAAAAGCCAGATCCATTAGATCAGATGCCTTGCCTGTTTTATCACCAATGTTTAGAAACTAAGGCAGAGGATAGGCATTAATTAAAAAAAGAAGACACAAGAAAAGGAAACAAACCCTTCCGTTTTGGAACAGAGTTAGCATCGCTGAGATTTGACAAGTCAGCAATCTGCAATGGAGGAGATGGCTTAGTCTTGAAGTCGGCTTGGTTTTGCTGCTTCAGCTTCTCCTGAAACCAACTCTGTACCTGAAAACCTCAAAGCAAGAAGAAGTTAGAGAAAACCTTCACTTGCATTAAACCACTTGTATGGAGAAAAAGAGACGCACTTGCTCCCAGGTAATTGAGGGTTTGCCTTTCCGATTCACAGAGAAACTTTTGATCCCCAAAGGAAAACAATCCAAGAAAACATTAAGAGTTCAGATATTCAGCATGAAAATAACATTTTAAAAAAAAAATAATCCTTTAAATCCACCTATAATTCCGGCAAATAATAGATTTCTGAATTTAAGATCATTAAAGTAATTTACAGGAATTGCGTCGCTCTTCTTTATCAAAGCCATTCACAGGATAAAATCCTCCTATATGATTGAGAAGAACATACCTAAAGCTGGAGGCAACAGTTTGACAGAAGTCTTTGTGGAGAGACTGATCGCCGAGCTCCTTGTACAGATTCTCCATGTCAACAATCTGCTCATAAGAAGAGCATGCATAACAATTAACAAGGTTACATCCCATGATTCTCTAATCTAAGAAAACGAAATACAGAGAGAAAGCAACGAGACCTCGGCCAATGTAAAGTCGGTGAAATTGGGAGAGGCATCATCGGCAGCAGGCTCCATCGTCGACGGTAGCTGAATCAGTTGGGAGTGTGTTTAGTGTGCTGATTCCAATTGGGAGTGTGTTTACTGTTTAGTGTGATTCGGAGTGATAGTGATGGGATTAGATGGGCCCAAATTGAGTTCTATCTGGGCCTCATCGTGTCAATAAAGGCCTCACCCGATAACAATAGCTTATCATCGCTAATTAACTTTCTGATTAAAATCACTAATGTTTTATCCATGTCAAAGACTCAAAGGTAGTAACATGTTCATATGTATGTTCATTCACATGTTCACATCAGTGGTAGCTTGAACAACCAACAATTTCACCATCTCCATCCCTAAAACCATGTTTTTGGTTCTAAAGCATTTTTTATTATATGATTTCACACAAATCAATCTAACAACTTTTATTTGGTTTCTTAATTTTTTCTTCCTCCATCCCTAAAACTTTTTATTTGGTTCTTAACAAAAAAAATTCAATTTTACAAAAATTATAACTTCAAACATAATACATAAAAACATAATATATATAACATTTAACCAAATTTTTACAAATGAGCTTGCTCATCTGTTTTTCTATTGCTTTGGTTTTCATACGTAAATACAAAAAACATGTTTAATATTTTTGTTATTTGTTCTTTCAAGTTAGACACAAAGATAACGAATCTCCAAAGATAACAAAGTGTGACTGAATCAATTCAAAACGAATCAGAGCTTAGTACAACCAAGAAAAAGTATAGAAGCTAAATCTAATTCTAATTCATGGAAAACTAAAAATTGCAATGATATGGATACAAATGCGAAGGAGTTTGATGGGTTGTTGAGCAGAACAAGACTCCCAGAGAAGTGAAACTCTCCAAAACCAGTCTTAAAGACAATCGTTGTGTATCTTGCTGCTGGACTTTTCAAGAGTTGGATGCATTGCAGAGTTTGTCTGTTGATGGGAATCGGTTTGGAAGCGTTGGTGTAGAGGACTTGCTTTGTCCATTGTGTAGATTCTCTGCTCTGCAATTTCAAGCCAACATCACACTCAAGACAATTGTGTTTGGAGGTGAAGAAACCAATCATGAGAGTGGTGAAACAAATCATACTGGAGTAGAGAGAGAGCTACAAAGAAGTTCAAAAACAAACCTCTTGCTAGCTGTTCTCGAGTTTCGTAAATCATAAATCAAAAGAAGATTATAAGTTTAACTCACAAGCTTGAAGCGTTGAGAAGCATTCAGAGAAGAACCAATGCTATTATCCTCTTCAAGCTTTTTATTTTCAGGAATAGTCCAGCTAAAACAAGTGATCAAGATGCTAAGAATCAATCAAAAACAGTTGAAAGTTGAAACCCAGAAAAGATAAAGCAAAGATTTTGAGTAAAACTAGAACATAAACCATCATTGTATGAGAAGTACATAAAGCTTCAATCTTTTAGTCCTAAAACCTAAATTCGACAACAAAAGACCCAAAATTTGATACATCTAGCATCGAAATTACTTTAATTTTAACTATCCAAGTTCTCGAATTTGAGAACGACCAAAAAAGAATTGAAACAGAGCTAAAGAAGAAAGTGGAAAATTGACAAACCTCTCGAACAATTGTGACTCTGTTTCTTGTCTTCAAATCCTATTTCTGAAACCAAATTAAGAAAATCGTTGATCAATTGAAGCAACCAGGTTTTAGAATCAGGAAAGTGTAAGAAATAGAGATCGAGAGACAGAGACATAGTGATGGAGATTGGAAGATAGGCAAAGAGAGCGACGTCTGTCCGATCAGAGGTCGGCCGGAGACGATCGACGGAGTCGATCACGAAGAGGCGACGCCTCGTTTCTCTATCGGTGAGAGAAAACGAGAGAGAGAAAAGAAATGTCGATTTTTAAAAATTTTCTCTTTTTCTCTTTGGGTGAAAAAATGTGTGCTCTACACGTGGCAGGTTATAAACCAACCATGTCGAAAGGTTTCACGTAAGAGTTGGTTTTAAGTAATTCTTTTCTTTTATCTTTAATTAATTTGTCAAAAATGCTTTAAGACCCACCTAAGAACCAGGGATGGATGGAGATGCCCTAACAATTGTCGGTCAACGTAATGGAAAATGGTGGGTGGACCCCACAGTGGGGAATCTTCAGGAGGCACATGACTCTTGTAGCTGGTGGCGTGTATATTATTAAGGATAATGCTCATGGTTAATCGAAATATCGTATTTTATTTCATCACAGCTACTCCTCAATGTCCTCATTTCAGGCACTTCTTCGTTTTTATTTTCTTTTGTTGTCGACAACCGAGCCCTCTCATACAAGATTCCTTTATTAAAATATTGTATTCAAAATTTGAAACATATTCTTTGGTTAGCTAGTAACTTTAAACGTGCTGTTAAATATTTTGATAATTTGATATAGTTAGAAATGATAGCAGCAAATGGACTGAGCGATTGGATTGGAACCATGCACATGGCTGTCCTTGATATTGGAACCATGCACATAGGGTATAGCACACCGTATTAGACTAATCAGTAATCCCACGCAGTAGATATATAATTTACTTTACTCAATGAACACAAGTATAGCATTCGGAAAATGGGGTCGAAATGTTTGACTTAAATAAAGGTTACTTAGTCATAGTGAACAAATAACGAAACATAGTAGATTACTTAATTATGTGCATAAGTTTCTCTTTATTTGTTCTGCATTGTGGTTACTAATTACTAATGACTCTTATCGTTACGTTGTCATTACCAACTGCCATGAGCCTCGTACATTTCTTCAACCCATGCATCTTTAGAAAATGGACTTTCAACTTATTTAGAAGTTTCAATTGACAAAGTAATTTAACTAGAAGTTTTTTTTTGTAATCTCCCTCCCTTTTCTATTGCTAACGAGAGAAGGTGAGGAAAGATAAACAAACAAAGCCAAAAAGGAAACAACCTGTCTTGACCAGCTACATCATTTGGCTCTATACTATTACAAACGTGATATATCAAATATTTAAATGGGTATGATTGCAGGTTTAGATATATTAAAAAAGTATGAGTATTTTAAAATTTTGATTTGGGTATTTGGGTCGGGTTCTGGGTAAATTTTTTATTATGGTTTTTGGTCGGGTTCGGATTTAGGGTTCAAAATTTCTACACAAAATCACAACGTCACACCGTACAAATGTGCGGATACTCTACTAGTGTATTGGTAAAGATAAACACTCATCATAATATGAAGTTTCTCTTTGTTTACATGGCATGTAAATCAAGTTTCTCTCTGTTCCCTATTGACCACGTCGTCGCAAGACTTTAAAACTCGGTGGTCACTCACTCGCTCGTCCACCGTAACGAAAATAATAACTTTTTTCCTGATTTGTTTCCATAGTCAACAAACCTCGAGTGTCCAGTTTACAGATTTACATTTTTGCCGTTAATGACGTCAAGTTTAGAAAGTAGGAGTGTTTATCTTCAGTTATATCAACTTTTTCTTAAAGTGATGTGAATCTATTCGGCTTTTTTAAGTAAACTGTAACCATGGGATGATAGATAGAAAATAAATAATTTTCTGTATCAATTCCTGCTCTGTCTAAAACATTATATCATCTATTTGGTCATTATTCCTGTTTGCTTACTTACTGTATACAAAAAGTCAAGGTAATCCTGAGCATTCACTTCCTGTTGATTTCATAACGTCACTAATAAGCAGTCCCATTAGTTTGTAGTCTTAAACCGTATCTAAAACAAACAAAGTGTCATTCGCTGAACAATCCTATTCCCGGTCTGTACATATTACTGTCTCAATGAAATAGAATTCGCTGTGAAATTAAACCCAGGTTATGTGGTCTGTGGTTTAAGAGTTGAGAGTTTGCACTAGATGTACAAAACACTAGAGAGCTTGCAAAAGAAAAATGTGATATTGATATTGATACTGATATAGGTATAATATTCCTCTCATTTATTGCTAAATGAGTAAACATTTATTTTATTTTTGTTTTATAGCCCACATAGCCAATGAGTTCTAGCCCATGAGTTCTAGGGTTCTAAACGAGTCTTCTATATATAGTCTTGTTCTCATAACTTTCGAGTTGCAGGCTGCGCAGCTCCCTTCATAATTCAGAAGATCTTAATCCAAATCTTACTCTTCTTGTTCCCTAACCTAAAGCTTCTTCCTTTCTGTTTTATATTGCACAATAAAGCTCATTTTGAGCTATTTCGATTTCATCTAAGTAAAGCTCCTTTGAGCTCAAAAATATCTCTCTTTTGAGATTTCTATCAAATACTACATCAGATTTCTATTAATTATTTGGTAAATTATCCATACATTCCCAAAGGTAATCATGTGGTAGTACACATTAATTTATTTCATGTCATATCACTTGACATGCATAATTACATTACCACATGATTCCTTTTGGGAAAGTATGAATTTACCGTAAAATATGTCCACCAGCAAGGAAGTGGGAATGACGGAAGGTATAAGTATCTGTTATTTAAGATTCATGTGTTATATAACAGTATCCATAATCCGACACATATATTGTGTTATATATTATTTAACAAATTTGTATGTGTGTTGGGATCCATTTCTAATGTATTGGTAACCATGAACACACATCATAGTATAAAATTTCTCTTCATGTAAATCAAAATATTATATGATTTCCACCGTTTTAACTTTTCTGTGTTCCCCATTGACCACGTCGTCGCAAGACTTTGAACCTGGTTGGTCACTCACTCGCTCGTCCACCACCGTGACGAAAAGAATAACTTTTCGTAATTTGTTTCCATTGTCATCTATTTGGTAATTATTCCTGTTAGGTAAAGGAGTGAGAAAAGTTTTCTACACCATTGCATCTTAATACTTGGTTTGCTTACTGTTGATTATATATCTAATATATTATTTGCGAAGTGAAAATTTCGTTTAGAGGCACCACATTCAATTTCAGCTGGTTGATTACCCACATACCCTTAATGAAAATTCTATTTTTAAATTTTCATAATTTCCTTTTTTTAATAACAGTTTTTTTGTCAATTAGTTAATTAATTAGATAATATCTTTTTATTTTATAAAAAATATAATCAGTTTTGATCTCCCAAAATTAAAAAGCCCAAACCTTAAAAATTATATTCACGATTAATTACAAACTCTAAAAAATCATATTCACGTTAATATATAAGAAAACCTATACAAAACCCTAACTCTAATACAACTAATAAGAACATTGATCTTCTTTGTATTCTTCTAACTAGGTTCTAGAGAAAAGAAAAAAAGAGAGGTGAGCTATTTCAAAACTTTTTCGAACCATGATTTGGTTACCTTGGGAATATGTGAACTCTAATACCATAAACATAGAAGTCTTCGATACATACAGAGATGGTATTTTCAATTTTCAGTTTCCAGTTTTTTTATAATGTGTTACTACTTTTTCCCTGTCTCTCTCTTTAGTTGTAGTTTAAAGGTATATTATACATAATTTATTGGTTTTGTTTTTGTCTTATCATGATTATCAAGGAAAAAAAAAAAAGAAGAAGATGATGATCGTTGTGATGAACAAGATGACGGTGATAAGTTTTAGCATCACATACAAGTTTATTAAATTATGTTTGCTTTGAGTACTATTATTTAGCTGATTTTGTTATAATGTTGAACTAGAAGTGCATATCTGGGAATTAGGTTTCCACCAGCTGAATGCAAACTTGCAGATTGGTTAGTGCCACAAAGTAGGAAGGTGCTTCCTTTTCTTTTTAGATTCCTCTTTTGTGTATTCTCCATAAAAAAAATTCTTCTGCTAATCATATTGGACATGGTTGTTTCCAGTGAGTATCTGTTAGAGGATGATGAAAGAGACGATCAAAGCGATGGTGGTAGTCTAGGGAAATCTCTTAGCTCTGTCTACAGGAGTCTAACATCTTATGAACAATGCAGGAGTCCATCACCTTAATCATTAACAACGTGGGAGTCCAGATTATGGTAGACAAAGAAGTCATGCCTATGACTGATCGATACTGAATGTAAAATAAAGTGGCTTTGGCTTCTCAGTGTTCACTTGCACTAAGGGCAATACAGAAACAGAAGCTAACAAGAATGTTTGTGGCATGGTATTTCGGACATACAAGAGTAGTTTTTTTTGGGGTGGTTTTTTAATGTTCTGTGTTCCAGTTACATGATGCTTTTAATATTAGCAGAAGGAAGTGGAAGCAGAAGTTCGAAAAAAGGTGACGATTACAGTGGTAACTGGTGAGGATGATGTAAATTGTTTAAGCATTGATATCATATTTGTTTATTATTAGAGATGTTAATTTTGTTGGTTATTAGTTACGTTCTCACATGGAACCAATAAAAGATTTCTTATGGTTTATGTTTTGGATCAAAATCAAATATTAAATTGGCTTTGATATGATCCCATACAAGATCTCACTGATATGGCTTCTAGGGGCGGCTTAGAAGGGGTACAAGAGGTGCCAGGCCCGGCCCGTCCATAAAGCAGCTAAAGCATTAGATTTAGGTCACCGAATAAATACAATATTTTAGGGCCACATATAAAATTAGTTCCTTTAGCATAGTGGTTATAATGAGCTCATGTTTCCTGTGTGATCATATTCATGGGTTCGATACTTACGTACGGTCTCTAGGTGGTTATCCCTCACCTTGTGCGGGTACAATATTTTTAAAATACATTAATTAATAAAAAAATATTAATAATATAAGTAGTAGAATTTTTGATTATATACATTTTTGTTTTCGTCAACTTCTTAATTTTGTAATTCCGATGTGTCTTATTTTTGTGTTCTCTAGCTCGTGCTTCTATGTAATCTTACAAAATATTTCTCATTTCTTATTTTGTTCTCTTTTATTCTACCCCAAATATCTCACCTTCTTCTTTTTATTTTTATTTTATATTCGTTTTCATCATCTTTTTCTTCTTCTTCTTCCAATTTTTGTTCTTCAATCTTTTCTTATATCTTCATATTTCCAGCTCACTATTCTTCTTTTTCTTTCTAATTTTTTTACATTCTTTCTTTCAGTTTTTCTTCTTTCTCATTCCTCGTCTTTCTATCTTTATCATATTTGTCTTCTCTAACATCATATTATTCTAGTTTTTATTTATCTCTTCTTTGTCTTTTTTTTTCTCCACATTTCATTTTTCATCTTTGATTTTTTTCCTCATATTCGAGTTTTCTTTTTCGTCTCCAAATTTCCCATCTTCTT